GATTAAGCTCATGGTGTGAAGATTGGACCTTGCCGAGAAGATTAAGCTATTGCTGTGAAGATTGAGCTTTTGCCGTGAAGATTGGACCATTCCGTGAAGATTGAGCTTATGGTGTGAAGATTGGACCTTGCCGTGATGATTGGAACCTTGCCGTGAAGATTAAGCCTTTGCTGTGAAGATTGAGCTTTTGCCGTGAAGATCGGACCTTGCCGTGAAGATTAAGCTCATGGTGTGAAGATTGGACCTTGCCGAGAAGATTAAGCTATTGCTGTGAAGATTGAGCTTTTGCCGTGAAGATTGGACCTTTCCGTGAAGATTAAGCTTATGGTGTGAAGATTGGACCTTGTCGTGATGATTGGACCTTGCCGTGAAGATTAAGCCTTTGCCGTGAAGATTGAGCTTTTGCCGTGAAGATTGGACCTTGCCGTGAACTTAAGCTTGTGGTGTGAAGACTGGACCGTGCCGTGTAGATTGAGCTTTTGCCGTGAATATTGGACCTTGCCGTGAAGGTTAAGCTTATGGTGTGAAGATTGGACCTTGCCGTGAAAATTAACCTAATGGTGTGAAGATTGGGCCTTGCCGTAAAGATTAAGCTATTGCCGTGAAAATTGAGCTTCTGCCGTGAAGATTGGGGTGCATCGTGAAGATTGAGCTTTTGCCGTAAAGATTGCACCTCGCCGTGAAGATTAAGCTATTGCCCTGAAGATTGAGCTTTTGCCTCAAAGATTGAGCTTATGCCGTGAAGATTAAGATATTGCTGTGAAGATTGGGCTTTTGCCGTGATGATTGGATCTTGCCGTGAAGGTTAAGCTTATGGTGTGAAGACTGCACCTTGCCGTGAAGATTAAGCTATTGCCGTGAAGATTGAGCTTTTGCCGTGAAGATTGAGCTCATGCCGTGAAGATTAAGCTATTGCCGTGAAGATTGAGCTTTTGCCGTGAAGATTGGACCTTGCCGTGAAGGTTAAGCTTATGGTGTGAAGATTGGACCTTGCCGTGAAGATTAACCTATTGCTGTGAAGATTGAGCTTTTGCCGTGAAGATTGGACCTTGCCGTGAAGATTAAGCTTATGGTGTGAAGATTGGACCTTGCCGTGATGGTTGGACCTTGCAGTGAAGATTAAGCTATTGCAGTGAAGATTGAGCTTTTGCCGTGAAGATTGGACCTTGCCGTGAACATTAAGCTTGTGCTGTGAAGACTGGACCGTGCCGTGTAGATTGAGATTTTGCCGTGAAGATTGGACCTTGCCGTGAAGATTAAGCTTATGGTGTGAAGATTGGACCTTGCCGTGAAGATTAAGCTATTGCTGTGAAGATTGAGCTTTTGACGTGAAGATTGGACCTTGCCGTGAAGGTTAAGCTTATGGTGTGAAGATTGGACCTTGCCGTGAAGATTAACCTATTGCTGTGAAGATTGAGCTTTTGCCGTGAAGATTGGACCTTGCCGTGAAGATTAAGCTTATGGTGTGAAGATTGGACCTTGCCGTGATGGTTGGACCTTGCAGTGAAGATTAAGCTATTGCAGTGAAGATTGAGCTTTTGCCGTGAAGATTGGACCTTGCCGTGAACATTAAGCTTGTGCTGTGAAGACTGGACCGTGCCGTGTAGATTGAGATTTTGCCGTGAAGATTGGACCTTGCCGTGAAGATTAAGCTTATGGTGTGAAGATTGGACCTTGCCGTGAAGATTAAGATATTGCTGTGAAGATTGGGCTTTTGCCGTGATGATTGGATCTTGCCGTGAAGGTTAAGCTTATGGTGTGAAGACTGCACCTTGCCGTGAAGATTAAGCTATTGCCGTGAAGATTGAGCTTTTGCCGTGAAGATTGAGCTCATGCCGTGAAGATTAAGCTATTGCCGTGAAGATTGAGCTTTTGCCGTGAAGATTGGACCTTGCCGTGAAGGTTAAGCTTATGGTGTGAAGATTGGACCTTGCCGTGAAGATTAACCTATTGCTGTGAAGATTGAGCTTTTGCCGTGAAGATTGGACCTTGCCGTGAAGATTAAGCTTATGGTGTGAAGATTGGACCTTGCCGTGATGGTTGGACCTTGCAGTGAAGATTAAGCTATTGCAGTGAAGATTGAGCTTTTGCCGTGAAGATTGGACCTTGCCGTGAACATTAAGCTTGTGCTGTGAAGACTGGACCGTGCCGTGTAGATTGAGATTTTGCCGTGAAGATTGGACCTTGCCGTGAAGATTAAGCTTATGGTGTGAAGATTGGACCTTGCCGTGAAGATTAAGCTATTGCTGTGAAGATTGGGCTTTTGACGTGAAGATTTAGCTTTTGCCGTGAAGTTTGGGGTGCGCCGTGAAGATTAAGCTTATTTTGTGAACACTGGGCCTTACCATGAAGATTGAGTGATGCCGTGAAGATTGAGCTTTTGCCGTGAAGTTTGGGGTGCGCCGTGAAGATTAAACTTATTGCCGTGAAGATTGGACCTTGCCGTGAAGATTAAGCTATTGCCGTGAAGATTGAGCTTTTGCCGTGAAGATTGAGCTTATGCCGTGAAGATTAAGCTTATGGTGTGAAGATTGGACCTTGCTGTGATGATTGGACCTTGCCGTGAAGATTTAGCTATTGCTGTGAAGATTGAGCTTTTGCCGTGAAGATTGGACCTTGCCGTGAACATTAAGCTTGTGGTGTGAAGATTGGACCTTGCCGTGAAGATTAAGCTTGTGGTGTGAAGATTGGACTTTGCCGTGACGATTGAGCTTTTGCCGTGAAGATTGGACCTTGCCGTGAAGATTAAACCTGTGGTGTGAAGATTGGGCCTTGCCGTGAAGATTAAGCTTGTGGTGTGAAGATTGGGCCTTGCCGTGAAGATTAAGCCTTTGCCGTGAAGATTGAGCTTTTGCCGTGAAAGTTGGGGTGCATCGTGAAGATTAAGCTTATGGTGTGAAGATTGAGCGTTGCCGTGAAGATTTAGCTTTTGCCGTGAAGTTTGGGGTGCGCCGTGAAGATTAAGCTCATTTTGTGAACATTGGACCTTACCATGAAGATTGAGCGATGCCGTGAAGATTGAGCTTTTGCCGTGAAGTTTGGGGTGCGCCGTGAAGATTAAACTTATGGTGTGAAGATTGGACCTTACCATGAAGATTAAGCTTATGGTGTGAAGATTGGGCCTCACCATGAAGATTGAGCTTTTGCCGTGAAGTGTGGGGTGCGCCGTGAAGATTAAGCTTATAGTGTGAAGATTGGGCCTTACCATGAAGATTGAGTGGAGGTCTGGCTTTAAAAGCTTCGAGGGTAGTCAGTGAACTTCGAATCGAGGCCCTGTTGTCGACGCCATTTGTGAGTCAAGTTGCGATATCTGCGTGTGTGTGCCAGGAGAGCCTTGTTCGTTCCGTAAATCATCTCCGGAACCGGTCTGCAACGGCGAACCAACCTGTTGGTGAATTTTTGCGAATGTGTTCCATAAATTCGTGTCCTGAGGGCGTCGCAAGTAAGGCGAGGACGAATTTTCTCACACTTCAAGGAATATAGGAACCATTCACCACCATGTTAGGAGCTGTGAGCAGACAGGCGGAAGAGGGAGCCGAGCAGGATCAACAGGATGAGGAAACTCCTGGACGAAAGAGGAGCCGTAGCACTGGCGGGGCTTCCACAGCAAGCAGGCGCCACATCCAAACAGAGCAACGTAGGAGGGACAAGATCAACGAAGGGTGTGTGTTGCCACTGAATGGAATTAGAATAATGCAACATTGCAAAGGGTTTTCACAAGAACAACGTATCTGCGCATCAACGATATGTTCTCGGAGCAGTTGATTGACCGTAAGATGATGGCGTATAGGTACCAGGAGCTGCAAAAGCTTCTTGGAGTGGAGAACATCGAAAAAGCAACTCTCTTGACACAGGCCGCTGACTACACTCGCCAGCTCCAGGTATCTTGGTGGCTTATCCCTGCGTTGGGTGTGCATTATAACTGGCCGATTTGCAGTCCAGGCGTGCTTGTCCAAACCCTCACATCACATACCCGTGTATGCACATAAGGGACTTGAGGAGTTCTTGCCAAGACACATTCTCATCAATACGCAGGCAGCAATGAGGCAGCTACTGGAGCTGCAGGGCGCAGCAAAGCTGCCAGAGGACATGCAGTGGGCCATCCGCATGTTGCTGCCGCGCCCGGCTGGCTCGCCCGCACCTGTGGCCCCGGCCGCTGCAGCGGCTGCAGTTGCTATGGCTTCCAGTGCAGGCGCAGGGGGCGCTGAGGGTGCCGGTCACGCTGCAGCGCTCGCTCTGCTGGCCGAGCATGCGCAGCAGGCTCAGGCACACGTGAGCTCCAAACTACTCTTCTCTTGACGTACTTGAAGCTTGCACTGTGACTTTCAGGCCCACCCCGCTGACCCTCAAGACCTCACCACAGAGGTTGAGCTTGGGTTCTCCCGAGTATGACTTTCAGGGAAGGCCAGATATGTCCGCTTGATCAGATGTGAGATTGGAAAGGTTGCGCCCTGATCGCACTCTGTGAGATTGCCTGCAGGCCGTTACGCAAGGCAATCAGGTCGGCGTTGCGGGTGGCGCAGGCGCGTTCCAGCCGGCTTCGGCAGCGCCGCCGCAGCAGCAGGCTTTCCAGGGCGCTGCCGGCCCGGCAGCCGGCGGCAACGGCGATCCCAACAGCGCGCTTCAGGCTGTGCTGGCGTCCATGCAGCAGCAACAGCAGGCCGCCAGCCAGCAGGCAGCTTCCCAGCAGCTGCAGGTGCATGCTTTATCTTGCTGTGTCGGGTGCCTTGCGCCTGATGGGCTTACCGTCTATGTGTTCAACCAAGTCATTGCATGCCAGGTGTCACACCTGTGTCAAAATGCAGCCGGGGCATCTCGGCGATGCTGACATATTGCTACCTGCATTAGGGGCTGCTCTGGTAGCTGCGGAAGAAATTGTGTGTTGCACACTTTTGTGCATTGCATCAAGTGATCTCTGCGCCTCAAGTGATTGTCTCGTGTGTGGCGTATGTGCAGGGGTGGCAAGGTGCTGGGAACATTCTGCAGGCGCTGCAGTTGCAGCAGCTGCTGTCGGGCATGGCGCCGGGGCTGGCTCCGCAGCAGGCCAACCAGCCGCAGCTCAACAACCTCAACCTGCTCCTGCCCCAACTCGCCAACGTCGTGCAGGTGTATTCAGCCTGAAGTCTATGGCACTGCAAATGTGGGATTGTTCCTTTTTTAGCAAATGTGAGACCATGCAGGAATTTACAGTTCTTAGCACATCTGGAACAGGCCACTTAGTCAAAAAGAATGTCAGGTGCCTTGCAAAATCACAGCAGCACCTGGCAGCATCGGCTGTCCAAAGAACAGGTGCTGTAAACTTAACAGTGTAAAGCTCGAGCTGGGCTGAATGCACGAGGCGTGTTCACGCAGGTGCCTCAGCAGCAGGCGCCCAATCAGGGCCAGATGGAGGCTGGCCAGCCGAATGAGGGAGACAGCGGCGCCACAGCCTCTTCTGGCTCCCCAGGCCATGCCGTATCCCAGCAGGCCTGAATTTAGCTGCCCAAAACTCCCGCTGTCAGCGTCGCGAGTGCTCAACTTAAAAATGTCTTTGCCCACCTTACGCAAATACTTTGACATCGCAACAGCCCAGGATGGATAAAACATACTCTACACGGCTTCCTTGAACTGTCGAGATGCGATGCATTCAAGTGGATTGACTCCCTGGCGAATCGTATAAAGCGAGTCTTTGAAGTGGCACTTTGGAAGCATTGCAGATGCCAGATGTCGCTCCTTTGAGAGATGCCATTGAAGTTTTGCAGGTCTTCTTATGCTTGCTACAGACGAACTTAATAAAAGATGACACGTCAAACACAGTCAGCGATTGACAATCTTATGGATAATGAGGGTGGACTATTGCACATGTGCAACTGCAACCAACACAGTGCTCTGTAAAACTTGTTACCGGCGATGACAGTCCAAGTATATATTTAGATTCAGCAGTTCAGTTTCAGCTTTGACTTGCGCAGATTTTTCTAATCAGCCGTCCAAGTCAACGCAGACTTATCCGCAAGATCCCAGAACAATCTCTATAGAGGTTGCTTGCATCTTGTGCCTGACATTATATAGATATTGCAGTGTGCCACAATTCTCCTCAGGACTGGAATACAGTCTCGTCATCGCTGTCGTTCTCATCACTGGATGAGTCATCGTCTGTCACCTCCACCTCAACAAGCATGTCCTCGGCAGTAGGCCACTCCAAGAACAGCTCATCTCCCTCAAATGTTCCCATGCTGCCCATTAAGTCGGTGGCCATCAGACACCGGTTGAGTTCCTCCGTCAGCATTTCGCGTTTGATGTCAATGCCGATAAACACGAGCTCCTGCCTGCGGTCTCCCGCGTCCCCTTCAAAATCCTGCACCCATTAGTGTCAATTTACACATATACATTTGGTGTTATGCAGTGTCACTATGTAATGGGACCATCATGCTCTCATCAGTTCTTAAAGGACATGCCGGCAGCCATCATTGGATTTGGAGGAGGAGTCCTCCTTACCATGAAGGTGCATACTATTCAAGTGCACCTCGTACACTCACGCGGAAAGATCATGCTTCCTACTCTTGCAGGGGAATGCGCTGCAAAGCAAGGAACTTGCTTTAGTCTTCTGAGCTGATGAGGAGCACACACCTTGCGGATTCCAGCGCGAGCCCGCTCGTCGTCAGGCCAGGCCTCTTCTGGCACGGCCGCAAACCAGGGCCCTGCAGGCCCCACCCGCAGGGTGCCGCCAGCCTGGCTCCAGTCGCCCATCATGTCATCACGCCCAGCCAGCCACATGAAGCCCTGTGTAGTCACTGTACTCTCACTCCATGCTTTTCAGAGTCTGCCTGTGGTTCTCACAGTTGAACGCCTTAGGGCCTCCCCTTATAGCACCTGATTACGCTCAACTTCTGCTCAGGGCTGCCAGCTGAAGGTCTCAACAAGAGTGAAGCTGCAAAAAGACTGCCATTCCAATTATACAGAAGCACTTCAACCTTATTTAGTTGGTTCAGGCAATAAGCGCTTTTACATGTGCCTGCGCCTCCTCTGTTCAGGTAATCCGTCTTAAGCGCATTCACATGGAGATGTGACCAACTTACCTTGGAGCGCAGGATGTTGCCAAAGGAGGACACCATCAGCAGCTGACGAGCACGCGCGCTTTTTGCTGTGGCTGTAGGCACTTCTGAGCGTGGCTTCTTGGCAGTTTGCATGGGTAGGCCATCTTCCTCCTTCTCCATGCGCGCATCACCTGCACATGATGTGTTGATTTTCTGTGCAATATATTGCAGGCAGTACCATTTCATGTCTAGCACTAAGCACTAAGCACTAAGTGACTGGACTTTTTTACTAATGAATCAATAGGAAAGTCCCACAGGGAACCCTTTTGTGAAAGCTCCTCATTGACCCTGCCTGAAGGAAGGAAGAAAGGAAGGAAGGAAGATTTACACATCAACTCCAGCCTAAAAGCCCTGACAAAGAAAAAACAGAACTTAGAGATTAGCCTAAGTCAGGACAGATGCATGCCGTGCATGCCTCCCTCGGAGTCAGATTCGTCCAGGTCAGGCTGGGGCTGTTGAAGGGTGAAGTAGCTTGTGAAAAAGCTGTGCAGGCGGCCGGGGTGGAACGGTCGGCGCGCGCGGTACACGAAGCTACCAATGCCATACTCCTCTGTCTCTGGCGTGGCAGACTCCCCTTCTCGCATCGCCTGTGCATCATCACGGAGCCAGCAGTTCTCGGTAAACTTATTACTTTTATTATTATTACACGCTTTTCCTGCCGAAGGCAAGGTGCGTCTGCAGACAAGCTGCATGTGAAGGCTGCCAAATTCCTACCCCTTGTTGGACTCGCCAGATCCAAGCAAGACCCAATCAACCGTGGGCACGGTGCTTAGTATTTGTACCGCCCCTCGCCAGCCGGGGCCAGCCGGAGTAAACTTATATGCCAACAATATCCCACTTTTCAGATGGTTGCACGCCCCCCTGACGTTCCCATTGCACATTGCTGCTGATGCTCTTATGCTTGTACATGAAAACCTTCTGCCAGGTATGATACTTGAGCATCCCAAGATTCCATGCTGCTGCTTGCACATGAGGATGTGCGGTGTGGGAGGGTCTGCTGGGACTTTGCATGCAGTACACCGTCCAAGGATGTGCAGACCCATTTCCAGTGAGGCTGCCTCACCTTGAGCCAGCCAGGAGCAGTCTCTGCCTTCTCAAGGCTGAATCTGCCCGTTCCCATGATGGCTTTGGGGGCGACTGCGCCCTCCTTTGTTGCAATGACTTTCGCCTCTGTGTTGAGGGAGTGCAGCAACGCCTCCAGTCTGGCCAGCTCCGCTGCGCTCACCAAGTCACCCTGCAGTGCAGCTTAGCAAATATCAACACAGCTCTATAGGTGCACATATAACGGTGGGTGAGACGTACTACAGGGAGGCACTGAAAGACTTTTCGCCAGGGGAGGAGTACATTTCAAGCATATGCAGTCGTCCAGTGTCTTTGGCAGGGTGGTATTTGAATGTCGGACTGCATCAAGTCTGCTTGCCCGCATGCAGGGTTATCTTTAAGGATTCAGAATTTTTATTACTCAAAGTCTCGCGCCTTGTTGAGCAGGATGACATCAGCGAACTCGATCTGGTCCAGCATGAGGTCAGCAACATTGCGATCGTCCTCATCAGCGATGTCCGGATCGCGCTGCTTCAGAGTCTGCAGCGACTCAAAATTAGCCATCAGCTGTGCTGCGTCCACAACGGTCACGCACGTGTCTAGCGTGGCCATGTCCTTCAGCTCCGCCTGGCTTCCGTCGTCCACATCCAGAGTGAATGTTTCGGCCACCTGATCATGCATGCGCACACGGTTCAATTGGGGCGGGTTCATGCGTCTGTGTTTGGCGCAATTGACATTGAAGACTTGCTAGGCACAACAGAAAGCTGACAGGCTGAAAAAACCGTATGCATTCCCCAGTTGGTCCATTGCTGCCAGTTTAAACGCATCTTTTTGTGTCTGGATCGGGAGGGCAGCAACCGGCATGACAAGGAAAAGCCATACACATTTAGACACAGCATGCTTTCAATGGCGATTGGGCTCTTGTTCCAATGACAGCTATCCCCGTCTGCCACACCTAAGTTGTTCAGCATGCAAGCAGCCCAAACCTGAAGATTGTATATGTGATGGGCAATATTTCAGTCTGGGAGGGCATTACGAGAATGATGGACCACCTGCATGGGCTCGCTGACGCCGGTGGACTCGATGAGCAGGTAGTCAAATGCGCGCGACTTGGCGAGGCGAGTCACCTCCCTTAGCAGGTCCCCCCGCAGCGTGCAGCAGATGCACCCGTTGCTCAGTTCCACCAACTCCTCCTGCGCCTGCGCTGAACGCACACTCGAAATTACTGTTGACTTCCCTCTTGCGAGCCACATTGAAGCCCTCTGAAAGCCATTTGAAGTCCGTTGCAGCAACCTGTATGACGCAGACTTCTACTAGCCGGCCCAGTCGAGGCTTTAGCACGAAGCTAGCACCAGCCAGATTGCAGGGGACTGCCGTGCTGCATGCAGACAACCCTGACTACAGCTTCCTTTTCTTGCAGATTGGATCTTCTCCTGTACATCTGGGAGACCCATAATTGTTGCATGGCTGCAATTGAGCAAAGTAAGCATTTTTAAGCAGAATCCAGGTACAGCGGAGTCTGGAGTGCCAGCCAGACTGAGAGAGTGGTGGTCACTTGCCTGCACAAGCCTGGCGTTTTTAAGCAGTGCAGCGTCGATGTTGAGCTCTGCCATATCGTTGACAATAATGGCGCATCGCACGCCCTCGGTGTTGCTCAGCAGGTGGCGCAGCAGCGTGGTCTTGCCAGCGCCAAGGAACCCGCTGATGAGCATCACTGGGAGCTTGGCACTGCGCGGTAATTTTGTGCCTGCACGATCATGACATGGGTTCTCCAGTTAGTTTAGTGCTCCCCATCAAATGCAGCATTAATCAGGTCCAGAACGATACCTATTGGCCAGGCTCTGAACGGTCAGTGGCAACTGGGCAGTGGGGATCCTGGCTAGGGCAGGGTAGACGGGACAGTAATGCACAAGATAATTATAAATAGCACAACTGAACTGTTCTGAGGGTGTATTGGCTGTCTCAGGCATCACAAAAGGCCATTCAAGCATCCGATTCCCGAGCTGGGCTCAGAGCCATTGCGCACACTACCTTTTTGGACTCTCTTGACGAAGACGGCAGGAGACGGAGCATCCGACATCTTGCGATCCTCTCTTGCTTGAGATCGCGTGCGTGGTGCCATGATGGTTTAAATGTAGGCGGCCTGCGTCCTAGCCTGCGTCGCGGGGCATCAGCCATCTTCAACAAACACGATGCGGGAGCTGCAAGGGCAGCTTCCCGGCTTCAAGGACTACTTATCTTTCAAGCAGTGCCGTTACTACTGATCAATAGTTAGAGGATGGAAGATCAAGATCGGACTCGCACCTGTCCAAGGAAACGAAGCATACCTCGAGCCGCAATGAATTAGGACCTGGATCCGTTTGCGGCGGCTTGGTGCCTTGCGGCACACGCTTCTCGCCAATTTAGGCTACACAACCTGCCCACCTATAAAATCCAGCTGTTGCTGTGCATGACTGCATCATAATCAAGTTGTCAGGGCAGTCGTTTGAAACGTTTACTTGGCCACAGGACTGTAATATTCAGCGCGCATGTGCTTCTTCAACTTGCACAGCTCGCTGAATATTATGACATGCAGTCCATATAAGGGCATATCGTGTTGGTGTGGCACATGCCATTGTGAATATTCTTTTTACCAGATATGCAGCTTCTGGTGTGACATCTCATGATATCCTGTACAGCTGGCAGCATTAATGGAGAGTTCAGGCCAAAGATTTACACAGCACCGTTGGGCACAGTTTTAAGGCACCTTCAAGGCACTTCTGGCTGCCAGCTGATCAATTCAAGCTTGCAGAAACACTGTGCACACTGGCAGTAAGGGCGGGCCAAACAGCCCTTCAATCCCTAGCTTCTCTTGCAGGCACATGCCGCAAGCACCACAGCCCATGCACAGCGTCACCTCTTCCCCCGGTCGGCTGCCTGCAGCATGCTAGCTTGCCTGGTGTCTCAGTGGTACCAGCGGTTTGATATTGGAACTTGATTCCTGCTTTCTCAAATGCCAATAGCTTTTTGCGCAGTTTGGGGCCATTCTTCTGGTTGCTCCAGGACAGGTCCATGCTCTTCATCTTGCTCAACATCCCCTCAATGTCTCTGTCGGCTCACATCAATTTGCACCGTCAATCTTGCATCACAGCGCAAGCTTTCTAGGCGCAGCTGTCCTCCAAGCTTGACAAGTATATCAGATGCTTGTGCGCAAAACACCCCCTAGTTTGGCATGTTCCATTCTCATGGAAGTAGAGATCTGACACTAGAACTACAGAGCGTCTCCAAGCGGTCCAGAATAGTACAGGTGCAAAGTCTTGCTGGCCTTGCCACGAGCGCGCTCTCGCCTTGTGGTGCTTGCCTGCAAAACAGCATACTTTGATCAAAGCGTTTCTGTCATCTGAACAACCGCAATGAGCTACCACAACATGCAAAGAACATAAACTCCAGAGAAAGGAAAAACCAATTGTCCAGAAATGAACATGAAGTTTACTGAACTGAACATGAAGTTTATTGAACTGAACATCAATTTCTGAGAGTTTGCCAGTTTCTGAGAAATTTCAGTACGCACAAGCATACGGCCTCGTGCAAGCATGCCCGATGAAGGCATGCTGATATGTCTTAGCCCTGCAGGTGCAATGGGGTTATGCATCTGCACAAACCTGCACATGCATGCCACATGCTGAGTCACAGTTGCAGATATCAAGATTGCGCCCCTAGTGCTCTCAGACAACAAGCGCTGGCCACTGACAGACCAGGCTGTCTACAATGCGCAGATCTATTGCACACGCTCTGCAAAGAGAATAGTAACAATTCACCATTTGAGCCAAGCCCGTATGCTAAAGGGCGGCAACTCCTCCTCTGTCAAGGCCTCGACCAGATCCCTGGACCTGGCACCCTCAGTATAACCAGGGACCTCTGGCTGGCCGCTAGAAGCATACACCTGCCAGACATCACAAAACTGTCAGCAACGGCAATGTGCACTTTCACCTTTGAAGCATGCAAATCATCAAAATCATAATCGTATTTGCTGTTCCTGCCAGAGGCAAGGTGCACCATTGAACAAGCAACATGTAATGGCTGACACAAATCCGCCCCCCTGATGGACCCGCCAGATCCATGCAAACCCAAGCAGCAGGCACGGTGTTCATTATTTATCTCGCCGCCAGCCAGCCGGGGCCCCAATCATACGCCACCTAAATTGGAGGAAATGTCAAGAAATCACACGAGTGCCAGTGTGTGTAACTCACATCACCACATGTCGATGAGAAAGCAGAGCCGACAGAGTAGAGCACAAGGTTCCGCCAGGCAGCAGCCAGAGCTGGGCACCTCCTGTCTGCCATCATTTCCACCGCCTCAATGTTCCACTTATACAGGAGACAATCCGTCTGCGCCACTACCTTCCTGCAAAAGAGCCCTCTTCCAATTAACAGCATTGCCGGCCCCTTCAAGTTCCCGATGTCAGGTGCATGCAATTATTTCAGGCAGGGGCCAGTTTTGCAAAGGGAGGAATGGGGCAAAGGGACTTGCTCTATGGGGGCTCGCTCGAGGCCGATGTAGACCCCAAACACATTGCAGACCGCCAGATTGAATATGTAGCCGCTGTACAGAAAGCTGGTGGCCGAGTTTCCATCCCTCTTAGCTGTCAGCACAGCCACTCCCTCCACCATGAGATGCAGCGCCGTAGCCTGTGTGCATGTAAATTCAATAATCACACAATGAGGTCGCAGTCCAAATGATCGATGCTGCCGTAACACAATAGCTTGCACCAGTCAGTTTGGTAATGTCAATCTCAGTAGCATCTGAGTGCACTTCATCCGATCAAGCAACAGCGTGTCGCAGCGCAAGCCACCCCCTGTGAAGAAAGTACCAACCTCTACGCTGGTCTCCAAGCAGTTTAGGCAAGTTTGGGAGCTGCTCACCAAGCCTGAACCCCCAGCCTCAGTGTCGAAAATGACTTCCCCTGCCTTGTACCGCCGCCACCTGGTCATGTTGAACAACATAGAATAAGGAAGGGAAAACTTTGCATGAGAGCCTGCAGGAAATTCCCTTGAGTGCAGAACAAGCAAAGCTTCTTGCCTGCCCAAGTCTTGAGCCTGCTTGAACTCTAGGCGGCCCATGCCAGAGCGGCGGTACACTAGTCGCCACAGCTGCTCATCATCCTGGGTCGCAAGCTGCACTCTCCGTTCATCCCAGCACAATCTTAAGAAGCTATTGAGATGTATAAGTCCTGCCACCAGCACCAGGCTCGTAGTAAGCAGACAAATAGGTACAGTGTATTCTAATTCTGAGCTGAAGGGGTTTAGAGATGGTGGACGCTTGGTTTGTGATGAGACGGCGACTCACCGACAATTACAGGCCACAGAATGGCGCCGAGGAGCCAGACATCACCCTTCGCACGGGTCCAGGTGCCCCATGGAGGATAGTTCGCCCCTGCTGCGATGGCCAGAAAGACGTAAGCTGCGAAGAGGTAGAAGCGCAGCCAGAGCAAATCCGTGGCCAAAGCTGCCAGCAAGAACCATATGTCCGCGATGGTCAAATATCTGCAGGAGGAAAAGGCAACGTCATAAGATGTCAAGGTGGCCTACCTTGGGAAAGAAATCGGAAATTTGCAGTGTCTAAAGAAGAATGAAAATGAACAAAACAAGATATCAGAAAATGAGATGACTTACATCCCAACGCCATATTCAACAGCCATCGCGACAGATTCCTGAACTCATGCAAGTGGATTGTTCATGGGTTCCAACCCGACAATACCTTGTGTCAACTGGTATTTCTGCATTTCTCTAGAGTACAAAACATATCAAGAGTCACTGGCTCATCGACGCGCAGGAGTTCTTGCACTGCGAGGCTCCATTCTGCTAGAGCATGTCGTCAGTGCTGATGTCGGTGCTGACCTCACCGATGCAGTAAACTTATGTCAGATTACTACCTTGGCTTGGAGTAGGAGAGCATCTGGCGTTTGCCTGGTGCAGCAGATTCCATGAACCAATTCAGACAACAACTTTCGGCGCACCCAAACATACCTGCCCACCATGCAGGCAGTGCGTTTGCAAGCGTACGATACTTTTAGTGCTAGCAACACATGCATGTGCACTGGCCCGGCCGGGTCACATGCACGCAGGGAAATCATGATGGAGTCATGGCAGATCATGGCCTGTTAACAGCATTAGTGATGGCCACAGTGGCCACATCAATATATATTTGGGACAGTGTCATGGGCACATCAATGATCAAGGACCCATGACATCAAGACATCTTGAGAGCTCAGCTAGGCTTGTGTGATCATTATGTGCTCCCTTGCAGCTCTCTGCCTGTCCTGAATCATGCATTGGCGAGGCACTAAGCTTGCATTTACTTAAACTAAGCACCATCTTTCAGATGTGACAAATTCCCCAGAGACAGTCAAAATGTTTGCACTGGACGGCGCGCTGCTTCACCGCAGCACTCTCCATAGTGTGCATTGAGGACTCGGCCTCATTGCAATGGAGATCACAGCTGTGATATGGCATCAATGTCAACTCCATTTGCCTCCAGGATGCCCGTAAGATATTCTATCCGAGAGTCCATGTCGCCTTGAATATCGGCCCATCGCTTTCCCTCAATGCGGAATGGAATCTGGACAACCTTTGCACCCCTGCCCCCACAGCACACAAACCATGAGTCCACAACCTGTCCGTTATGATTTGTGAATCACACAGCACACTGCCCCTTCTGTTCCTTCATGTGTAGTGGAATGCAGTTTGGCTTTCACTCGCACGCGCGCTGTCTGCATGTGCAGTTGGTTTCTGCGACTGTGATATGATAGCATGGCTCAGATACAAGGAAGTGTTAACAAGGCTGACCTGGCTTCGAGGAGCCTGTTGCGCAGAACGGTGTGCCCCAAGTTTTGGTGGGGGGCCAGCGCAGCAAAGTGCGAAGGGCCGTCCACTTCAAGGGCCATCGGTGGCTGCCCTGGCACCTCAATGAGAATATCCACTGTTGCGGGCCCAAAGCTGGGGTGACTAATGCGGCCCTCAACAGTGTGAGGCACCCCGAGCTCGGACAGCGTCTCAGAGACGTCCTTCTGAAGCCTGCAGCCCAGACACAGAGCAAGTCACCTCCAGAAATAGGAAAGGATCCTGCTTGTGATCTCTATTTTATAGGATTTCATATAACCAAAGATAAATTATGCGGGAACCTTGTTGAGCCTGAATCAGCCCAAATTACAAGCAGAACAGTGACAAAGTTCAGTAAAGACTCCTCCCCTTGCCATGAGTACCGGTTTGTCTAGAAGAGAAACAAGGGTTGGCGGCAACTTATAACAATGTCAACAAACCTCGAGGTGGAGATGATTTGATCTCCATCTGCGAGCTGCTGCAGCGCTGGAGGGAGGCATGAAGGCATCTCCTGCCCGCCACTCTGCTCCATTGCTCTCACCATTAGGTCCGCCTGATGCACAGAAAAGTCTGTGTCAGGCCAGACACACCTCATTGCTGGTGAGAAAGGTGCAAGCATGAACCCTGACAGTCACAAGGAAGCACTGACAGCAACAGCCAGCCAGCCAGCCAGGCACTGGGCACCTGCGGGCATATCAAATGACCAAAAGGCACCATATATACACGTATAGTGGCAATCCGTGGCATGCAGTTTGCTGCCTTCCAACAGCCAACAATCAGGCAGTAAAAGAGCTGAAGAAAACCATGCAGATATTGTGGCCAGGTGAGATCTCAAAAAATCCAAAAGCGGCGATTAATTGATTAAAGAATCACAGACCTGCCGCAGCTGATTCGCCTCGGCCTTGGTAAATTTGTCAGCAGCGGCAGCGGCTGCGAGCTGGCCGGCAATATGCTCCAACTGCGCGCGCGTCAATTGGTCCAGCGCGGCAAGGCCCCACAGAATGTTGCAGGCCTCCTGGTGCGGCAGTGCTCTGCTGCCAGCAGAGCGCTGCTGCAGTTCGCCCAACACCTGCAGGCATGCACAGAAATGGTCATGTCACGCAGATTTTGGTGTCACTGGGCTTTGATGGCCTTTCTTTACCCTGTTACTTCACACATATCTCTTAACAGCTCTCCAGCAAGAGAGCTATTCATTGAGAGAAGTAAATTTTGAATTACTCACCGCGGGAGCAATAAAGCCCACGAACTTTGATAGCACGTCAGTACATCAGCTGCGTGCAGCACTGGACATGTGACATGAGAATTTAAAGAGCAGACTCTTCTGCCCCCCTCGCTCAGAAAGGGGCGCACCAGATCGACGGCAGCTTGAGGGAAGGGGTGTTGCAGGATGCCAGCCGCCAGGACAATGTTGGCCATGTTCTGCACCGAGAAGTTGCCGGGGTTGGTTACTAACTCCGCGCACGCCGCGTTTAATAATCCGCCGCCCAGTGGATTCACCCGCAGTCGCGCGCACGCCCACGCCATGTTGGCCAGGTGGCGTTCCCAGCCAGGCTCGGCAGATCCTAATTGCGCGAGCGCGAGCCGCGCAAACTCATCGGAGACATCGCGCAATATATTTTCTGGCAGCTCGTGCTGCAGCGTGGCGAGCGCCCAGAGGATGTTGCTCAGCTCCTGGCGGTGGAAGCGGCTGCGCTGCGGGAACGCCTGCACACAGACGCCGTAGATTTTGAATTTGAAGGTTGACAGAAACGCGGGATTTTGTGCACTCAGTTGGCGCTGCACGATGTAAATATTGACATGCCAAATACACTGCTAGTATATTATGACATGCCGGCAAGCTGACACAAGGCATTTGCAGCAGTGGAAGCTCCAACAAGCTTCTTCATGAACAAATCCCTCCATTTCACACTCCTTTTTGACATTGAGCACCAGTTTCAGGGCCCAGCGGGTCATAAAGTTCCAAGGCTGTTATTGAAGGAGAAGCTATCTCAGATCAGTCTATCATGCTTAATTCTGGGATGGAGTTTCGGTGCACACAGATAATCTCCCGTTTTCCATGCCCAAAACCTTGGCGAGGCAGCCGACAATCTGGCAAATTTTTGGGGACGCTAAAATAAAAAACACCGGTTCGCCTTCAAAATTTGCTCAGGCCTTCTCGAACCCCGAACGCCCACCTGCTTGATGAGGGCGTTCATGAAGCGTCCCTGCAGGGGGTCGTGGCCAAGTTTGGCCATGGCCCAGGCAGCGTTGCCAAAGTGCTGGGGCGTTGCCTGTGCCATTCGGCACATGAACGCCTCTGCAAAGCTGTCCAGCGCTTCAGGAGAGGCCTCGTGCTGCACCACCGCCAGGCTCCACAGCGTGTTGGCCAGGTGCTGCACGCTGAACCTGGCGCAAAAGAGCAAAATACAGGATTTTAGATGGTGGCTTCAGAGTGTTTGGAATCTAAGAACCTTCTCCATTTCGTCATTCAGAAATGCACATTCTCCTCTCTTATCCATCCTCTGTGCAAAGGGAAACCGGCTTTCGTCCGCTAAAGAAAGCTACTATCTCCAGAAAAGTGATGCTTCCTCACCTCATGGTGTTGATCGATTACATGCTTTTCCAGGCCCAGCCTACTTCAGTTTCGCTTGCATGCACAGCTCTGAGGACTGGCAGGAAACAATATACCTTGCAGGGAAGATGCAAAATGCACTGGTTATTGTGTTTATTGCAGAAACCACCCAACGCAGGAGATATGGGAACAAAGCTGCTTACTTGTCCAGGTTCTCGCGCGCATGTGCCAGGGCGCTGCGGAAGAGCTGTCCGCCCAGGGGACTCGTGCCCATCTTTGCGTACGCCCACAGCAGGTTTGACACACCCTGCAGCAAGACATCGAGTTTCACTGAGTGAAAGAAAAAAGTGTGCCTAGCTAGTTGGCCACGTTATAATCACAAATGTAGACTAATCATGGTGGCTCTTGAGGCCGTGCAGGGATGGATGCTCACTGAGAATCCAAACTGCAGAGGTATGGTGGACTTCAAGACAACCCCATTTTGGCATGCACTTTTTTTTGCACATGACCAGTCTGACTTGAACTCTGCATCAATTACATGGGGTCTCTAGATGTTCCTGTGCACTTTCCCGACCTTAGAGCAGCAGCCAGCCAGGTCCAGGCTCATTCTTGTCAAGACGGACTGAATTGCAACAGTTTTGGACAGAGATCATGCACAGCTCCTAGCAAGTGATCACAAGAAGCATTCTGCATCGCTCTGTCACCCAAGAAGACCTCCCAGCACCCAGCCCACACACAATGCCAAGAGCACAGTACTGCACCATTTTGTGAAAAAGTTTGTCCCAGGGTGTATATTTTTGTATTATTATTATTATTGTTATCATACGCTTTTCCTGCCAAGAGGCAAGGTGCGTCCTGCAGACAAGCTGCAATTATTTTTTATTAGGGTTCAGCAATTTTGTAGTGAAATGAAGGGGCGTACATGGGAGCTTGCGGATGGCATGCGCAGCAGAGCGGCCTCTGCAACTGCTGTGAGCAGCTCTGGGGGTGCGCTATGGTTGAGGATGGCCAGCCCATACGCCAGGTTGGCAATGTTCTGGAAACTGGCGTCCGGCAGCACCTTGGGAGCCACTGCAAACACCGCCTCCACCATGGCCGCCTGCACGCCATCCCAGAGTCAATAAATATCTTTATCCTCATTTAATACCATGAGTAGATTTTGTTGCCGTCTAAGCGGATCAGATTTGTGTCTTGGGTAATGAAGTGACGCAGACACTGGACTCACAAACTGCGTCAATTATAGCGTTGGTGCACGAAATGATCGCAGAACTGGAAAGCACCGGCGGAGTCACTTCAGGGTATTCCAGGGCTTCGGGGGTTCCCATATTTGAGGCTGGCTATGACCTGGATAGCGCTGAGGGGCTGGCCGGCGCGGACGCGGGAGAAGGCCCAGAGGATTCCGGAGACGTACTGCGGCTCCGGCAGCGGAAGCTCCCGCACGCGTGCGGTCACCCGAGCCGCCATGCCGTCCAGGAACGCCTCGGAGACCGGCACCTGGCCCACAATTCCATCGGTCAAATACAATCTCTGTGAGAGCCTTGCAAAAGCGCACCGCACGGAATACTTCTGGGAGCAAGGTTCATTAGACCAGTGCACATGGGTCCGCAAAGGAATAGCAATGCAAATCCATCAGGAAGCAGCAAAGAATGCTTGAATGCTTCATTCTGGGTGCGTTTTAATTCCTTTTCATGCAGGGATATTGTATTCTGCCGCACAACCAGCTTTGAAGAGGCCTCCAGCTCCAAATCATAGTTATGTTGAGATGCAAGGTCGCAGAATTGCAGCGCTTGTTTAAATGAATTGGCAAAAAGATGGGTGGCGTCCTGTTCTGCCGCACCTCAAGGCGGACGAGTGCCCAGAAGACCATCATGACAGCGGGCATCTTGAACGACGCGCGTTCCCTCTCTGCCAGCCTGATCAGGCGCTCCGCCAGCCCCTGACAGGCAACGCCTGCAAACAGACAACCATTCACTGAATACGTGCTTTGCATTGATGAGAGCTGTTCTAGGTACACTTGAACAAACATTTGCAAAAAGATCAGTTGCCCTGCAACTACCCCTCACGACTCCCTTCCTCGTCTTGCACGTCTTAGTGCAAAGTTGCTGCACTATAAACATCGGTTCTGTCAAAGCTATGACTTCTGTTGCGTGTGTGCATGTAAAAGTGGGGACATCATTTGAAAAGGGCGCACTTCACCATGAAGGGCAGGGAAGAGACTATTTGCATGGAATCTCGCCTGTGCCTAGTTTGTAATTTTCATTACTGCAAGAAATCTTAGTGTAGAGAGCAGAGCAATACCAGCCGTGGCTTCAGCGCTGAGATCTGGGTCGCCCACAGTTGAGCCCAGAGTGTGCAGAGCGGTGGAAATGTTGACCGGGTCAAAGTGTTCTGCGCCGTCGTCCACAATCCGCTCCAAATCTGCCACAAAGCTGCGCAGGATGTCTCGCTGCTTTGCTGCTGACGCTCCCTCACTGGCCAGCGCATCCTGGAAAAGCAACATTTCTCGTCATGCAAACTGCACCATGCTCTCTCACTGACATACTGCAAGCCATAAAAGCAGCAGTCCTCTAGATCAAGCTGTGAACCTTGTACAGACCAGTCGAGTACAAGAAAAACACAGTTCGCACCAGCTGAGAAATCTGTAGGCATCTCAACCTCTAAAGACACTGCACCGTCAGAAGAGGATAAGGGCAATTCAGAATAATCAAGGATGTCTTCAGTACCTGGGCGGCTGCAAATGCGTCGCGCATGTGGCCGTTGCTCTCCAGGCAGAGCTTGACTCGCTCCCGGTGAGTCAGCCGGTACGGCCTGCGCCCTGGAGGCCCCCGCCTCTGCTCCCTATTTGTTTCTTCCCTGCCCCACCCCACCGCATCACCCCCCTGACCAACCCCTGGCGGCCCATTCCCCCACCCATTGCGGGTGTCACTCCTTTCTTCCCTGCTGACTGTGCGCCTGCTCACCTCCACTGCCTCGCCCCTCTGATCCACCCCAGCCATCCCCCCACCCTGACTGCTCCACCCCTGGCTGGCACTTCTTTGGAGCCCTGCGCCACTCACTGCAGCCCCGCTCTCAAAGCAGTCCCAATCCAGGCTGTCATGTTGCACACTGCTGCCAGGTGATGCCTGCCGCTGCCTTGGACCTGATTCCTGACTTCGTGAGTCACCGCCCATCTGTCTGCCGTTGCCTGTAGCAGCATGCCTGTCGCTTGACACCTGCCCCCACGAGCCGCCGCTCACCCTTTCCTCAGCCTGTCTTCTGCGGTTGCCTCTGTCGGCATCCCTGTCGCTCATCACCTGACCCCAGGATGCCCCGCTTGGGCTGGACTGTGTCTGTCTGCTGTGACTGGCCGAAGCCGTGCTGCTGGCACCATCACTGCTGCTCTGTCGCTGCCTCCCAGCAGAGGAAGGGGCCGCACTTTGCCTGCGCGGTTGCCCTGTGGCCACAGGTGGCGTCCTATGTGCAGCGTCTGCCCCATTATGCATAGCATCCGCCGCGCGTCTGCTCTGTGCTGGCTGACTTGCACCCGAGCCTGGGGCATCTGCTGGTGTCGGCTCACCTAGCAGCGCTGTCATGTCGGCTAGGAGTGTGTCGCTCATGGAAGCAAACTGCTGCCCTGCGGGCGCAGCTTTCTCTCTGGCAGCTGCGGGCGCCGCCCTTTGTTCCATGCCAGTAGGCGGGGACCGCTCGCTTGCTGTTTGCTGCACGGCTGGCATCCTGGCTTCGGTGTCATTTCTCTTCGGCTCCCTCGGCTGCACCGTGTCTGGTTTCCTCGAGGCTCTCCTGGCAGCAGCGCGGTCTGCATAGCTGCTGGCAGAATTACTGACCGGTTGTGCAGAGGCAGCCAGCTGCCTTTGGGCTGCGCTAGCGGCGTGGGCAAGCCTGGAAGGCGGGATCTCTATGCTACCAAGAAAGGATGCGCCGCAGCGCCTGAGTCCCAGGAAGCCGCGCTGTGCGGCCCTCAAGCCAGCCCCTGCCATGCCCTGATGGCTGCTATGCATTCTGCCTGGAGCCATCCTCGCCCTGTGATGCGGCCCTGAGAAGAGAAAGTAGGCTTAGCAGCGACTCACAACTTGTTTATTTATCCTGGATCCCTTCAGAGTGGGCCTCGTTTTGGAACAACTGCCCCTGTGCATATATCATGTGTGTACGTTGATACAAAATCCAATAGAGTGACTTCAAAGCTTTTTTGGCTCGTCGTAGGAGGTGTACTAGCAAAATTCAGTCTCCAAACACAAGAGAGACGGCCCCAGATAGGCGATTACACACCTTGTCAAGCAGATCATGTGGGCAAAGCGTGCGAAGAGTCGATTAGACTGAGTGGCATGCAGCACACATGTTTTCAGTCGGGAAATTCGCAATCGAACAGTCTCGGAAGTTGGGATGGGCATGGGGGCTCTGTAGGGCTTCCCAGCGACCCTTCTAGCTAGCTGTAGCACGATATTACCCTTGCAAACCCCATCTGACTCAGCCCGCTTCTTGCTGCCCTTCGAGGACCTCTTCAAGATAGCGATCTCTCCATAATAACTGTCATCTATTTATATACAGTATATCCAGAGCTCTTGATCTACACCGGGTGTCCCAGGAGAGACCCCCGCCGAGCCCGTGAACGGCTACATGATCACGGCGAACCTGCTTGTCGCCAGATGCCGAGGGACCATTCGGAGCTCCAGCACCAATCACAGCAAACCAATGGTAAGACATTATCAGGAATACCATTATCCGATAACGAATACCAGAGGATGTGACCAGGCTCTTTCCATATTTTCGACATGCCCATGTTCTGGAAGGGTTGACTACCCTCCCTTTCTCGCTTTGAACGCGGGTCACATAGATGTCCAATAATATTGGAGAATCCAGGTTGATGATATCTCATATTGCTTATTTCCCTGTCCACCGTGCACTTTCCGGAAGCGGGTCGGTGACAAGGAAGCCCAGGATTCCCACCTGTGTCTGAGTCATTCTTTTCATCTTAACCGCTATGTCCTTAGTACACGATCTCTTCTCATAGACGTTTAGACCGATCGCGTTTAGGATGGGACGAGTCAACATGCAACGCATCAGAACCCTGGTGGGGGACCCCTAGTGAAGCCATTGATGGCCAGGCATTTGTTGTGGTCTCCAGGTTACGGGCTCGAGAAGCAGGCATCTACATCGTTCCTGACTGAGGCACAACGCTTAGCATTGGACACCGCCTTGGCCAACAAGCAATCTGCGCTTCCAGCTGTAGGTCAGAGGAAGAGTCCACCATGCCATAAACCTGCACACCCATGCCAAGATGCCTTGCATGCAGCTAGCATCATTCCCGAAATGACTACGCATGAGCACGCAGGCAAACCGCAGTATGCTTGCCGTGTTTGCAATCTGCATTCCTGATAAGCTACACACCAGCAAGAGCAGGGGTTGCTGGAAACATAGTGCATGATGTGTGGTTATCTCCACCAGCTGGCATCTGACCCTCTCACTGGGCCATGAGCTCTTTATGCATTGCAAATTTCTAACATCAAACAAGTGTAACACGTGGATATCTTGTGCAGCTGTTCCGAAATCGAACGGGCGCCTCGCTCGCTCTGGGAGCACGACACCACGAGAGAACGGCCGCACAAGTTTTGACGCCCACCACCGCAGCAGGCAAGCAGTAGTAAATCTGCAAGACACTACAATCGCCTCCAGTTGGTCAGCAGAAATTTACATAGAAATCTACAGCAGAAATTTTTGTAGGGGCATTGGCATGCCCTACCCCTGGTTTAAAAGAGCCCATCTGTACAGCACAAGAATCAACAGATTGTCTAAGAGTGGTCGCTGGGCCTGCAGCTTTAACACTTCCAGGTTGCTTGCAAGCCTCTATCTATTAGAATAACTCCCGATGACCTGCACATGCATGCAAGGCCACGGCAGTTGGCAATGGCAAAACTGTGCGGAGGACCTATTTGCCTTGCGCTTTCCAAAAGAAGGGCTGCAGGCAGCAGTGTGTGACATTCGCTGTCTGCAACGCAGGGGCCGCGGCGTGAAGGCGGCTGGGAGAGTGAAGAAGGGTGGGGCGGGGGGTAAATTCACATGGGGAGGGCTAATGTCACCGGGGCTCGACCGCGCGCCGTCGCCTGTGCTAGACCGCAATGACCCCAACTACGAGTCAGGCGAGCCTCGGAAAGCAGATTTGAATTTTGAACATTAAATTTCGACCATCCTGATCATTAAAATATGGAGTGCAACATCTGAATCTAGAAAATGCTAATGTCCTGATCTTGAAACACTGCAGTGCAAGTCTAAATCAAGAGTAATTGAGTGTCCTGTCCTTCAAAATTTGCATACAGGGTGTGATGGCCTCTTTGATCCAATATCACCACTAGTTGTCCACGTGGCAGGACAATCTAGTGCATGTGGCCAATGACCTGGAAGATGTATGAGAAAGGGGATGTGTTAGATAGGGTACTCACGGGTGCGGGCACCGGAGACATCTGCTATGTCTTGTCGGCTGGCAGAGATGTGAGTTTTCTCTCTGTCTCAAGGTGACGACGGAGAAATGGAGCAGCACATGACCAGCGTGCAGAGCCAGCAGGTGAAACAGTACAAGCAGTCGGTGAGCAGTCCCTCCACGCACTCACCTGCTGGGCTGTAGAAGTTTTTGACAGTTTGTTTGCGGCGGCACTTTGGCATTATTTGGGATTCTGAGATGGACATTCCTGGAATCATGCTGTGAAGACAGTCGCGTTTGGGCCTGCAATGTTTGCAGCAGTCCAGAAAGGTCTTCGGAAAGGATCGTCAGTGTCACTCAGTCTTTGGTTTAGGTTTAATTTCAGTTGAAGCCCACCTGATCTGAAGGTTGTGTGATGCTTGGTGATCTGACCAAAAGCGTCCTGGGATCTTCTTACCAACCCGAGTCTCCTGCATGCGGTGCCATTATGGCACTGAAGTTGAAGGGATTTGTGTCTCCCAGGTGGAAGCCCTGATAGATGAGTATTTCAACAGCGGGGACCTGCAGGAAGCTAGCACCCGGCTGCAGGTGGGCACTGCAGTTTAGATATGCCCTAAAATTAAAAAATCCTTTTAAAACAGAATTGCGGACTTGTTACTCTGCATTGTCCCGGCGGGAAGGGGGTGGTATTAATACCGAGCACATGATGTGTCCACGGTTGAGTGGGTCTTGCTTGGATTTGGCGAGTCCAGCAAGGGGTGGCATTGAGGCTGCCTTTATCTGCAGCCTGTCTGCAGGACGTACCTTGCCTTCTGGCAGGTACAGTGTGCAAAATGAGAAAAGATTCTGCATGCTTGCTTTTGCTGTTCTGCACTTGATGTACAGGCATGTGCCTGCCCCCAGTATGACAATGATGCAGCTTGATGTACTTTGTGGAATGGACTGGCACACTGGCTGTTGTACAAGGCTAGCGTGCCAAGACCTTTCCTCAAAAATGTCTTTTCAAAACAGAATACTGGACTCAGTGCTCTGTATCGCCCCGGCCGGCGGTGTGCGGGGATTAGGTTTACTGGTGGTTTTTGCATATTTCCGATTTGAAATCACATTCCGTAAATCTGTGGCAGGAGCTGGACGAGCCGGAGTACAACCACTTCTTTGTGAAGAAGGTGGTGACGCGCGCGCTTGACAAGCACAACCACGAGCGCGAAATGGCATCCATCCTCCTCTCAGCACTCCTGGGCGAGGTAAAACTTCTCCTCCCCCTCAAGACACAGTTGCATGGTTTGGGAAGCCTATGTACAGGCAAGCACCGCACGCATCACGCATTCTTGTTTGTACTGCTTGCATCTTCAGCGGAGGGACCGGCTTGTGCTAGAGAACTTGCACGATGTTTTAGCTGCCCGGCATGCATGGTCTCAGCAAAATTTTGTCACAATTCATGCTCTTCCTGCTTTAGTTCCTCGTTCCTCGTTCAGTGACAAGGTGATAAGTGCGCACTCTGCCGCTTGTGTACATTCTTTGGATGCCGACAAAGCTTTGCTCCGCGCGTGCGCGCACCGGATAGGCCTCTTCACTTTCAAGCATCCTCTCGACGCTCACAAAGCGTAGGCGCAGGGGATAAGCCTGGAGTGTTCATGTCTCACCAGGATAACAAGCTGATTTGATTTGTACTGTGCAGGTGATAAGCGCGGCACAGATGGCGAAGGGCTTCAGGCGGCTGCTGGACGCGGCGGCCGACCTGCGCCTGGACGTTCCCGAGGCCCCACACCAGATCGCGGCCTTCATCGCGCGCGCTGTAGCGGATAACGTGCTGCCGCCCGCCTTTGTTGAAGACATTCCAGCAGGTGCAATTTGTTCCTCCATATTGTTCACATTCCCAACTCTGATCCTGTGGGATCCGCACAAGAAAATGAAGGAGAAGAGAGAAAAGGGGGGGGGGGGGGGGGGGGGGGGAACCTTCCGCGCGCCATGGCCGATGACGTGCTCCTGCCCGCCTTTGTCGAAAACAACCGGGCAGGTGCAGTAAAGGGCATCAGGAATTCTGCTCTTCTCAACACAATTCCTATGTTGCAAATTGCGCAACGATGCTTTGGATTTAGTCGCAGCAGAACTCCAGACTGAGCAGAAAATAAGTGTGTTTCTATCAAAGTTGGGCGAAGTGCACGTGAGGGTCTTGTAGGGTTGAAACGTGCAGGGATTCTTCTTCTGGCATGACCATGCCAACAATCTACACCCGGTTGAGCAGCTTCCATGGTTGATGACGCATTTCAGCATGAGGTGGTGAGCATAGGACCTGGACCTGCGCATGGAAGGCAAGAATTCTTGGGTGCCCTCTGACAATACAAATGATGTGGTCGCAGATGAGCTGGACGATGTGGGAGTGGTGAAGGTGCGATCTGGTGAGCTGCTGCGCGAGCCTGGGGCGGGCGAGCGCCTTGCCAACATCTGGGGCTCCGGTGCCGGACTCGTCCTTGAAGAGACCCACGCCGCGATGGGCCGCCTGCTCAAGGTATGCGCCAAGTCCTCTTTGCATTCAGGGTCTTAGCTGTATTGTTATTATTATTACACGCTTTTCCTGCCAGAATCAAGGTGCGTCTGCAGACAAGCTGCAGTAAAGGCTGCCAAATCCCTACCCCTCGATGAACTCGCCAGATCCAAGCAAGACCCAATCAACCGTGGGCACGATGCTCAGTACTTATACCGCCCCCCGGCTGTATGGCCCCCAATTAATAGCATGGAACCCTTGACATAAAAGCTTTTGGAAAGTGAAGCTGGTGCTGGGCGTGTGCAAGAGACCCACGCCGCCACAGGCCGCCTGCTCATCTTTCCCGGTTCTCTCACTCGAGGTGTAGGAGTAAGCAGCCAGAAAGCATCCAAAGCTTATGAGGTGGCTGTGTGACTTGCAAGGTTCGACTGTTGAGCTTGACAGTCGCATCGATGCAATGGCTGTATTGTTAATTCAGTAATTATGCATCTCAATGGACCGCTGTTTATCTTTCTGCTGCCCTCTGGTACCCGCATGCTTCCTCCCCATTCAGGAGCCGCCTGCATTTCGTCATCAAGCAAGTCAAGCCTGCTGCAAGATGTTTCATGCATTTCCAGGTTTCCTCGATGTTAATCATGCAGGGTAGCGACGAGTGAAAGCTGCCTTTACTTGCTGCCTAACATGTAATAGTCTGTGTCACAGGAGTATGTGCGGTCGGGGGACTCGGCAGAAGTTGAGAAGGGGCTGCGGGCGCTGGCGGTGCCATTCTTCCACCACGAGTTTGTGCGCCAGGCGGTAGTCATCGCACTCCACAACACGCCAAAACAGGACTCCATTCTGCAGCTGCTCGGCGGCTTCGCGGAGTCCGGATTTCTGTCCACCACGCAGCTCGTCAGGGTGCGTCCTGTTTCAGGAGATCAGGATGCGCCTGTTCTGTCTTGATTGCGTGAGGCTTGCCTGTCCCGGGAGTTCAGGGATCGGGATTGAGTGGTGTTCGGGTTTCAGGCGCACATCTCTTCGCAGGATTGGGAGATGAAGTGATTGTTTGAAACACCAGGGGTTTCAGAGGGTGGCGGACAACCTGGAGCGTGACGTGGCGAGCACGCGCGAAAAGTTCGAGGCAATAGTGGCGGCCGGGTGTGCGGGCGGCTGGCTGGAGCGCGGCTTTGAGGAGGGCTACTTGGGCGCGCACGGCCGCACCAACGGCACCGCGCCCACGCCCGAGGCCAAGGTGGGGCTCGTTGGCCTTCTTCATGCCCCTTTCTGCACTGGTTCTTGGTCTAGAACCTGAGGGTGTGAAGGGTCAATCATTAGGGCTGAACAGGCACGTGGTGCTACATGGGCGCACACGGCTGCGCCAACGGCACCGCGCCCACGCCCGAGGCCAAGGCGGGGCTCGTCGGCCTTCTTTATGCCCCTTTCTGCACTGGTTCAGGGTCTAGGACATGAGAGTATGGAGGTCATTAAGCAGGGCTGTAGGGGATGCGCAGTGCCTCACGAGCGCGCCGGGCTGCGCCTCCGACAGCCTGCCCAAGGCGGGACCTAGAACTTCTTGTTGAGTTGTCAGGGTTTCTTTATATTAGGGTTTAGGGAGGTTAGGGTGAGATCCAGCAGTCTACAGGTGCGGCACAAAACCAACCCTAGATCAAGCCTGTGTGGGGGCCCCTACCGGCATGTTGCGCCTGTGTTGCGGAAAACGAGGTGGTTACATGTGTCATGGCTTGTGACCGCTTGTCTTCCCGTCACATGCGGAGCATGGTGATGCCTGAATCCGGAGCTACTTAATTCATGTTCAGGATGAACATTGCGCGAGTGAAATGCGCAGCATGGTGCGGTCCTTGACCTCACATCTCTATGTTAGCTTTGATGTGGGCTGCTGTTGCGCACAGGCGTTCAAGCAGGGCGTGATTGGGATCGCGCGCGAGTACTTCCTGTCAGCCGACACCGAGGAGGTCGCCACCGCTCTCAGCGAGCTGGCCAAGCCCGAGATGCACCACATCTTTGTCAAGCAGGTGCGTGCCCAATGCTCCGTTTCTTTTCTTTTTCGCCTAGCGGTCACTCAGATACCATTGCCCCAATGCGACAGCTTTCGGGGGACTGCCAGGTTGTTGCATGGTGGGTCAGCCTTTTTAGGTTTGTTTGGTCAATATCTCTAACATTTGCAGGAGAATCCGTTGGTAAACCCTAATGCCTGCATATTTCGTTTTGAAAATCTTAGGTTGGAATGGATTCGAATTGCTGTCAAGGACTTCCTGCTGTGTCTGCGGAGGCGATCCTGCTGGTGCTGGCCCTGAGTGATGGCACCCTTACTCTCCTGCTTAGAAAGATGTTTACACTGTCCCAACCCAGGGTGAACAACTAATATATTCCAAGCTGATCTCCCTGCGCAGGCGATTCTGCTGGCGCTGGACAGGCGTGACCGCGAGCGAGAGATGGTGAGCGTGCTGCTGGCAGCGCTCAACCCCAAGACTGTCTCCGAGGACAGCATCGCTCAGGGCTTCACCGACCTCATGCTCGCATGCGAGGTGCGCCTACAGAATGCGTTAAATATCAGGGTGCGCTAGGTCGGGGTTGGTCTTGCACTTAGCAGTAAGTGCTTTCGGCTCGACCCCAAGAGCCTCTCCGCGGCATGCATTGTGCATGGGTCGCTGACCTCATGCTCGCCTGCGAGGTGAATCCCACAAGTGGTCCTTGTTCAAATGTCAGCTTGCAATGCATCAAGGTTGTCAGTGCAGGAAGAGCAGGCAGTGCATGAAAAGGCTGTCAGTGCGCATGGTTCATGAAAAGCAGGCTGCCTCGTTACTAGCTTCTTTGATTGTTAGGGTGGACTGTGCATGTGCATGACTCTGCTGTCATCGCAGAAGTTGTTCTGTGATCGTTGTCTCCCTTCTTGAAGAATGTGTTTATGTGCTGCTGGACCCTCGGAAAGGCCCCTGTGTCTCTCCCCGAAACTTTTAAAAGGCATGAAGGCTAATTTTTAGGCAATTTGGTGTCTGCATGTCTGGCAGGACTTGGAACTGGATCTGCCGGACGCAACGCACTACATAGCGCTTTTCCTGGGCCGCGCAATCGTCGACGAGGTTATATATTTTTTATTTATTTTTTGTTTATCTCATTCAGGGTTTAGGGTTTGGGTGCTTAAACCAGTCATGCACAGGATTCCGCTAATTCTGTACCCTGTGCTGCTGCTACGTATTCAATAATGGACTGTTGTGTGTAAACTGGAGGAGCTCCCTCAAAAGCCAGAATTGCAAGACATGCAAAGTGACCTGCGGAACGTGTGTTCCTCGGGATCTTAAAGCCTGACGTGACCTCTAGCGTGGCTATTTATCACACAACACGCGAGTCAGGGATGCTTGAAGCCATGGCCATAATTTAAGTTTGTGATGTCACAGGTGCTGCCGCCCGCTTTCCTGACTACCGTGCTGGCGCGTATGAACGATGACTCCCTGGGAGTCCACATTGTGCGCAGCGCAGGTGCTTTCTTCCGCCCTCTGCATTTTTACAGAAACAGGGTTCAGATACTGTAGTACTCATTCTGAAACCCACAATCAATAAATAATGCTCTCGACAAACCCAATCCCATGGACATGATCCCTGGGAGATTTGGACAAACATGTTTGTTTATGGCCAGGCAACATGCTGGGGGCCAGGCACGCCGCGGAACGGCTGCAGCGCTGCTGGGCGACACCCTTCGCATTCTCAATCGACCACCTGCGCCACAGCTTCCAGGCAAGTCATCCTTTTCAAAGTTGCCCCTTCATTTTTTTTTCAGGAATTTAATATTTTCCGTAGTGTTGTTTCAGGATGTGTTCTCTTTGAATATCTGTGGGCCGTGTGGCATCTGCATACGTGCTTGACCCACCCTTTGTGCCTTGCCATGTCACCAAGAGGGATCCAGATTCGATGCACTTGCCAGTCATTGCCCAGCTCTCATGCTGGAACGAGATGAAAAACAATGAAGCAACTGTGTAATTTCAACCCCTACTTGCCAGAAAGCACTCATCCTGCAGGCTTATAAGGATCCCGGGCGTGACTCGCCAATACCGTCATATCAGGGGCTAGCTTCAACGTGCATTCAAATCCCTCAACCTCCTGACTGCGACTTTCAAAAGCCAGGTTGTCTAGGTGACCTTCTGGTCAGGCAAGTTTTTCTCTGCCTTCTTCTTCAGGCTTCAAAATGCACAGCTTGAATACAGTTTTGAACCGTTCACACCTGTGCAGGCGCTGCTGAAGGAGTATGTAGTAAGCGGTGTCTACGCGGAAGCTGCCGGCTGCCTGCGCGCGCTGGACGCGCCGCACTACCACCACGAGTTTGTCAAGCGCGCTCTCCTGGCAGCATTCGAGGCGCCCGAGCAAGCGCCCGCGCTGATGAGCCTGCTCGCCACGCTGACCGAGACCGGCCAGGTGTCACAGGTGGGCATTCCTCCTTGTCGTTCTCAATTTGTGCGGCACATCAACACACTGTCAAACCTTCGTTGTATACTGAGTGTCCATGTGATTGATTATGTGATTGATTATGTTGATTGCTTTCCTGGCACCTGCGAGGAGGAGAAAGGTACAAGCACAGGCGTCTTCGCTGTTGTTGCTTGCCTACTTCACAGGAACTCGCTAGTGTCTCATGGTCAACGCAGCTTCTGTTCATGATAGTGACTACAAAATATGTCTGCAGCAAGATTGTCTCTTGAGTGCCTTTTTACTTACGCGCAAGATAACGACCTTGAGGCAGATGCCAGTAGGGGCATTTCAGCTGCCGAAACTGGAGCTGAAACTGCAGGTTATTTGCGTGCTCAAATAATGACTAGTGTGAGGGGCTCTGCTTTCTCATACTTTGGTCTCACATCGATGCAGCAAGCTCTTGAAATTTAGCAGCTGCAGTCTTGGCGATCTGTTCATAGCCCTGCATAAGGTATTTTTTGTTTGTCATCTGAGGCAGGGATTTGGCAGCCTTTACATGCAGCTTGTCTGCAGACGCACCTTGCCTTCGGTATGAAAAGCGTGTAATAATAATTATAATAATAATAATATTCTGAGTCAATTGCTGTGTTTGCGCGCAGACGCAGGTGGACACAGGGTTCCAGCGCGTGGAGGGCGATTTGGACGACATCGATTTGGACTACCCAAATGCCAAAAAGCTGTTTGCTGACTACAAGGCGCAGGCAACCGAGTCTGGCTGGCTCTCGCCCGCAGCTGCCTAGAGGGTGTCAGGGTATTAAGGGGTGCAAGATTGAACAGCAGGGTCAACCCTGTCATAACCCTAATCACACCCCTCAAACTTGTATGGCAGAGATAGCTCCGAAACTTCCTCCCAGGCGACGCCAGGCGACTTTTGCTTGTCTGAGACTGGAGCTTGTGAGGTGTGTGTTCTGATGTGCCAAAAAAAGGAAGGTGACTCTGGATCAAATGTAAGACAGCAGGCTTCGACGGCTGACAGCCTGTCAGTGACAGCATAGGACTGTCGTACTCGCCAAGTATTTGGGCGAGCATGTGACAGCTGCACGTGCCTTTGTGCCGGGGTTTTGCATGTGTCATTATGGCATCAGCCGTGTTTGGCACACCCTGTTTGTGTGCACGTGCATGGAGCTTGCTGCACAGCTGCAAAGGGTGTGTGAGTGGTGTACAACACATGCATAATTGCGGCATGCTATACCAACACAGAGTGTTGCAGCGACTGTGTACTCTATGAGTGTGAGTGTTTGACTTTTCTTGTAATCAAGTGCAGCAGTCCTGGTTGGTCTGAACCGGTCTGTGCCCTTTACGGGTGTAGTTCGATGAGCCACCCAAGTTCAGTTTTAATTCACAATCCTGCTTCTGCCAGATGAATGATCCTGTAGAACTTGTGCGCATGTTGCATAGTTCCTGGATCCAGGATCCAAGCATCTCATTCCCGAACCCCCTTGATATTGGAGTTCAATTTATAGCTCCGCTACTTAGATCCTATAAAAGCGCTACCTCCAGCTTTCTGGCGGCGGCAGCGGTACCTTGAAAATAGATAGACGCAGCAAACCAATATTGTGACACATTGTTTTGTTGTTCATCTGTTTGTGTGGAGAAGGGCACTACTTTCTATAGCAGCGGTAGTGTCACTCGTAGAAACATGCAAGTCTATTAACGTGTTCCCGCCACTTGGGCACATCATGGCTTCAATAGGTTCTAGACAGCTAGGGCACGTTGGTGCCGGTGGTTTGTTTGCAGATTCAGAGTTGGCATACATTTGCATGACATGCAAAAAAACAAGCAACCACACGTAATGACATGTTGTACCGCACGTGGCAGGCTATAGAGCACCCTGAGCCTACAAGATGACATAGATGCAGAGCAGTGGGTGTGTTCAGGATCTGGCAGGCAAGGAGCACAAGCTCGCCGTCAAGGCAGGCTTGGACATGTGCATGTGAATTAATCTAACAACAATTACTTCATTAGCATCCCTACTGCTATCCCTGTAGCCTTACAAGTGAGCCGGACAGACCTCCCATTAGTGACCGCTCTACCCCAGCTTTGAACTCTGTTGCCACAAGCGGCTGGGCCGGCGTTACCTCCCAGACACACTCACTGCATCTAGGCCCCTGGACCTGCTCGGCATATATGCAACATGAAGCTGGCCCAGCAATGCAAGGGTGCAATGGCATGTGTTCAATAAGCATCTGCGTGGTATGTTGCTGTTGCATGAACAGCGTCCAAGAGCTGCATTGCCAAAAGGCGCAGCGCCTGGCATGGCATGGCACTGTCAGACCAGTCAGAAGCTGCTGATCACGCCAACCCCAGCCATGGGTGGCTGAGTGCGCCAGCAGCCGATGGCCGCTGCCCAGGGTCATGCGCTGTGAGCTGCTGATACAGGTCGTGTGCCTGGTCATCCAGGACCACCCCAGATTCCCTCATCACGATGCCACGCTGAAAACGTCAGCCGCCTTGGTGTACGGCTTGCCGACAATGCTGTTGAAGTGCAAGGTCACCAGGCCATGTAGCACATCTCACCAGGCAGCGCAGGCGGGAGAGGCTGGTTGGCGTGCGTGGCAGGCCCAGCGGCATCCTTACTCGCCATTTGCCACCACCTGTCAGTTCAGGCAAGCTGAGCGGCTTGTGACTCCATTTTACAGTGGGTGCTCGTTATTATAATTCTCTTTACTGAATGTTCTGTCAACATCTTCCAGGTGAGTGAAAATGCTTATGCCTAGAGCTATTAGCGGGATACTTAGCCTGAAGACTTCTCTGTCTGTGCGTTGTGCGTGAGGATTTGAATCCCTGATAAACCAACCTCCTGAAAAAGAAACACTTGTGAAAATGAATACAGGCGAGTGGAATTGGCACGACAGCGCGCCGAAACAGAAGCACGACCCAGAAGCTGGTGGCCACACGGTGGACCCCTACAATCCCATGAGCCTCTTCCGGCAGTACATGCGCTACCGGCCGGCCATCACCTCAGCGGTGAGTCACCCAAAGCCTAGAAGCAAAGGGCAAATATGCAGGCAAGGCCAGCGCCAGACATTTATGGAAGGACGGCGTCGCTAGGGATCCGGTTAAACTGTGTGGCAGCCGCTCAGAAAAGAGATGTCCATAGTCAGCTGGGTAGCTACCGTGCTTGGTAGTGATCCAAAAAGCACACGAATCAATCGAAACTCTTCAAGAGGCCCATCGTAGGTTACAGACTGAGCAGTCTTAAATGGAGTCACCCTGGCTCACAGGATGTTGACTGGACATTGGCAGGGGCAGAGGCGGCTTCTATTAGCCTCCTGTATTTTGAGCTAATTTCCAGATTGAAGGTGGGCAGGAAAACCAGAAAATCCGTGTGAGTGCTAGAGCATCATTGACAAGCTCATTCATCATGCTTGCATCAGCGAAGTGGCGATGGTTTGAGAGGCGAGTAAATCAGTTGTAACGGGACGCTGCTGCTCATGAAGCAGTATCACATAAATATACTATAACGTAGGCCGTGCTTAAATTTCCCAGGCATCGGATCTTTGTCGCAGCATGAAGGTACTGCCTACTGGGCACTGGCAGAAAGCAGGGTTCCCTCCTCCCCCATAATGCAACAATCAAAGTGAACAACAACAACAGTGGTGTGTGCTGTGATTCGAAGGTGGGAAAGGCTGAGTCATCCTGGCTGACTGGGTGTTGACTGGACAGGGGCAAATGGCAGGCGGGCAGAGGCGGGCTGCCCGAAGAGCCCGACAGGGCAGGGCATGGGCAGGTCACGGGCAACCAGGAACGAAACCCCTTCCAATTCCTGACGCAACGCCCGAGGGGCCCGCGGCGGCGGGGGGTCCGGCAGCCGGCGCGGCCGCGGCCGCGGCCTGCGCTGAGCTTTCCCTTTGTTTCACTGCGGGGGGGTGTAGTCCTGGAATGTGGCGGCCGGGGAGTCCGCGGCACCAGGGATCCCGGCGGCCGCGGCTGCGGCCGGCGCTGAGCGGTCCCTCCCTAATCTCTGGGGGTCCCTGATAGTGGCGGCCGGGGGATCTGCTCGCAAGATCACGTCCTACAGCTTTCAAGATGCAGGCATCATAGACTCCGATCACTGCAAAGCAGACCAAATCTGTCAGGAAGCAATTAAAGGGTTCCCTGCCTTTAAGGGACTCTTCGCTGAAACAATCCTGTCAGCTACAGCCGGACGCGCCCCTAAGCATTATTACATTATCCTGCCGCCCGGGAGAAGTGTTTGGATTGGGGGTGTAGTGCGCAGGCACCCGTCATCCTGCAAGTGGGATTCTCAAAAGCTCCTAGGCCCAGATATGGCGCAGAAATGCGCTCAGCAGAATGATACTTGTAATAACGAATTTTTTTTGTCATGGTTGGATGCACATGCATTAATTGAGAGATTTTGCAAGAAGATATCTAATCAAATTATAGAGCACTCAATGACAAACCTAATCTTTTTCTCCCTCATTAAATTTAATGTGGCAACGGTGATGCTTGCAAGGATGCGCCACTGCAGGATACAGAAATTGTAGAGGATTTCATTGTCTGCATAGTCTGCATAGGAAAAGGAAAGAAGATTACACTTCGCTCCAGTAATTGGCTGATACATGTACCCTCTAATCGAGCAATTCCCTGTCCATCAGCTGCATAGAAAAGCACTCTGGCTCCGCCTCAACTCTACAGGTGCCCGTTCCTTGCACTGCCTGCCAACGCGTGGCAGCTCCGACACATACTCAAGGTGAAGATGACAGGCTATAGGTGTTCACAGCTACTGTAATCGATCTGTAACCAACACCATGTGCTGAGGACTGATGGAGTCAGCTATGACACCGTGAGCTGGCTGCCTTGCAGCAGATTTGTGCAACTTGACCTGCACAGCTGAAAAGGAGACACCCCAATCTCTTGCAATGTACCTCCTCACACTTGCAGATCACTGTACAGCCGCAGCAAAGGCCTGCCGTGTGGCCTCATCCGCTGCGCCTGCAACCACCACCTGCTGCCGCGCACCCATATGGCAGATGACTGCCTCTGAAAAATCATCACTAAACAGCACATTGTACAGGTGCTCATCCTGCATTCTGGGGTTGGCACTCCCTGGACTGCGGAAGTCGACCACCGCATGTAGCTTGACACCACCAATCTCCAGAAGCGGCTGATACTTTTGCGGATCCAGAAACCGGTTGAGGTGCTTGGTCATGTCCTTGCCGTCGCGAGTTGCCTCCAGCACAATGCATTCTGGCTCGGAGATGTACAGATCGGCAAAACCCCGGCCGCCAAGCGTCTGCATGCAGCACTGAGGCTCAGGCTTGTACAAGCATGCACACAGCTAGTCAAACAAGTCAGCCACCAGAAAGCAGTGACGCACCCGCCCAACATCTGGAGACACCACCCGTCCAGGGGGAAGAACGTCCAGGATGACCCTGTAGAGCTCCATCTGCCAGCAACGCTCCAGGCGTTTGTCATCGCTGCCCAGGCTCTCAGTCTTTCGGAGGATGACAGGGTCCATGCGTTCCACTGCGCGGGTGATCCACTCCACCATGGTCCACTGGCCAGATGTTGTACATGTGCCCGAGTAGTGGCGGTGCATAAAAGATGCACGATGCAGCGGGCTGGTGAACATCAGCCTGCATGCCAGACATGTGCCGACCTGAGTGTATGGCAGCCTTACCCACTCATGTCACAACCAGCACACTCCGTCCAAGGCTGCAATATTGATGATGCCATGACAACTGCCGTGCATGATTGCACATTGTTTCTGGCATGGTACCCCTACCTGTCAGCAGGGCTTTCTTCCAGTGTGACTTGACCGGCTCTGCAAAGCTTGTAGACAGCTGCTGCCTCTGCAGAGCCATCAGCAAAGCGTACTGGCAAAGGGTCCACCCAGAGCAGCTGCCGCAGCAACGCAACCGCCGCAGGGATCTTCTCGACATCTTCATACTTCATGATGGAGCGCACATGGAGCAGGCGGGAAAAGAAGCCCCTTGAAGTAAGTTTGTGCCTGCAGTGCAGCAGAGCTAAGCCCGTTCATGCAGCATCGTAGATGACTGGGTGAGACAGGCTTGCCATCCATATGGAAAATGCAACTACCAAGGAAAATGCACTGACCATGCATTGTGGTTGACAGCATTGGGCGCCTTCAGCTCATTGACCAGCTGCTCCTGTAGGTAATCCAGAGAGGCTGTCAACAGCCCAACCTGCACCACAACAATCATCTAGTATTTGTTTTTGTCCCTTCAGCTGTTGGGCAAGATAATGGCGCCAGATGTACACCAATTCCACATGCGCCTACCTGCCGTCCAGAGATGGACCCTACATGGTCCTTTATGAGATCGCCCAACTGGAGCTTAGTGTGGTCCAGATAGCTGACCCACAATTCAGCCCATTCTTCTTCTGACAGCTGCAAGCTAGCCCCGTGAAGAGATGGGAAGATGGTCACCACCATGTCTGGATACTCAAAGCTGACAGGGGTAGCGGCAGGAGAATCTGGCTCAGAAATGTCGGCTGCGCTGCGCTTGGTGCCATAGGCGGCAGCCATGACCACACGCGTGTCATGCCCAGCTGATGACCCGCGTTCTAGGCGTTTCAGCTGATTCCAGAAGTCAGTGCTGCCTGATCTCTGTTTCTGGTAGGCAATCTGCACCTCGTCCACACAGAGCAACACTGATTCGCCCCCTGCAAGCACATCAATGGTTGTGCAACCCCACCATGACATATGCTCCACACCATGCAGATATTGCTGGCAAATAAAGATGATACCACTGGAGTGCACTGCATGCAAAAGGAAAGGTGGTTGAAAGCCCCAAAGCGGAAGGTCCTTTCATGTTGAACGCCGCAGTGCCATGGTCATACCTTTGATGATGTCATCGAGGGTGCCACCCAGTTGAGCTCGGAGAACATCATTGAGCTGGAAGCCGGTCATCTCATCTGCAAGGTTAATGTAGACCACACGCAGATAAGGATCTTTCTTGCTCGCCCAGTTCATCAGGAGCTGCAGTGTCGATGTCTTGCCAGATTGCGGCGGGGCCTTGATCAGTAGATAGCCACGGTCCCCAACCAGCTGATACAGCTTTTCGCAGGTGGCAACACGTCTGGTTTGGTAGTTGCGGCCATGGAGCCCCTCCCGGCCGGAGCCATACTCCACAGGGAAGGAGCGCCGCACTGCCCAGGCAGGATGTCAGCCGTTAGTCGGTTAGCCATGATGGACTTGCAATAGCTGGAAGCAGCTGGCGTTTGGGAGCCATTTTGCGGTACAGAACGAAACCAAAGCAGACCGCAGTAGCGCGCAACCTGCATATTAAAGGCAGCAAGGCAGCAGCATTTCCTGCCAAGCTTGTAAAGCAGATGGAGACCAAGACACAGATAGCCTAGGTGCTGCAGGCCAAAGACAGGTTGTAAGCTCCCAGAGTGGAGCACAAACGTGGAAGCACAGAGTGGCAGCCACACAGATCGAGCCAGATGGCGACACGATTTGTGCTGCTCTGACCAGGGCTCTGACATTTGCAAGATGCCTCACTCAATTCTCAAGTATTGCTGTGGGCAGGACCTGACAACTCATTCAGCTAAATGGCTTTCCTGGTGCTTGACTAGCTTGACTGTAAACAGTGAGAAGCTACATTCTGTATAGGCTCCCACCTTTTGTGCCCTCGGCTGCTTCCCATATGACGTCTGCATCTCCAGGCAGCAGGCCGCATATGCTGCTCAGTCTGTCAGCGCTGCCGGCTGCTAGGATGGCTTTGGGTGTGCGGTACCCTTTCCCCTTTAGTATGTCAGCGTAGGGGACGGAGGCGTCGAGATCCTCCGACACAGCTTGCAGTATGTCCTCAAGCGTGTCCATTTGAATCTGCGAAACACCAACAGCATCCATCGGGCTGCTGCATAACACGACGAGAGTACCATGCAGGGTGTAGCCACCAGAGGCTTATATAACTAATTAGTCACCGCCAAACGGGTGCTTGCATGACAAAAACCAAATCTTGATAGGCCGTCCCTATAAAACGTGCTATTCAAACGTGGTGCGCTGGTTTCATCCCTGCAGATTCTCAAGGTGTGCATCTTTCTTAATCAGTGAGGGCCGTCTGGCACACTGAGTGCCGAAGGATCGACAGGAGGCTGCCTCGCCATAGTGAGGAGGTATAGCTCTAGCCTTGCTAGTTGTATGGGGCACGCAACTTCCTGCACCATTGCGGACCTTGTGTTCTGCTGGGAACAAGGTCAAGGACCTGGAAATAGTGTCGAATTGTCGTTGCTCTTTGCCCTGCACTGTAAACACCTCGAGTCTTTATGGCGAAGAGAACATTTCAGGACCTCGACCCTGCGATCGAGGGCGGTGGAGTGAGCTCAACTTTTTCGATTGATGGTCAATTTTATATGCAGCGTTTGCGTTCCCAAGCCTGTGCGTGGTTGCTTACTGCATGACTGCCTGGCTAGTGTGAGCGCTGGCACCGTCGTATCTCCAAGGAAATTGATTAAGGCCAATCGTATCCGGATTCAGATCGAATCCGCTTAAACTAAAGCTTAGTGAATGACTCGAGCTGTGCAGTCTTTACTATTTTCTTGTGCGTGTGTCTTTTTGGGGAGTGATGATGGGCAGCTGATCCAACACTGAGAACCACAACCGCCATGCGCCCACCTTCAGCTTGGCACCCTCTTGGCATGTTGGGATTTTGAGACGGATGCACATACCTCGCCATGCTGATGGCAGGCTGCCATGCTATCTGCTAAGCACTTGTGTCACGCTTGAGGTGTGCTGGTGCAGATCTATCCCGGACAGTTATGGGGCAATTGCTCGAGCATGGACGATCCGCCAGCCTAGAGGACAACACAGCGAGTCGATGTGACGAGAATTCCAGTGAAGACAGTGCTGAGGACGAAATTGAGGTCTGCTCCAATTATTGTTGAGCAGATCAGTGGCAGTACAAGTGTTCATTTGCTGACGCTTTGCATGATTGGCATAGTATTTGTGAGTTGGCACTGGTTTGAAATGTGGGCAGCAAGCACACGCAAGCACTGACACGTATGTGGGCCTGTGCACAGGACGAGGAGTCAATCTATGACGAGCATTGGATGAACCCTACCCTGTGGCAGGATGCTGACTTCATGGAGAGCGTGAGGAACCCCCTCCGCATTCACGTCAAGATGTACGGCTACAGTGACAATAATTGGCTCGCAGTGGCGCCAGAGTGGTCCAACGCTTTGGGGCATGGAACAGATGCAGACAAGGCGCTGAAGGACCTGGAGCAGAAACTGAGGGACTTGAAGGTGGGCTTCTGTGAGTGGATTCCCAAAGCCACCTTTTCTTAGGATGAAAAGCGCACCTCCATGGCTGCTCACCATTTGAGGCTGTCCCCTTTCGGATTTAGCTACTGGCTTTCGAAAAATTATCTTCAAAGGCATGAATGCCTGATTCCTGCGTTGTGAGTAGTAGAAATTCCCTCGAAAACCTTGAAAACAGCCAAGATTGATGAAATGTCTCCAAATTGACTGATCTGCTTATGTGGCTTCATTCGATTTAAGCACAGTTTTAACGCCACATTGGCTTTAAGCTTAATCTATAAGATGTGTTGCTCGCAGGAAGTCATCTTGGAAGACATATTGGTGGATCCTGAAGAGGAGGTTGTGAACCTGCGCGCCATCCCAGTGAAATCCAGCAGGGAGAGGGCGGAGAAGTGGTGTGACTGGGCTGCAGACTGGTTTACAGAACTCAAGAGTCAGTCCAGATCTGCTGATTGGGCAATAATCACAGTCTAAGCAGTGTAATTGTACAAGATGCCTGTGCTGTCAATTGCAAGCAGGGTTGAGGAGCCCTCACTAAGACACTGGCAGCTTTTGTAAGTAACACTGTGTTCGATAATGTACAGCATTGCAAGCCACTAGAGGGCATGAAGTGTCTCAAACTTTAAAAGGAGATCACAGATCATTGCCACGGTTTGAAGAGCATGGTAGTACAAGGATGCCTGCGCAGTGTAGTCTAGACTGAGCAAGGGCTGAGCAGCCTCACCAGCTGTATTGGGATGAGGAACCCAGCTGGAACAAACGACTCAATCGGAATGAAACATGATGTACATACTATAGTTAAGTTTAGTAGCAATCGAGAGTGTATCAGTAGTACATGTGTATACATCATATATGCCCTTGGTGGAGGAGGCCTAGGGTGCCTGAACCTTGTAGCCAAAGCAATGAAGGTTAAGGGTCAGGAGCTCATGCAGAAGCACTTCTGAGCTACACTTCTGCTCTTTCATAAAACTGGTAACTTGCTGTTTTCAAAGCCACCATCTGCAATTTGTGAAGGCTTCACATTCTGCATGCCCATTAACTTAATGGGCATCCATGCATGCCGCAAGTTAAGTGATCATAGAATATTCACAAGCCCATTCTACATGCCACCGATGCACTCGTTGCGTTTGATGCACCATGCAGACTTGCGACGCCACAATCTTAAGATCGTGCCTCTGGATGCTTCTTGGGGAAGCCCTCAGACAACTTGTCGAGGAGAGCCTACACAGACGCAATCCTGTTAGTATCAGGCTGTTCCAGATCAGACACATGCAGACAAATAGGACAGAAAAGGCAAACAAAACTGCAGAGACAAATGGATATTTATGCCTGACTCGGTCTGAAGAGGAACACACAGCCGTTGTGTGTTGTATAAGTGACTTATACAATTGTCTTGTACAATTGACTTGTACAATCTTGCGGCAAGCTTCTTGAAGAGTTTCTATAGTAGCTACAAGTCACTTGTTGCACAGTGCGGTGCAGCGGGCGGAAATCCAATGCTGGTGTATCAACTACATGAATCTTCAGGATGTTGAAGGCACCTTCGGATGCTTGCCTACAAACTTTGGCAGAGAGTGCTGGGGCTGGCTGTTTCTGAAAGTTGAGGAGTGCATGCAGTGCCCAAATTTGGCAGGATCCCGTTCGTCGGCCTTCCCTCCTTTCATTTATTCCCTGGTCTCGAATGGAGCGCCACAAAAGATGTCTTGCAAATAATGATATGTGAGTGAGAAAAAAAAATCAGTCAGTGAATATCAGAAGATTCAGAAGAACATTCAGAAGTGAAGGCGCATTGCAGGTCACGAAGTGGACCCATTCGGCTGAAGTTGAAGGTGTCCTCCAGGCTGGAGGCTCCAGCGAATTACACAAGATGATATATGCCAATCCTTTAGGGTTGGATTGACCTTTTCTTCAGTGACTTTTGCCAACCCTTTCCTTTTAGGCCTAAAGTTCACTGGCGCAGGGCCTTCTTGCACAGCTGAAATGCCGCGGCGCAGGCGTGAGCGATCTATCAGCCCAGAAAATGATCAGGGCGCCACTCAAGCAAGCAATAGCACTGCCAGCCAGATCAGAGATATTGACGACATGGACCCTGTGGCGCGCAAGGTAGGTCCAGCTCCTTCTCTGCGAAGACCTCATTCCTGTTATGATTCAGATTTTTGAATCTTTTTCAACTAGAGTGAGGTTGCTGGTGATCTGGTATGCAGGAACTGCGGAAGATACTCTGTGTAGGACCCCAGTGGGAAAACCCCCTTCTGTGGCAGGACTCTGACTTCATGGTGCGTGCGAAGCAGCTTCTGCCGATCCATGTCAGGGTCTTCCACTTTCCTGAGGAAGTCATCGCCCTCGCGCCTCAGTGGACATCTGCTGTGGGGACTGGAGCAAATGCAAAGGATGCACTGGAGGAGCTGCAGGAGATGCTGCAGGCCTTGAAGGAAGATGCGCTGGAAGATGCAGAAAACATGTTGTTCACGCTGCGGCGCATTCCACTCCAGTCCAGCCAGCAGATCGCAGAGCAGTGGTGCAAATTTAATGCAGAGTGGTTTGCCGACCTTGAGCGCGAGTGCACGAAAAACACGTGGCATGTGATCAGAATCTGAACAACGGTACTGTACAAGATGCCTCTCTGCCACGTCCCAGAAGATGCTTTAAATGATTTGGAGCTTTTGTAGCATAATCCTCTGCAATATGCAAGCTGCTGAGATTGCAAGGCCTTGCCATTGTCTGAAAAGGTGCTTGCACTGCTGTGCCCAAGCATGGCTGAGCAGCTTCACCAAGTCAGTTCTAGCTGTGTTGGCTTTGAGGGCTGCAGCTACTGTAGAATGCCAATGTCCAAGACAAGAACAAACCCATGATCCATGCGCTGATGTGGCAGCGGAGGGTGCTTAAACTGAAAAGCCAGAACAGTGAAGAAAGGACGGCCGGCATGCGCTTTGTGCTCATGCAGAAATAGGGTCTGCTACACTGGGAATGGCTTTCCATCATGCAATAATCTGGGCGCTTGGCCCGTGAGGTTTCCAGTTGTAGGCTGTAGATGGTGCATGCTTAATGTCTGGCAGCAGTGCTCATCGGCTGAGGCGCTTTTATTTGTCGCTGTAATTGTGTGTATATGGATGATGAACTGCCGAGGCCCATTTGATGCTAATACAGCAGTGCCTCTCTGGTGCGCCAACATTGTCCGCTACCGGTACCGCAATTGGGTGCTTGAGGAGTAATACAGCCTAGTTGCAGCTCCATGGTTGATACTGGCTTGAACGGTGCTGACCTGCAAGTGTATCTGCACTTTGCCAAACCTCACTCTGCATGCAAGCAACGCACTTGTTGCCAGCTATCCCCACGCTGACCGGTGGTGCAGGACCCAGGAATTCTTACTGCTGGTTTCTGTGGAAGTGCTCAGACAATACAAGGTTGTTTCTGACTCACTTGAAACTTCCAAGTTGGAAGTGCACGGGGCGGCTGCCATGTTCTTGTGCATATAGTAACCCCATTCTAATTGTGTAGAATCCCCAATGCATTAGTGATTATCTCAGCAGGTGGTCTTAATGGCGCGCTCAATACACGTGTGAATGCTTGCTTTCAACTTTTGAAAGTATGCTGGAGCTGCTACATTATTGATGGGCAGGACTTAAGGATAGACAGAGCAGCTTCCATTCAAGCACATTCCCTGTCGTTCGTCGGCCTAGGGATACCTCCTTTGAGAAGTTACCGTTCATCATCCTTTGAGAAGTTTCTGTTCTCCATCCTTCCATGGAAACGCCACGAGCAAAGTATCCTGCAGAAGGACAATCTGTGATTTAGACAGGAAGTTACTCGTTAAGTCTGCGACTGAACGTGCTTCAGACGTCACGACACGGACCTGCCAATGCTGTGGGGTGCGTTCCAGCACTTTTAGCAAACGCCAAATAATCAGATCAATGTGGAAAGAAACCTGCTGCTTTCTCACCAGCGATGGTTGCCCTATGCATCACAGTATCCTCTTCCTGCTTGTTAAGCTGCAACCATATTTTGTCTGGCGGTACTTACATTCTGAAACGGTTGGACCATATATGAGATGTGCCTGCCACTGTGATATCACAGCAGGACAGTCGACTGGGCAGCCCTCCCAGTTTATAAATCTATAACCATGATGGTCATCGGCAACTGTTCTTGTTGCAAGGGTTAATATTTTCAAATATGCATGCCATACTTTGGCACATTAGGCCGAGCCCGAGCACATGCATGCACATATGTGTACAGCTGCACTTGCTGCAAACACAGCACTTATGCAATCACCCCAGTGAATGGCAGAGTGCCAGTAGCGCAACTGCTCTGGAACTCATCAGAAGTTGATGTCACTTTCAAATTTAAAATTATTTACAGGTCAGAGGAGATGCGTGTGTCCTGTTAGGGGCCACTGAAAGCAGTCAACACACTGCACAGATCTATCAAGCAGGGTGAATGGGGGGCATACATGTTTGCCCTAGAAGCCTACAGAGCAAGCTTAAGCCTGTTAGCCCGAAACAAATCAGCAAAATGTTGTGACATTGTGGAAGAAGTGTTCAGCATGTGCCGACATACATCAATAACCATGCATTCAATGCTCTACTCTACACTACTCTACTCTACTCAGCAGACTCCGAATTTCAACTGTATGCTCGGCGCTGTTTACTGGATTGTACATCTGGGCACCCTTGCGAGCTTCAGGGCTCCAGTTTCAAATTTCGATTCAAGGTGAAAGAGAGCAATACCCCTGACCTTGCCAGGTGCATCAAAGCGGCCTGACCCACACATCAATTCCCGGACACTTCAGAACTGTGAAAAGAGCCGCAGAGCATCTCTTGTCAGAATGGCCGGAAAAACTTGCCTCCACCCCTGCAGGATCCTCGCCTGCCGTTTACTGTTATTACTACTCGAATTTACTGCCAGACTGCAATGTACGTCCTGCAGACAAGCTGCAGTAAGAGGGTGCCATAATCCTACCCCATGTTGGACGCGCCAGATACAAGCAAGACCCAATTAACCGTAAGCTCGGTGCTCATTACTTGTATCGCCCCCCCGCCAGCCAGTGCTGTCAAAGAAACCAGGCAGCGGCTTATTGCAGTAAGGTTTGACAGGCCGCGCCTCAAATTTAACTCCTGCTCTGCGCATGCTTATTGCGCACTGCCAGAGATAACAAGTCTATGAGCGCAGCCGCCGGATTGCCCTGCCAAAACAACATACTTCATTCAGCAATCTAGGATAACCTCACATCCATGTAGTGGGTCTCCAAGACCCTGTCTCCCAGACCCCTTTCACAGTCAGAATCAGGGGGCTCTATATCTACTAATTTCGAGATTGAGCCGCGGGTAATAAGACAGTGTTGTCCAAGGCATCTGGACAATCTATACTTCAAAGGTGACCCGTTGCACAGCATGCTCTGTCTTTTGTATATGTGGTGCAATTCACAGCTCTGCAAGAGTGGCTTTTGTGGACCAGAGAAAGCAGTTGAGAGCAGGGGAAAGAAGTCCACCGGTTGCTGAAGTCTGCAGTGTGATTCAGGAAAGAGAAGCAAGAGAGGGCACACCTTATTGAGAGCGAGCGCAGCAGCTGCTACAGCCTCTGCTTGCACTGTCTCAGGGTCATCGCTGCTGGGCGCATATCTGCTGCCAGGTCTGTTCACCTCCCCTGCGCATAACCCTTGGATTAAGAAACCCTGCAGTGGTCTATACTCCTGCCCGTCACAGTGGCAGACAGGACAATTGATTCCTATTTGCATAGCTGAAGAACATGCTGCACTCAGCAAATCAAAGCACATGTGCGCGTATGTCTCTGTACTTCTGGTCTCAGAGGCCAGGCACTGCAGGATTGGGGGAAAGAAACAGACGCAGAAGGATCTGAACATGGCAGAACCATGATGCGGATCTGAGCGGCAGGTTTCCATGAGGCAGTACTTACTATGCAACACGCCGGACTGGGTCTGAGGGATAGCAAGTAGCACGCAACAGGGAGGCACATGCAGAAGAAATTTGTCCATCTGGTAGAAGCGCACCTTGGTTGGATTGACAAGCAGCGGCTGCAATGCTATTGTTTCCCACAGCAGATGCTTCAGGGCCAGGGGCAGGGGCTGAGAGCTGCGGAAGCAGCTGGAAGCTGCCTTTGTTGGGAGTGAGCAAAGCGATCAGTCGCATTAGTCGCCGGTTCTCCTCTGCCGCCCTCTTCGCCTGCAAATCAAGGCACGCTGCTGTTATTGTAATGGCTGTTGGGAAGGTAGCATGTATCTCGGATATAGCACTTGGAAGAGCACAAGCCGGTCACCGTGTCATCCCGGCTTGACAGGCACATGTAGTGGGTGCATTACTGCCTTGCCAAGAGGTGTTTTAAGCTATGTGCGCCGCGTCTGTCACAACAGAGAATGGCACAATTCATATTGACTGTTGAACCTAGGGCCCTTCTGTGGCTCTAGCTAGCAAGACGCCAATGGCGTTTTCCCTGAAGACTTTCTATTCGGTGATGACTCTGTGCAATTGCCGCACAGGTTCTGCTACGAAAGGATATCAACTTGCGCAATGGCCGCAGCCTCGCTGCAACCTGGTTCTGCAGGAATCCAACAGCACGCTCTGGTGCAGGTTGAGTTTCGCCCTACATCTTGTCCTTCTGATCTCAAAGTGACCGAGCGCCCCACACATCAAGCCAGGACTGTCTTCAAGCATCCCTGCCTTGCAAGCCATGAAATAGATCGCCTGACTTAGAGGACATTGGAGATCTTCGGGTCCAGAAGAATACAAAGTGCTGTGGGGCAGGGCAGTGACGGGATTTCAGGCAGCGCTCTGTGTGCTCACCTTTTCATGCGTGGCATCGAGGGCTGCATGCAAGTGCCGCTTGTGTGCGCGCAGCCGCATGCACTCCTGCTCCATTACAGCGAGCACCTCATCATCTGCTTGCGGCATAGGCTCGTCTGCCTCTTGATCCCTGATCCACACCCCTCAAACTCAGCGCACTGGTCTTGCAGATTGGTGCTCATACATACTTGCAGCCACACCACAGCGCTACCCAGCGGCTGGTGTCTGTCAGATATAGCAATGAGGGCTGATGGATTTCTGGTGGTTGCTGCTGCCTGCAAGGCCACCCATGCTGCAGGTGGAGGATGACACATAGCTCCTGATGGGCTGCATAAGAACTACCTTTTCGTGCTCGTTATGCCTGCAGGCGGGACTACGATCCTTCTTTCTTTAGTGGTGTCATCTGGGTGGCGTGCATCCTCCATTTCGTACACGAGTCCATCGTCCCTGTTCATCCAATCTGATGGTAGGGAGAGGCTGGAGCATAGGACGCCCGCCGCCTTGCCCGCCCACATACCGCCCACTCACATGGATTGTCCTACACCATATTTCTGAAACACACAAATGCATCATGCTGCAGTTCCACAACGAGCAAAACGCACATCACCCAGTATCTTCAGAACCTTGGAGCTCATATATTCACACATATGTGCAGCTATTGGCAATTGTCTTTCCTGCGAAAAGAATTCCTGGAACATGATATCAAACGTCACTCTCAGAAGTCCTGGAAAAGGAGTCTGCTCACCCGTTTCTCAGACGTATCACCTTGACTCAATCCAAAGCAGACCGACGGCTCTGCAATTGGGCACTTTCTTCTGCAGTCGCCGGCAAAATACATATATGGGACCGAATGCGGGCAAGTGCTGATGATGCTGGTGGGAGCTAGTCTCTATGCGTCTATGCGTCAGGCCAAAGATTGAATGTCTCCTGTGCAAGTGCACGGGAGGGTCGCCTATTTTGGCTCTTCCGTTGCACGACCCATTTCCTGCGATCTTTCCTGCGTCAAAGCGACTGGGTTCGATGCCCGAAGACACTGCGATGAGGGTTGTGATCCAGAGTACAGGGTTACCCGTTGGGTTCAGGCGCAATGAGGTTGACTTGCTGTACGATCGATACGTTGCCTACTCAAAGTTCTCCGCGCTGTAGGGAACTCGTACGACAGATCAAGCGGAAGACTTGATACGCAAATGCAGTAAGGTCGTACAAGGATCCGTTTCGGGGTAAACATTTGCGAACAATCATGCAAAGCTAGCTCTCTAACTTCGTGCGTGATTTAGACAACACCCTTGCCCCTACTGACAGCCCAAGAAATTCGTACGTATCTAAGCGTCAATCTCCTGTAGAAATTGCAGCCAAAGATTCTGGTTGTGTCAAGTGTTGACATTGACGGGCGTGGACCCGAGTAAGTGGGCACATTGCCTCCCTCATGGCCACTGCAGTGTCTGAGGGTGGTCAACACAGGCCAATAGGTACGTATACACACTTTTTTGCATTGTATGATTCACACTTGCTGTAGTCGCGGGAGTGTATAGAATCTTGGGAGAGCTTGCTCGCTTTGTGAGATCAGTGGCATGGCTAGTAAGGCCTTCCTTGAAAGAGTTCGTGCACTAGCACAGGTGGAGATAAGCAGCAACAGCAGCCAGCAAAGCAGCAGAAGTCCAGGAGGAGTGAGGCTGGAAAGCCACTTGGCAACTACCTTGCAGGCATCAAGCACTATGTGCAGGTGCCCCGTCACTGGTCTCCTTTGTCCCTCTCCAACACACTTGTTTCTGTCTTACTCGTGCCACTCCTAAGCAGCAATTGACGAATTTTCTAATTCGTGCTGGTTAATAACAGTTCTTGTCCACACAAAGTAATTGCTGAGTACCCCTGTGCGATGCTGTGTTCAGACGGGATGCTTGGGGCATGGTACATTCGGTATCGTCATCAAAGCACTGGACCTGCGAAGTGACCCGCCAACAGAAGTGGCCATCAAGCTTCTGCCTCGAGGAGACTTTGTGAGTCTCCTTTCTTCACTCTCCACTTTGATTCCTTGCGCCTCTTGCGCGCAAATTTGCAAATCTGAGCACTCTATCAATTCCTGGACCAGTGGTACTATCAGCCTGGGGTCAGGCAAACATCTGCAGGATACTTTGCTCGCCAATGGTGTCACTGGATGCGACCCTTCTCTACTGCTTCATTAATTTGCAGGACAAATTTGCACCGACTGTTGCCTATTGGGTATCGGAGCCATGTGTGCCATAAAATGATGTATCATGTGTCCAGGAAATTATGTGGTATCTTGTGCTGCGCAGGTGAAGAACTACCAGCTGTATGTGCGGCGGGAGATCCAGAACCAAAGCAGCCTCAGGCACCCGCTCATTGTCTCGCTGCGAGAGGCAAGCACATCTACATTTGATTGAGTCTTGCATAAGACCAAATTATTGCTGGCATCAGTTGATTTCTGTTCCTGCATGCTGCACGATCAGATACCAGGATATGTGCATGCTGGATCAAGAGGTCCACATGCAGGCCTGAGGCTGATAACTTTGCCAGCATGTGTCCTGTTGCCTTGCAACTAGCCTGCGGTGATGTTTTGTGAAGGATGTTCCGATGCCCTTATCACACGCGCAACACTCAACAAAGGCAGTGCTCCACTGGCTTAAGCGCTCAGCAGTCTCGCATGTTGCTAGTTGAACGCGCATGCTGATGTTGAGCAGCCAGATCACCACATCCATGCCATGGTGACTGCCATCTTGCTGGCTCGTGCCGAGGCAATGGGGGCAACACCCTCGCTTCCCCACAAGAATGGCTGCATGTGCCGAGGCTATGTGGCTGCATGTGCGCGCAGTTGTTTCCAAGTGTTTGCCATGGATGCGGCGCGTGCGCAACTTTATGCTGCCTAGGGATCAGTGATTCTTGGTGCCTTGGCGTTACTATTTTCACTGGGAAAGAACCTTTACAACACCAAGACAGACTGCAAGACACACAATGCACTGCAAGCACCAAGAAGGGAGGAAGAGCTGCATGGGACTGTAGATTTAGTGCATCCACAGAACACGCATGATGGGAGAAAGAATTATGCAGCCATCCAAGCAGAGCAAGTGCTGTTACCAAGGAAAAATATTCACGAGATTATGAAACACATGGCGGCATGTGCGCGCAGGTGTTCCTGACACCCACGCACCTGGCGATAGCAATGGAGTATGCGCAGGGGGGGGACCTGTTCAACTATACTCTGGGCCACCGCCCCCACGGGAGGCTGGCCGAGCAGCAGGCTCGGTGGATCTTCCAGCAGCTCATCATCGGTCTCGATTACTCCCACCGCAGGGTATGTACATTCTTGGTTCATGCAGGAGATATATTTTCTCAAAGGCAGCCTTGTTCTACCTCGTGTTTGCCATAGAGCCTCATCGCAATTGCTGTGAGTGCATCACTCTGCAATCAGGCTATTGTAAAGAGCGGGCCTGGGCGTTTTTTCCTGGTTCAACTGTGCCTCACCTTTAAACTGGATGACTTTTGCTGGTCCCTTGAAATGTTGCACCAGAGAGTTGGCCTGGAGAAATTCTTCCAGGAGAAGCACTCTGGTCCGTTCAAGCGATGGCATGAGCAACAAATCTGGACTGTCTGGACCTGTACAAGGATTCCTGTGATGCTTTTGCAGGGTGTCGCCAACCGAGACTTGAAGTTGGAGAATCTACTCCTTGACAGGGATGGCCGGGACGGGACGCGGCCGCTGCTGAAGATCTGCGATTTCGGCTATTCGAAGCACGAGATGAATTCCAGCGCCAAAACAGGCGTGGGCACACCAGTCTACATGGCGCCTGAGGTCATCCTGGGCGATTCCAAATATGACGCCAAGGTGCGACAAATTCAAATTTGCATTTTTGAATGCAAATGCATGAAACGGCTGTGACATTGCATAATACTTGCTTTCACTGCCCATAAGGTGCTTTTGGGCAATTTAAACTACAACGCTATGGTGGGGTGGATTCCAAAATGGTAACCGCGGTCAAAAGGGGAGCTCCAGCGTTTTGCTTTGATAGGATGCATCCTTGAACCTTAGGATGCATCCTTAAACCCCCCTTGACAGCAGCTCAGAGCAGCAAACCTTGTTTCCGAGGGAATGATTTACTGTTGACATGCATACGCCATCTTTTAGGGAAGCAGAGCAATAGGCCTTTGAGACCAGCATCATAGCATGGTCATGTCATTGGTCTGATGCTGCGTGCAGAAAGCGGACATCTGGAGCTGTGGAGTCATCCTGTACGCTATGCTGTACGGAAAATACCCCTTCGATGCCAAGGAGGCTCGTTTCGCGCGCAAGATAGTCACCGCTGACTACAAGCTCCTCCCGGTGAGTCATCCTTTGCACACATACAGACGCGTTCCCATGTGTGACAAGCATTCTGTGGTGCTGCTGTAGAAAGCTGGAATAATGCCAGCACAATGCTCTATTGGGATTGATCTTTGCTCCTTCATCTTCCTCGCTTGTTTTCTGAGGGCATGAAGGATGCAAGCGTGCATCTCTCCTGCCTCACTTCATCTGTTAGTCGAGAAGGACTCAGATGCTCTGTGAGACCTGCCAATGCAGCATGCTGTGACATTTCACAGGCATTGCTTGATTCAGAACTTAGGGTGAGTAGCGAAGGGCAAGGATTGGAGCCAGCAAAAATGAAACAAATCACATCTTCTCACCGGAGATGGTGATGAGCGGCAACTGCCTGCATGCGCTGATGCACACGACTAAGGGTCAGGGTCGATACTGGGGTCATGGAACAGTCATGACTTAGGTTTAGTAAGTGAGTAGTCATTGTGCTGCACACAGGAGGTGGAAGTGAGCACGGACTGCCTGGACATTCTGACACGAGTGCTGGTGGCCAGCCCCGGAGACCGAATGTCCATGGACGAGATCAAAACACACGCCTGGTTCCTCAAGGTGACAATTGAGGATTCTGTAGCTGCATTTTCCATCCTTTTTTGTTGTGCATGTGGGCACTTCATAGCAATAAGATTGTTGAGGAGGGATGGTGCAAAGCCAACAGGTGAATGCTTGAAGACGAGCCGCAATCTTGATCGTGAGCATGAGGCACCCGGCAGACTCAAATACCCATTAAGTGACGGATTTGATAATAATGAAGAGAGCCGCAGTCTGTTGGTGCTTGAGTGCGTTGGGTAGCAGCATTGCTCACAGTCAATATTGTCGAATCTGAAGGTGGTGCCTGTGTAGGAGATGTGTCTGTGAGTCTTCACCCATGCGGTAATGCCAGCCCAAATCTTCCAGATATTCTTGCAGAAGCTTGCAAATCCAAGATGTATTGGTTGCTGCAGGGGCTGCCACCTGGTGCACTGGAGATGAATGACTTCCTGCTGCAGGGGCTGGCCAACCAGGAAGAGGTGAGTCATTACATTACATGACCCGTCCATACTTGAACTTTTTTGAAGATCCCGCCAGATCACCGCACAATTTGTTTGGGGATCACCCAGCAAGACACATTATGCTTAATGGTGTGTCGAAATTTATTGATTGTACACGCCCTAAGACCAGAATTGCTCCTCAGCCAGCACCTATCTGGTCTTTTCATTTGCAGCCATGAAAAGCTTCCTGCACATTGTGAATTCCCTACAGAATACTCACTACGAGGTCACATTCGTTTCCATGCCTTCTCTTATGTGTGATAGCCTGTTTCAAATCTGACGTCTGCCCATGTGTATTTCTGCAGTACCACACAAAGATTGACGCCATCGTAGACCAGGCCCAGCACCCAGGAAGCTCCGCGGAAGGCGCCTGGTTCTGCACGCTCTGAGCTCGAGCCCTTGACCTCCCGCGGCATAGAGAATGCACCAAATATAACCGGCTCTGCAGACTGCATGCGGCAATCGAGAGCCGTGCTTCTGAAATCTGGGCCAAATGGAAGGGCAGCGACAGATGTGGGCATGAAGGAAAGCATTTGTCACCGTGACAGCTGGCAAGGGTGCGGTGTTTGATATCGACCAGCACATTCCTATGCCTTGGGGACATCACCTTATGGCAGCCTTGCTTCTGGCTGGCCTCAACGAATGGGATGAAAAATATATGAGTAACTCCTAGGAGGCCAGGTAAAACAGCTATTGTACGGGTAATACAATCATTCAAACGCTCCCTTGCAAGGGAAGCATACAACGCAGTGGTGTTTCTGTCATCTGATCATCACTGCACTCTGTTTCTCCCTGCGCCTTAGCAGCCGGTGTGTGTTTTGAATTGATGGAAAAGGGCGTGTTGGGTTTGGAAGCTTGCTTTTCAGGATGCATGACAATATTGAGATTTGTGTAAGTTTGCTGTACTGCACTGAGAGAAGGAGCGCTGCCGTGATGATGGTAGTTCGATAAGTGGGATTTAGTACAATGCTTCCGTGAAGTCGGAAGCGTGTGCTAGATTGGGTTGTCATTGCAATGCGCAAAGACGGTATGAGCGAGTGCTGAGCAGCTTCTGAAAATCTGCTCCGTATCCACTGATGGAAATCCTGACTGCTTATCTCAAGGATCTTAGCATTGTTCTAAGAATGTGTGGCTCAAATTCGTGATCAGCAGCTGGCGTCCTTGCCAAGTGCGTGCCATTGTAGGTTGGAGTGTTGCAGACAGCTGCAGTCTATCATAAGGTTGAGCAGCTTTGAACCTTCTTTGTTTTTGTGCTCGTTGAACATTTCTTTAAGCAGATAGCTTTTGCTCTTTCATGTAAGCATGTGTAATGAAGTTAAAGTTGCAGGGTTAATGCCAATAACCAGTGGTCATGCAGCTCAGCTAGGCGGCCTACAGGGTTCCTTGGAGAGCCCCTGGATGCCTGCGCACACACATGGGAATATACAGAGCTCAAGGCAACGATGATCAGAACCGAGAAGATTTTACTTTCCGTTGCACACAAAACTCCATTGCAGAATTCTTCCTGTCCTTCAGACCATTTGAACCTGAAGCCCTGGGATTACGTAACCGAGGGTTGGTCAGAACGGAGCATCAGCCACCTGATGCCTTCCTCTGATTAAGTCGCTTCAAACAACTCTGGCATCCATTTTTGGCATCTGGAGCTTTACCCAACGCTGGACGGAGACCTCGCAACATTGTGATCCCTTCGCGGGCAAAGTGCTTGAAAAGGCATGCCGCTGGCAGGTGGTGTTCCTGCCCTTTTACAATCCCGTGATAATGTAGTATCTCTTGGATCTTAAATGTCATTGATTTGATGTAAAGTGATTCCATTCAAGAGGTGTAGGTGCATAATTTTCAGACCTCACATCACGTTGCATAGCTGCAATATAGTATTGCATTGGGATGAGAGCGATTGCAGATCCCCTATATAGTCAAATCAGTCTCTTATTGTGCAATCTGCATCGCTACAATTTGGTTCCGATGATGCTGCAGGGGGCAGCCGTGTTTTGGCAGACCAGCAGGTCAAGCCCAATTGCTTGCCACGGCAGAGCCACACCTGCCCGCCTTTCACTGCTTCGAGGTGGAGCAGTGCGAGAAGACGATCGCTTGTCTGCAGTGTCACTGTCAGAGCGCATGCAGCGCAGACCCTGCAAGGTTGATTTCTACCCTGTCCTACTTTAGGCACTCACCAGATGCCAGAAGAACGAGAGGTTTTGCCGTGGGAAGGACACAATGTACTGCCTTGGGGCTCAAACAGTCTTCTTTTCGATCTTGCAGGATGCAAATTGGCTGGATCGGGGAGCAGTGTACCGGAGGCAGTGTTGAGCAACACAGATCTGGAGAAGCTAGTGGAAACGAATGACGAGTGGATAGCAAGCAGGACAGGCATCAGGTCGGGGAAATCTCCATTCTCAAGCTTTAACTAAATGGGTATCCTATCTTAATGTGTGAGAGTCCTCGCGCTGCTATCAGTCCATCAAGAATTGTCATTATGTGAAGTCCATGTTCCGGCTTCCTCCGATCAATTTCCGGTGTCAAAGTGCTGCATCACTGCGATCAATGCACTTGCCAGTCTAGTAGAAGTGAGAGAAAATTCAGGTGCATTTGTAGTGCTCTGGTAACATCGTCCGGCTGGCCGCTGCTTTGCCCATCCAATAGCAGAGCAACAGCCAGCAAGGAACGGTGTACACATAGCATTGAATTAACCCAGTTTAGCCTCTAGTTCTTGGGAAAAGAACACACCATCAGGCATCAACTCCTGAAATCATGCGCCATGAATGAAGAACACCAGGCGAGAATGTGTACATGTAAGGTGGAGTGAATGAAACACCTCTGAGTAATGCTGATGTTGTGGCATGCTCCCTGCAGGAGGCGACATGTGCTGGCACAGGGGGAGTCGCTGAGTCAGCATGCAGCCACGGCAGCGCAGCGGGCGCTGGAGATGGCAGGGATCGCCGCGGGAGACGTGGATCTCATAATCCTGGCCACCTCCAGCCCAGATGATCTCTTTGGCAGCGCCTGCCAGGTGACCTCTGCCGCCTTCTCTATATTACTACCCTCTGCCTCATCACTATCGGCAAATCGAATCTTGGTAGCGGTTTTGGCCCCTCTTGCTCGGCTTGTTGCTTGCAGCAGCAGAGCGAAGAGGTTTCTATTGGTTTCAGGTTTCTTGACCCTATGGGGATGCAATCAGAGTCAGCAATAGATGAGCTGTAATGTAAGGGCCAGTGTGATGAGGAAGGACTGGAGAAAGCAGTCACATCGGTGCATGTTCTTTGATGCAATCCGTCTGCACGGTGCATGATGTATTTCATTTTATGCTTTGACGTTATTGCTACTTGCATGATGCTCTTGAAGGGGGGGTACTTTTGCAGGTGAAGGTAAGAGGATGTGTGGTTATTGAGGGAGTCATTTTGAATCTATTTAGGTGCAAGCGCTGATTGGAGCAAAGAAGGCGCTGTGCTTCGATTTGACAGCGGCCTGCAGCGGATTTGTCGTGGGGTTAGTCACCGGGGCGCAGTTCATCCGCACAGGCACCTACCGCAACGTACTAGTCATCGGCGCTGACGCGCTGTCCAGATACGTGGACTGGCGAGACAGAGGTGCGCGCCTGCTGTGGCTCTGCCTATATGTGATTTTCGGGCAAGGCTGGTGGACTGTTCCCCAGGAGGATCTCTTCATTGAGATCTGATTTAACAGAACAATCATCAATGGGGTCATCTGTGCCTGCAAATGCTCACCCTATGAAGGCTGCAATAGGTTCTAGAAGGTCTTAAGGGGAGTGGGATCATGCCAGGGAGCCGATGACAGCTGTGAGAGAAAGGGCAGTCTCAAATGTTGCAAAAGTTTGACCTCGTGGGCTGTAAGGCATCCTGCTTTGGCCTACGAAGAGGCTATTGGCGCAGGCACATGCATACTGTTCAATGCTTCCAAGAAGGAAACCTGTGCAAAAAAATTCTTCAAGTAGGAAACCTGTGTTTAGAAATTCGGAATACATGAACGGGGTGCTTCGCTAGGGTGGCTCACAGAGTGCATTGGCACATACACTACTGTTCAACGGGCAGCTGTGTTGAGCAACCAGAGTATGACGAAGGGCTCAGTTGGTGAGGTGTGAGGCACTTCCTGGAAGCACCCAGATAAAGGTACTTAACGGAAATTCAAGGGTGATTACAGGGGGCATTGCGCGCAGGCACGTGCATACTGTTTGGCGACGGCTGTGGCGCGGTGGTGCTGACGCAGCAGCAAGGGGAGCAGCCCTGCAGCCTGCTCGGAAGCTCCATGGCCAGCGACGGGCTCGGGCAGAAACACCTGAATGTGCGCGTTTGCTTCTCATACGACAACATTCAAGGCGTTCTCCCTAAACCCAAAAACCCCTTTACGAGGGGTGATGAGCCGTTAGGGCTCTGTCGTCTGATACCAGCTCTGACACCAGCGCCGGCCGCAGGCAGACCAGCGCGAAAACAGGCACCCCTCGAAACTGAACATGCCTCTCTTGTTCTAGAGGGGGCGTTATGCAAGGTCAATTATTTTACACACGTCTGAAGGGAGATGTGCAGCTAGAGGCTTCATTGGTAGACCACCTAAAAGCACCGCTCAATATCTGTGGCCACTTTAGCCAGAGCTTGGCAGATACGCTTCATTACACTAATGTCTGTAATGCCCAGGCTAGGCATGTCTTGAGCACATCCCTGCTCTGCATGCTGTGATAGGGTGCCTCAGGCGGGGGCTAGATAGTGAACGCCAGGAGATTTACTGAAGACAGAAAGTCCCTATTTTGATACTTCCTAGCTTTCTCCGGCTCTCTCGGGCTTGCCATGGGTTGCACAAGAAGCTGCATGTGCACCCAACTGCCGAGACCAGGCTCCTTACACCCTGTCGCTGTGCATGCGTTTGTTGATGTGAGCGTGAACAGCCTCTTGTAAACCCCTTGTTTTATCGGGCAGGCCATGTACTGCGGGGAGGGAATGAAGCCGCTGCACGAAACGCACGCTTCGGCGCGCGGCTCCTTTGAAAATATCTCCATGAGCGGCCAGGAGGTCTTCAAATTCGCCGTCCGCGCCGTACCCACGGTAAGCACCTCTTTCTGTGTTCTCCTGCCAAAATCATTGCAGGATAGCTTGGTGCCTCTTTGTGCTGCCTTCGCGGGTGGTGGTGTGATGAGCTAGATACAATACGTGTCCCTCAATAGCCAGGAGGTCTTCAAACCTTCCGTCCCTGTTGGGCTCACGTTGATCGGTCAGGGTGTTCATCTCCATGCTGCATGCAATTTGAAGCATGGGTTTATACATGGCAGGTGAGCCTGGTGAGTTTGTGTTGCGCAGGTAGTAGAGGCGGCTTTGGCGAATGCAGGGAGGACGAAGGATGAGGTGGACTGGCTAGTGCTGCACCAGGTATCAGCCTTTTATTTGAAAATGAGTCATATCTTTGCTGATTTTATCATTATTACACGCTTTTCCTGCCGAAGGCAAGGTGCGTCTGCAGACAAGCTGCATGTAAAGGCTGCCAAATTCCTACCCCTTGTTGGACTCGCCAGATCCAGGCAGGACCCAATCAACCGTGGGCACGATGCTCAGTATTTGTACCGCCTCCCGCTAGCCGGGGCTTTGCTGTTGGCCCATACATAATATGGCATAGAAGTGGATGCACAGTTCATTAAAGAGCGGTTGTTGGCACTTTGCAGAGCTGCAAATGTGGGATGTAGGAAAAATCTCTCCTGCTTGCTTTGACTGAAACTTCACTTGGAAGCAGCTGTTGCAAATATCAACCAGGTGATAGCAGCCTGCTTGCGCAGATCAAGCATGCGGGTGAGAAAGGGTGCAGACCTGGTCAAGGCCCTAAACACTACAAAAGTGACCTGTTGTTATTAGTCAACAGCATCTAATGGTTTCTGATGGTGCTTAACCTGAACATTCAGGCAAATCAGCGCATCCTGGACAGCGCAGCGACGCGTCTGGGCGTTCCCTCCGACCGCGTGATTAGTAATCTGGCAGAATACGGCAACACAAGCGCCGCATCAATTCCCCTGGCGCTCGATGAAGCCGTGCGCGCAAACACCATCGTGCCCGGCAATGTGGTTCGTATATCTTCTTTCTCCCTCTTCCAATAGAGAGGGTCAGGGGTGAATATTGGAATTGCTGAGGGTTGGTATGGAGGACCCCTCTTCGGGAGATAGAGGGTTTAGAAGGAGGACGGACAGGAAGAGTCAGGAAAGGATGCAGGAGCACATAGCCTGTCAGCAGTGTGCTGCATGTGTTTGGCAACACAGTCTGCGCAGGACCATCAATGGGGACCGTGGTTTGTGCACACCCTCTCTTGATGAAGCAAGGGGTGTAAAGGGGAGCGACGGAAACAGACGGCTGATGAAATGGAATATATCGTCTTTTCTTTTGCGCCAGACTGGCGCACTTTGCACCGGTTGCATTGTGCCCATGAAAGTTGCCATCTCAGGCCCCATCTTCCTTGAAAGACTGCCAGGTGGGAAGCCAGCCACTGGAGCTTTGAGAAACCTTACATCACCTGCTAGTGATGTAGCCCAATGTATCCGTCACACCGCCCATCCCTTTATCTGCTAGATTCATCCCTGTCAGACGATCCAAAGGCACGAGGCCAAGTTGTCCCAATATTTGTCTAATTGTGTCCGCGCAGCTGCTTTCAAGCATCTGCCCAACTGAAGGTGGACAGTGCTGTGTATCCGTTGCTGTGGAATCTCTCTGCCTATTATTGTAAAGACTGGAGAGCAATAATTCACATGTTGCTTGACATACCGTGTCCTTAAGGACTGGAAAACACGCAATGATAAAATTGCACTCTGACAGTGGCTGTGACTGCGCAGCTGGCGCTGGCCGGCTTTGGAGCAGGGCTCACGTGGGCGTCAGCAATTGTGAGATGGGGATGAGTCATGCAGAGGGGTTGCACCTGCGCACCCCAGAATGTGTAATCGCCCCGATGGATTATACATAGACTACAGAAGCTGTCTTCACAGCAGTACTCCTGACGCATACACAGCGCCATACAGCCTGCTCTTTCCGCGAGCAGCAAGATTATATGTTAGGCGACAAGGCATGTTGTGATTTCTGCTAATCTTCTTGAATTGTGAATCAAAACTGGCTCAGGTCGAGAGTGCAAACCCTGCAATGCATGAGCATGCCTTGCAGCAATTTGCTTCTGGTGTGCTTGCATGCGAGTTTTATACTTATCTGAGATGGTGCGAGGTGTGAGATTCAGATACTTGGAGAGACAAATGTGAGCGGGTGCATGGCAGCTGCAGATGATTTAGTCAGTGCATCATGCATGATGGTGCGAGTACGCATACTCAAGAGACAGCGTACGAGCAGTAACGGTGAGTTAGAGAGCCAGACTGAGCTTATGTCATGGCTGAGAAGAGATGATTTCTGCGGATGAGTAATCATAAGGCTGTTGCCTTTCGCATCCAAAGTGCTGGCAATTTGCTGCATCATTATCCATTGGGAGAACTTGCGCTAGGCTGAAAGTTTCAGCCTGAAACAGCTGTCATAACTAGGCTGTCAATTGCTCGCGAGTCTGGAATTTGTATGAGGGAGGTTTATGAACGGCATGCAATTGGGCAGGCAACCACTGGTAGCTCCAGTAGCACAGGTAGCTGGCAGCTCTTCAGTGAAAGGTTCCTCATTATGATGGCCCTTGCAATCAATTGATTTGTAAAGCTCATTGTGCGTATGGAGCATCTAGCACCGTGCCAGACTGTGACTGACAATATGCGTTTGTCTGTGATTAACATGCCTTTGAAACAAAATTTGATAGCGCTCTCGATCAACGCTCAAATTTACAGTTCTGCCTGATGTCGAATCTTCCAATGTCAAGCAATTTTCAAGCATGCTGCTGAGAATTCCCCTCAAAACCAGATCACTCGTTCCTTGTCATACATGCTGGCTAGTGAAGAAAGTTACTGGCAACACAGTTCTGCCACACAGTCCCAGTCCCACACAGCTGCTACGCTACGCGCCGGCTACATTCGCATATTGCCGCGCGCATCAATTACTACTGCGAGTTAGTCAGCAACCTATTGCACAATGACCTTGCCGGCCATGCCAGCTCCCTGGTGGGGCTCGCAGTAGTAAGAGTACTCGCCGGGGGTTGTGAACTTAGACGACACTGACTCACCGGGGGCGTTGAGGTAATCCTCGTGGCTCAGAGACTCTGCGTTGGCGCCGGACTGCAGGCAGCAGGAATACACTCAGCTCAACTTCAATACTGGATTTGACATGCAGCAGGATTGATCTACGGGTCAACCAGTAGCAGTGACTCTAGACAGCTGTGTGAAGGCCGCAAGCTTCCTTGCATGTAGCACGGCAGCACAGCGGGAGGAGAGTGTGCCTGTCACCAATACTGCAAAGAGCCATCCATAATGTTGACAATAAAAGCGTTGCATGCAATACAAATAGATGTAATTGCTGTCGTTCGAATATAATGAGCACTGAACTGACAATCAGCCCGCGGACTTGCTTTGGGCTGTCCCATTCCGAGCCAGAAGTGCAAACCACAGCAAGCTGTGGTGGCCACTTTGAAACGTGACAAAGCAACTTTGCGACAAACACGCACCGGAATAGCATCCTCGTCGAAGACGACGTTGTGGGGGAAGCCCACGTTGTTTGTCCATGTGACGCTCTCGCCAGCCTTGATGGTGATGGTGGCAGGGTCGAAAATCAGAGCACCGCCGTCACCTCCCAGCTTCACGCTGGCGGCGTTGGCTGAGAGGGCAAGGCCCAGGGAGGCAATGCCCACGCCAGCAGCCTTTGCATACCTACGCAATCCCAAAAGATCCTTGTGAAAAAACCTGCTCCAAGAATTTCTCCAGCGTAAGAAGTTCATCTGTCGGTAAGGACTTGTTCATACATCATCAAAAGCTCGACTCTTGCAAGCTGTTCAACCGATGTTCTTGGCAGACACCTCTCAAGAAGCTGCAGCTTGAGGAGTCAGCCATCTGCACACTCCCAGCACCACCATAACAAGCCTGCTTCTTCTTTGACCCGGCCTACTTTATGAAGGATCTCGATCACAGGCCTGATGAGCTCTCCAATCACGACTTGGAAAAGGTGCAGCCACAGGGTTGCGTGGAAAGACCAAGGGCCACAAAATATCGCCCATCGCAGGCTCCAGGGCCACTGCGCAATCCGGCTCCGCAGCTCTCGGAGGAATGCCAGGCGAGCAGCTCCAGCGACCGTTACAAAACCGATTCAAGAAATTGTAAATCCTCTGGTACGTGCTAGCACCTCTGGTACAGGCCTTACCGGGCCACGTCCTCACGGAGAGTCGCGGAGACCACAGGCGTCGCGCGAGCGCGAACGCTGGTCCTCTGTGGGGCGACGACCTTGGTGCCGAAAGCGGTGGATGCCTTCATTGAGAGAGCCATTGTATCGATCTGAGGTGTGCGGAAATTTCTGGGACACCGCTGATCAGGGTGCCTCCAGGCTACTAGGGTCTTATCAGGATTCAGATCCCCAAACCCCTAAAAATGTGAAACCTTTTTCTAGGATCAGGGAGTGCAGGAACCCTCCAGGGGTCAGGGATTTGTAGGGCTTCTCTGTGCCGGTTTGCACTTGCGCCTCCGTGCTCACTTCCGTGAAAATTCCCTCCAGTCGCCTTCGAATTGCGCATTTAATAAGGTTATGTCACAACCGGTGGCGGAGGAAGAAGTGTTTGACGCCAATCCAGCAGGTGCTGTTCAATCAGTTGCTGTTCCCAATAACTTTTGACCTGCGGCGAAATAATCATTGGAAAATTGGTGTCTGGTGATAATAAAAACGACCGCTTTCACGACATGATTGGGGAATCGGCTGAGCAAACATGTGCATGAAGACTCTCAGACACCTCCATGGTTATTCGCTTATTGTGTGAACTGTAAACAGACGATTGTCGTGGCTTTCGCATCTTCGTTGTCGGGACTTACGATTAGGAACACAATGTTACACTTTTGCGACCTAATTGCTCTCACTATCAGACATGTTGGCATATGCTGTCCCTCCAAAGATATTCTATTGCGTAATTTTGATGAAGGGCTGGCACACACAGGTCACATGCTAGGAGCAGAAGGCAACGCTGCATTGGTCGAGGTTATTCAGGTGCTGCTCTCATCCTGCCTTCCCTGAGGGCGTGCCCAATCAGGTCCTGTGCTTTGTTCCAATTGCTGTGTGCAAGTCACGAGCGAGTGAAACCGGTTTGTTGCTTGACTGAGCACCACGCCTAATATCAGCGTTTTCCAGCGGTAAATTGCCTTGCATGCATCCAAGAGCGTCTGGCAGCAGGAACTTCTCACATCTGCGCTCTCGCAGCAACTTGCATGGCAGAGATCAGGGGCTGGGTAGCAATTTGGCCATATAGCATGCCTGAAATTTGTATGATTGGCCGCCCAGGCGCGGCTGAACACCATGATTGGCAAATCGTCAGGCTTTGTGGAGACTCTGCCCGCGCAGATCCAGGCGCGCATCCAGGTGAGCACCAAGTTCCTCTGCCAGCATATTCTGTGCAGGTATTAGCGTGCACATATTGACATTCTAGTTACCAGCACCAAGACATTTTCTAGGCTGAGCATCGTATAGCAGCATGCATAGCAGGGATGAGCCACTCACAGCACATGCCTGGTTCTGGCAAAGGAGCACTCAGTCACTGCGACTCTTGAAAGACAGGTGATGCGCAGACACTAAACCCCCGTGTCATTGCGTGAGCCTGAATTTTCAAACTAAACTCAGATGCATTTTTTCTGTCTGTGCAGGCGCTGCAAGATCTGCAGGAGAGCCATGACGAGCACGAGAGTGAGTACCAGAAGGAGCTGAAAGCGCTGCAGGCCAAGTACGACGCCCTTTACGGTGAGTCTTTCTACATTTCCTGATCCTTCTTATAAGTATACTGCGCTTATGTCAATGCGCTGCTCTGATCAGGCAGCCTGACTTGTTGCCGACTTCGCTGGTCCTGTACATGATGCCCTCAGCGTAACTTCCCGTCCTGCATGTGTGGCTGTATCTGTTCTGAGGCCATGGCCTTCGCTCGGTGTCCTGCTTCTGCACGGTTGGGAAGTTGCCTGACTGAAGTGACTTGTGCTGTATGACCTCTGTGCCAGAGCATGGTGCATTGTGTTCTGACTGAGGATCGCTAGCCTGCACGCCCTTCTCATATACTTGCAGACGTTGGCTTGCTCACGCTCAGAACCATAGACAGGGCATGGTCTGAGGTTATCTGAGGACGGCGTAGAATTTGCTAGGAACATCACAATTTGCTATGAACATCACAATATTGCCATGCTAGCCCAGGCGCAACAAATTACTTGAGCCATAAGGTTCTGGCCGCCTTTTGGCTACATAAACAAAAAACGAAAATTTGCGAATTTCTCCTTCCAGCAAGTAGAGGCAAGATAGAGTCATTCTGAAGGTGGCCGTATTTGTTCCATCTTCCTGGCACCTTCCATTGGCAAGATATGCGCCTGTTGCACCACACTTGGAGTAGTTCTTGGGGGAAGCATGTTCTTTGATTGATTTTGATGCCAAGCAGGAGCACGCTGTGTTTTGTTTGCCATGAGAGTGTTTTTTCTTCAGAATAATAGTTGAAGTGTCTGTGGATGCAGCGCCGCTGTATGAGGAGCGCAAGGCGATTGTGAACGGCGAAAAAGAAGTCCCCGCGCCAAAAGAGGCCGAGGGCAAGGCCAAGGAGGAGGAGGGGGTCCCCGCGGGCATCCCCGAGTTCTGGCTCGGCGTCCTGCGCGCCAACCGCGTCATCGGCGAGTCGGTGAGTGACTCATTCTTGCATAGGATCCCCTTACATGCAAGATATGCTCCTTGGCCCAGTGTGGAGTGTCTGAGGATCTCATTTACCGCCAGCATGTTTAGTCAGGTGCAACCCCTTGTCTAGCAAGAAGGGAAGCACATGTGATCTTGTAATCCGGCACAATGCACAGCACCACTTGCGAATTGACGAGCTGTACATCGTGACGGCAAGCGATGGTGCATGAGTTTGCCGTGCTCTGTGGCTGTTGGCAAAGCTTTCATTGTTGTTCCTAGGGCAGCAAAGGAGCATATTACCTAGTTGCCTGAGTTCCAGTCAGTAAAGAAGGCAGTGGTGTTGTTTGCACCCGATCCGCATTATGTCTTTCCAACTCGAGCTCAGGTCTGCTACCCAGGCTGGGCTGCATGTGACAATCAGGGAATCTCTTTATCGTGAACTCAGTTCCGTGATTTTGCGATGCTTTCGGGGCCGCCAATATCTTCAGAGGGCCAAAGTGATTGATAGCGCTATTCTGCATGGCTACCGCAGAAGGAGCCATTCTCACCATGCTGTGATGGGTGTGCTGAGATCGCCGGTGCTGTGTTTTAAAATGGCCTGGAGCACCTGACTCAGCACTGGTCGCGTCCTTAAACATTTTTTCTTGCAAATCCGAGTTTCTTTTTGGCTCTGCCGGTGCTGCTGTCAGTAAACGACAGGGTTGTGCTGAAACCCCTGACTGACAACAGCGTGCTTTTTTCGTTGAAATTTTGCATTTTTGTATCCGAATTTGAATGCCTGTGAGCTGCGCAGCTGTCGGAGAAGGACGAGGAGGTGCTGAAGCACCTGACTGACATCAGCGTTGCTGAGCTGGCGCCCGAGGCTGATGAGGACGGCGATGAGATTGGCGGCTTCAAGCTCATCTTCCACTTCTCCCCCAACCCCTTTTTCGACCAACCCACCCTGGTGCGCACATTTTTCATCTTTCCCATCGTTTCGATTTTCTCAATATGGGACTCTGAGGCCCTTGTAAAGAGAGGTTTGAGATTATTTGGGAGTATTCGCTGTACTTCCACTTCTCCCCCGACCCTTTCTCCGACCAATCCGCCCTGGTGCGTTGTCATCCGTGCAGCAGAGCATATACACATAATCCAGCAGGATACATGATGCTGTCTTTCTGGCGGAGTCTTTAGTTTTGGGTCTTGTTTGTTACCGTTGGGGCACGGCATGCGCCCAAACCCCTTCTTTGGCCAACCTGTACTGGGGTGCCTGTCGCATGGTTCCCTGATTGATTAGAGAGCAAGTAACAAGGCAGTCTTGAATCGGTCTCTGGTGCACGCTAGTCTGAAAGTAATCGTCCCAGAAAAAGATATTGTTCAGGGCATTTGCTCTGGTACGGTGTTCATCCTCGGAGGAAATGCCAGGCCAGGTCTCACAAGTGGAATGCAGAAGATTGGCATTAAATATTTCCAGGGCTGCTTGAAAGGTGCATTGTTGGTTTGGCGGCACAACAACGTGCGCCGTGCTTTATTGCATGTGCAGGAAAACCCTTGCCCCTCTGCTTTCCCAATGCCGCCTGCCGGGATTGTTCCTCGGCTGTGATTGTGACTCCTGACTCTTGATTGTGACAAGGCTTTTGGCGGCAAAAAATATCGGTTAGTGCTCAAAGGTCTGTGATAATTTGCACAGCATCTTTCTTGTCTTGGCATGTAGTTGGGGAAGAACTTTTGTTGAGCATGGGGCGTTTTTGAGCACCTCCTTAGGTGGAGGGACAACCCTTCCTCGTATGTGCCGAGCTCCGGCTAGCTGTGTGCTGATCTTTGTGCATTTTTTCATTATAACGGTAAACGAGCAGACACGTGCCAAAACAGGCCTAGGCGGCAGCCATGAACGCGGGATGACATGATGGTTGTTTCGCATGTGCAGGAGAAGACGTACTACATTTACGAGGAGGATGGCGAGCCGATGCTGCACCGCGCGGAGGGAACCAAGATCGACTGGGCCACCGGCAAAAACCCCACCGTCAAGGTGCCTCCCCGCTGCCATCTAGTGCCTGCCACTTGGGTCTTGCATTTGCCCTGTGCTCCCTGCTATGCAGAGCAATTCTCACCTGAAGAGCAGTGAAAGTTGGATGAGGTGTGACACATTTGGGGGCAATCAATGTTGCAAAGTCCTTCAAGTGGCCATTGCTCACTGGCGCTGCCGAGACTGATGGCCAATGAAGCCAGCAGGAACGCCAGTGACCAATTGCTACGGAAGGGGCTCGCAAAAATGGTTTCTTTGTCGCATGTATTCTTCTGTGTGATGTATGTGGGGCTGGGGCCGCACAAGGCACTGATTGGCTTCACAGCATGTTCCCTCAGGGACAGAATACGGGCATTCGTCCTGTAGGGGTCAACACATGTGAGATTATGGCAGCTCCATAGAGGGGCTCATCACTGTGCTGCAGAAGCAAGGGGGCACAATGGGGCAAGTGCTTTTGCGGCGCTTGTCGGACGTAGGGTTCAGGAGTATTGGTGACATACATCCAAGGTATCTGAGGGGGTGGTTCATGCGTGTTCTCAGGTGATGCGCAAGAAGGCCAAGCCCGGCAAGGGCGGCCGCGGAACAGCGCCCAAGATGCTCACGAAGCTCGAGCCCGTGCCCTCCTTCTTCAACTTCTTCACTCCTCCCCAGGTATCACTACATCCCACCCATCTGCAGCTCTATCACCCATTTACTACACCTGGACCCTGGAAGTAAGATAGTCCTCTGTGACTTTCGAGACAAGGATGCAAGTACAAGTGCGCTTTAGCACATGGACCTCTTTTTATTTGACTGTCAGTCACTCGCTTGTGGCTTCCTACTTCCTCAAGACACCTGCACAGGTACACGTGTCAAATTGGCATGTCCCATTCATCCTTTAAGTGCAGCTTGTCTGCAGGACGCATCTTGCCTCTTGGCAGAAGAGCGTGTAAGAATAGTGACAATAATTCGGATAGAAGCACAAATGGATTGGCACTGTGGTTGGCAGTGCATGCACGCTTGCACTGCCCCGAGTGGTCCTGGATGTTACTGGCAATGTCTGGCAGTGTCCCAGCAGCTGCAGATGACTAACAATGTGTCATGCAATGACTACAGGAGCCTGAAGAGGATGAGGAGATTGATGAGGAGGATTTAGAGGAGCTGCGCAACGCCCTCGAGGAGGACTTTGAGATCGGGTAAGCGCCCCTTACAATCGTATGCTTACCCTTGCAATATGGGCGTTAGGAGGACGTCTATGGTGTAGGGTGAAAAGGCTGTAAATGTTGAGTGCTTCTCTGTATGGCTGAAGCCCGGGCTCGTCAGTGCGTCGTTTAGATGAAATTGCTTGTGGAGGGTTTTGAAGGTGGGTGCGCGCTCAATTTGATTGTTCTGGTAGTGCTTTTTGTTGTGTCTGTGTCGCCGCCCAGTTTTGCTGTAGCTTGACCGGGCTCCATCGAAATAGAATACATGTGAGAGTCGGACAGCAGTTCCCCACATTTGGTACTGCCCGCATCTTGTGACCTGATCACATAGGGGTCTTCCTGGTGGTTTTCCAGAATTGTGTCTGCCTTGAAGTTGAAAACGATGGTTGTCATGCCAGGGAGACGATCCGCACTCGCATAATTCCCCACGCGGTCAAGTGGTACACGGGGGAGGCGAATGAGGATGACGAGGACGATGACGAGGATGATGACGAGGACGATGACGTCGACGAAGACGACGATGAGGTCAGCACAAACCTCCGATGAACAAGGCAAAGAGAGAACCTGAGACTGTGCGAGCACCAGATAGAAGAACGGGCTACCTTGCAATTTATGAGCAGTGCGTGTAAATGACAGAACACCTCCTGGCAAGGAGTACGGTTGATGCATCGCCAGCAAGCATCCGCGGATGGCTGCAGTAGATTCAACTTACTGCTTTCTTTGTGGCAAGTTCTCCTTTTTTTCCTTTTTCCCCTCTTGAGAAGCCTCCCACACAACTCAAGAGATGATGATATCTCTTGTGCAGTAGATTCAACTTACTGCTTTCTTTGTGGCAAGTTCTCCTTTTTTTCCTTTTTCCCCTCTTGAGAAGCCTCCTACACAACTCAAGAGATGATGATATCTCTTGTCGACTCAAAGTGTCTTCCAACTGCTTCACAGGTCTCGAGAAGGAATCGCCACTTTTGGGTATTGCAAGGGTGTCTGACAGGGGGAATGCTGTGTACACAGGACGATGACGAGGACGATGACGAGGATGCGGCTGATGAGAAGGAGATCAAGCAGGCGCTCAAGGGCGGTGAGGTGTGCTGCCAGTAGACAGAGCCTGCATGGTTTCAAATCCGAAATTTCAAATCACCCAAGTCAAGTGGGGCTCCTGTGTGGACCCTGGTTGGTGCGCAGAGGGTGCTGTGTAACACTGTGTACAGGGCACACCGCCAGTGATCGAGTAGGGGCTTATTTTTTCAATTTCGCTAGGTACTGGGTGGCGGAGCTGAGAGAAAGAGACAAGCGGTGTGTATATTTCTGGCTGGCTGACTGTGTGCACCCATGCACAACTGATCACAGGCTGGCAGGTTGCTCATGCCATTGAAAGTGTTCGGCGTGACTTGCCTTCTGTGTAGAAGGGCAGTGCCGTGCTCTCTTTAGGAGGATCTTGCTGTGCGTGTGATGTCGTCTGTCCTGGACCTCACCTTTTTGTTGTACTCTTTTTGCAGGGAGATAAGGGCGAGAAGCCTCCGGAGTGCAAGCAACAATGAGCCCGGTCAAGCAGGAAAATTCCAGGTGTCTAAAACAAGGACCATATGGCCTGTGGACGAGAGAGGGAGCTGACAGGGAAAAGCTTTGCAGCAGAAAATTAAGCTGACTTAATATTTGCCAGTTCATTGTTCCAGGCAAAGCGGGTGCCAGCAGGGTGCCTCTAAGCAGTACATAAGTGTGTTTGTTTTATTGCAAGCGGGGCCGGGGTTGCAAGTAAACAACATGGGGTTTCTTGCGCAAATTTGAGGACAGGAAACGGATCGGTTGATTCCATTGTATGCAGGAAGTAGTGCCTGTGAGCGTGCAATTGAGACACTAGCAATGCTTTTGATTAGTATTGGGCTTGAAGTGACTCCAGGATCACCTCCCAATTTAAATTATGATCAAGAACATCATAGTGTAATACATGCACAGCGGCATCATGCGCATCTGCCACACAATGCACACATCGCACAAATGGACATGTCTTCGAAAATAAGGCTGCCATCCCCAGCTGCAGGATAGTCATAAGTGATGGCAATTGTCAGTCAATCTGACGACACAGAATATCAACTTACACATACTATGTAGCTATAGAGAGATGCAGAGCAAACGCCAGAAATGAAAGAAAGGGCAAGTGATCACTGGTGAATATCATCCAGCAAGCAGACAACAATCTTACAGCCATACAAGCCGTATGTTGCATGACCCTTCAGACTTTGAAGAGCAAACTCAAAACTCAGAGATCTCTGCCCTAGTCATTTCTGGACCTCGGAGCGACATTTCCTTCTGCGTTGCGCCCAGAGTAGAAGGCACTGTCGCCCTAAGCCCATCCAGTCAAAGTCAGTAGCACCACAGCAATTGAGCAGTCCACATTCTCAAATGCCAACAGCAAACAGCGCCTCATTAAGGCCTCTGATAAGCGCTTTGGCGTTCAGGAAGAGCGAGTGGTTGTCAGCCCACTTGTGCTGTGCCCACTGCTCTTCCCTAGAGCCGCCGCTGTCGTGAGGCTCGGCAATAGGCAAGCACTGTGCGCGCTGCGAATGCAGCGTGGCATGTGCCGCACGCACCGGTGGTCCCCCTTCCAGACATGAAATGCGCGATGTTTACTAAATAAGCGGTGGGAGATCCATGGCCGGCACGCAATGGAAATTACGTGGCAAGGGTCATTGGAGGAAGGCATGCATCCAGGCGAGTGAGCACAAAAAAATCACAGGAGGTGCCCATTTGCGTATTTATCCAGGTCGCCAGTAGAAATGGGCCTTGTGATTGTAAGAAAAGGTGCCCAGGGTGCTCGTGAGATATACGATGACCAAGGCTGATCGAGCCTGCATACAGCGGGGCCCTCTGTGTGAGCCTAAGAGGCATTGACACCTTGAACAGCCTGAAGCAGAACAGAGGTGGGTCCCACTGAACATGAATGTATTGCAAGCATCAGGCTGACAGATCATTGATGCGCAGCAAGCATATCCGTATGAGGGTGTGGACTGTGCCCAAGAGCAAATCAGACAGTTTCAATTGACTGTTGGAACTGTGCCGCCAAGCAAAACAAAGAGCTTTTCAAGACGTATGTCAACGTTGAAGTGACTGGAGAAAGGGTCCTTCGAACACATTCTTTGCTGCAGTCCAACCTCCATATATAACCTCCATAGATCTGAATTTCCTAATACAAGTTCAGCCTGCCACCCTTATGCAGCGACTTGCATTGAATGATCAAAGTCGCCATAGTGCATGCGCATGCGCTGCCTGCATGCACATGGCCGGCATATTGGGACCGAGCCTGTCATCATGATCAGGGCAAGTGCCCTGAGCTTTGATGCCTAGGCTGATCTCTGCGCCTGGCAGGGTGCCACTAGCAGCCTGGCTGCCAGCTGCCAATGTGCTCAGCAGCCAGCAATTTGCCAGCTGCCAGCTCACATTGTGCTGACTACGAGTCAGAGCTCGAGCTCGGAGCTGCAGCGGTCAAGAAAACACCTGTAGGAATCTATGGCCATCACAGAACCACATTTCCAAATGAATTGATAATGATAATGCATTTACTTGCCAGTGCCTTGCACAGTCCTCAGTTCCTGTGCCAGGACCAGCCTATGCCCAAAGCATAGCCACTTTCGCCAAAATAAATGTATGTGCAGCAAGTTTACGGCATTCCCTCCTGAATATATTGTCATGCTCAGGAGTGTCTCAAACTGTTGGCAGTAGTGGAAAACTTGAACTGACTGCCTTGCAACACTCTGCAAGCTTGTTTGGGCTGCATCTTCATCACTGTTGGGTACTGACTGGCTGGAAGTTACTGTACAAGGCGCGTTGCAGCGGAGATCTCCACAAGCTGCTTGCCTGCTTGAGCTCTCAATTACCAAGCCAAGTTAAAGATCACAAGAACAGGTGGGCAAGCTTGTCGAGCTGCGTGCTTCAGTGTCACCGCTGAAACTTGGCTGCCTTGCTTGCCATCCCTTCTGTATCGGCTGGTTTCAGTTGGGGTTTTGCTGTTATGCAGTGGCTTTGATGTTGAAGAAAACTGATTAAAAGGGGATGCAACAGGTGTAATACAGAAGATCACTTACCTCTGGATAACTCTCCTTGTTGTCGGCCTTGCATCCACTGGACCCAGCTGGTGCTCTGCTGCGTGGTACGTATGACCTGGACGCACAGTACCGAAGGCGAGAGACTTGTTCCCAACCTGTGGGCTGCGCCTGGAACGCTTTGTTGCATGCCGCAATCGCTTGCATATGCCTTGGCTTCGAGCATCAAGCAGGCTTGGAGTAGTGTGGGGTGATGTGAAGTAAAGAGGTTTGATAGTGCAAGGTTTGTTCACCTTGCTTGTGCAGACCGGTTCTAAAACAAGTACTCAACCAACCTATTTTGTTGTGCAGGAAGGCATCTATGACACCGTCCAAGAAAGGTTGGTCTGCCTCCAGTCTGCTTGTGTGAGACGGTCCCCATGACCTTGCAGTAGCTTTGGCGGACTGTCCGTCTAGTTTTATGGACAGGTGGCAATATCATCGTGACAGCCAGTTTAGCAGCAGCTGGTTCCTTCAGGTGCTAATCTGTGTGTGTTGCATATGATCTGATGCTGTGACAGTGAAAAATGCACTTTTGTAGGCTTCGACAATGTCATCTGAGAAGTGGTTCAAGTATGGGGAGCAGCTTCAGCGAGCCGAGACTGACCCTGACGGCCACCTCAACCTCGAACAGCTCGCAGCCACGCTTGGCCTCGACCCCAAGACGCTTCAGCTCGACGGCGTCCTCAGAGCCTACAGCCCCAGCGGCTACACCTTCACTGCCATACAAGGCGGTGACAACAGCGATTCTGCAATCATTGTGACGGGCAACCCTGCAACGGGTGCGTTGTGCGTTTCCCAGCCTCCATGTTCAGCTAGTCAGCAGCGTGTGTCCTGTAGTCTACATGGAAGCTCTCACTGCAACTCAGTTGAACTCGGTCAGCGCAGAGTAACTCCAACAGGCAGCAGCATTACCTGAACTCAGCTTGCGCCGTGCTAGCCGTTGGCTGTGTAGCCTGTTGGGCATACTGCAAGCTCTCACTGTATTCCAGTTGAATCGAATCAACGCACAGTGACTTCCACTGGCAGCAGCACCAGCTGAGTTCAGCTCGAGCCGTCCTGGACTGGCTGGTGCTCTTTCAGTACAGGCCTTGTTGGGCTGCCGCTGGGTCTGGTAGCACACAAGGCGAAAGCGCTTCACCTAGGCTCTCTATGGTGGCACCTAGCAACAACTCTAAAATGATGCCCTGTTTTGCTTACCGTGCAGCACACCTCCTCACGCTTTATGAGGTGGTGACATACCCCGTCGCGCAGCTCACCCAGCGACTCAGCCCCCGCTCTTCGGCCAGCAAAACGCAGCCCAGTCAGCCCAGGACCTTTTCGGACATTCTGCCATGGCCGGACTTCATCGCGGGCTGCATGGCGTTGCTCGGCAGCCTGGACAACAGTGAGCGCATCTATAACGCACCAAGCGGCCGCATACTGCCCAGCGCATCGCACACAGTACGGTCAGCAGCGGACGAGGCTGAGGTCAGGGGCCGGGTCCTCAGCCTGCTAGACAGCATCAACGACGTTGCGGAGGTGCTGGGCATCCCTGTGGAGTGCACAAGCGGGGGCAGCGGACGCAGCAGCTCCTTCACAGACCTGGTGGTGCGGCTGACAGGCTCGGCCACCAACCCTGCGCACCTCAGCGCCCTCATTCTCGCGGCTGGAGAGGTCAAGGGCAACTGGCAGTTCGAGCTGGAGCGCGGTGAAACCCTGGAGGCGGCGCTGCATGACCCCAAGCGAATCGTCAAGATCGTGCTGGCTGTGCAGCAGGTGAGGCTGCAAGCTTTTAACTGAATGCGTTGTAAGTTGGTGTCTGGCTGCATGCAGTTTGTGAATGTGTTGCTGCATGCATGCGCCAAGCATGAACAAGATTGCTGGCTGTTAGGCAGCCTTGCAGCAGATGGTCTCAATCTCTATCGTTGTGTAACATATTTGGTACGTCGCTCAATGCAACACCTGGACTGCAGGTGTACGGCGATGCTGTGTTTGATGAGGCTCCCATGCTCATCCTCACCAACTACCATGTCACCGTGTTCCTCAAGCGCAGCGCAGACGTCCAGGACAAGCGTCTGTGGGCTTCGCCTCCCATCTGGTGGGACAGCACAGACCCACCTGCACGCGCATGCTGGCTCTACTCTCTAGAGCAGGCTCACAGCATGCGTGCAATGAAGCAGAAGCTGCCGCGATTCGCTGTGCCCCCCACAATGAAAGGGTACCACATTCCAGCGCAGTCGCAGCTGGATCAGCCGGTTGTGCAGGATGCTGGCACAGGACTGAGGCGCAGCTCGCGAGCTCGCACGGCTACCCTCCGCTTGCAAGCGACCAGCGCTTCTGGCAAGGGATATGAGCTGGACAGCCTGGCAGCCCGGCAGTCACCAGCCTCAGCCGCATCAGCCGTCAGCGCCGCACCTAGCAGCAGTGGCAGCGCACCGCCCGCCGACCCGGTGCTGCCCTTAGCAGATCTGGCCATCACTGATAAGCTGCTTGGCGCAGGCCAGTTTGGGCATGTCCTCCAGGTAATTTAGCAATATATGCATGAGTGAGCAAGCTTCTGTCACCAATCAACTTATATAGTCGCAAAATTTTCAAGTCTGGCCACAACCCATGCTGCCTAGTGGGCCAAAGGTCTGTGGCACTGTGATCTAGCGGCCGGTCAGTCGTTGCTGCATACAGAATTTGGACTTGCTGCTTGTTTACTGTGACCCATCTCTGGTGCAGGGAAGCTACTGCATGCAGCCTGTGGCAGTGAAGCTGTATCACCGCCAAGTAAGTGGTGCGACTGCGGCATACGAGAACGAGAAGCAAGCCTACCAGGCTCTGGAACAGCTGCAGGGTTCAGCCATCCCCAACTTCTTCGGCTATGGCATGCTCGCGCACACCGCGGTGCCTGTCATCGTGACATCTGTTGCTGGCACTGCCCTGCGGGAGGGAGCCCGTGTGCCGCCGTCGCTGCACAAACCCATGCGGGATGCGCTCAAGGCGTTCCATGATGCAGGAGCTGCTCATGGAGATGTGCGGCTTGCCAACTTCCTGGTTGAAGAGCAGAGCGGCATCGTGCGTCTGGCTGACTTGGGAAGCACAGTCCTCAGGGCCACCAAAGACCAGCAGAAGGCGGAGCAAAAGAAATTGGCGTCATTGCTGGCGTGAATGGACACTGCCACGGACATGAACCTTGTGTGGCAAAGCTAGCAGCTGCAAGGATGCATTGTCTGATACATGCCAGCATTGAATGGGCCACACTGTAACATGCTGGTCCAGGGGCCTAGATGCAGTGAGTGTGTCTGGGAGGTAATGCCGGCCCAGCCGCTTGGATGCGACAGAGTTCAAAGCTGGGGTAGAGCGGTCACTGATGGGAGGTCTGTCCGGCTTACTTGTTGGGCAACAGGGGGAGCAGTAGGGAAGCCAGTGAAGTGATAATTGTTAGAGTAATTCACATGCACACGTCCAAGCCTGCCTTGACGGTGAGCTTGTGCTCCTTTGCCTGCCAGATCCTAAACACACCCACTGCTCTGCCTCCATGTCATCTTGTAGGCTCAGGGTGCTCTATAGCCTGCCACGTGTGGTACAACATGTCATTACATGCGGTTGCTTGTTGTTTTGCATGTCATGCAAATGTATGCCAACTCTGAATCTGCAAACAAAGCACCGGCACCGACGTGCCCTAGCTGTCTAGAACCTTATGAGCCCATGATGTGCCCAAGTGGCGGGTATAGACATGCATGTTTCTACAAGCGACACTACCGCTGCTATAGAAAGTAGTGCCCTTCTCCACACAAACAGATGACCAACAAAACAATGTATCTCAATAGGCACGGGCAGATGCACACGCACACACGGTCACTAAGAGAGCAAAGATATAAGCAAAACAAAAATCTCTATCTTTCCCTTTTCGTCGCATGTCAGAGGACTGCATCCTGAACCTCCCTAACACCAGAGAAACAAAGCAACTCCAATCGCAGCCCAAAATCACTGAGCTTCGTCAAACCTGCCAACAAAAGATTTTGACGGCTCCATTGTCTCCTGTAGGCACCCAGCATTCAGCTGCACCTGAAATGTGCAAGATAATCGAACATAAAAAGCTGACCTTCGGATGTCCCCAACATGACAAATACCATGTCAAAAGCTACACAAACAATACTTCTGTTCCTTGGACACACGTCCACCCGCCCTTTCACTTTTCTGATTTGGAGACCAAACGTCTGCACCCTGAACGCGACAGACACAAACAGAGGAGAGCATGATCGTGCAATTGCTTCTAGAGAAGCAGGAGTGTCTGTCTATCACACAAACGAGCTCCCCCCAAGTATGCATCAAGCTGCGAAAACCCAAATGAAGAGCTCCAAGAACCATGAGATATCTGCATCCTGTCTATCCAGCTGATGCCCTCTTGCCAACATTCAGACAGGAGTTCAAATGCAAGTACGCCACAGCCCCCCACACGCCTTAATATCTCAAATGCTGACCCCTCAGGACCCCTCTCCGTGTCCTTGTCTCCTTCCAGAGGCTCAAATCAGGCAATTTCTGTATTTGTTGTTCTTCTCCCCGGAAGCTTCCGCTGCAGCTTCCTTCACAGCGTGGAAGGACTGGACGGCCGGTCATACTCTGCGTCGTCCATCCTGGGGCGTTTCCGCAAGTGTTCCTCGTCATCGCTGCCCCCTGAAATATAACCACACCATTGCTGATTCTTCTGAACCCAATCGTGTCTACCATTACCAGAGGCAACAGGCAGCCGGCACACTTTAAACCCTGGAGCCTGATCCCCCTTTTTACTTACTGCAGTACTCGTTGTGAAACCCGCAATAAATAAACATTTTGGCCAAAAAGGGTCTATAATCAAGACCCTATCTACCAAGACACAAATCAACGGTAATTTTGAGACCAGTTGTTGGGCAAGCTTGCTGCCAGGACTGGCCTGCCCATACTGGGCTTTAGCATCCCGAAAAACTTCTTCTTCTAGACCTTTTTCTCCGCCTGCAAAAGAGAAAGTCACTCACCTGCGTCGTGGGAGTGCCCAGGTTCTCTAAAAGCCTGGGGGTCCCATTCTGTCCTTACAAATTGTGCTGGGCAAGCAAGCCCCCACCCTAATTAGCCAAACCTTCGGCCAAGGGGAATGATATAGAAACGTTTCCAGAAACCCACCTGCGTTTGTGGGGGGTTGTTGAGGCCCGGGGGCCCCAGTCTGCCCAAAGCAGGCAAAAACCCCCCTAACCCTATTTTCACAACCCATGATCAAGGGATTCAGCAGAGATATCATTACGTGCGTTGTGGGCGTGCCCGGATGCCTGTTGATTCTAAGTACTTTGAATACTATCAAACCGTGGGTTCCTATATAGTGTACGTCAGGAGGGAGGGGACTGTCGAATGAAGCTCACCTGCATCGTGGGGGCGCCCGGATGCTGGGGGGTTGTCAAGTCCGGGGGGTCCCATCCTGCCCACAGATGTGGTGCTGGGCAGGGAGGGCAGCCCGCTCAGGTTGAGACTGCTGAGGCTGCCGTTGCACATGAGGCTCCCTCCTGACATCATCGCACCGGCCTGCAGCTGCAAAAATCCCAAGACAAAATTTCAAACTCCCGATTCAAATCTCATTTCTGGTAACGTACTGGGTAAGATGCTGCTCAATTATACATACGTATGCGTCAGTCATTCCATGTCTATGGAGGTTGCGAGCCTGTAGTCGATGAACAAAAACCCCGCTGGACAGCCTATAGTACATACGCTGTTGGCGCCCCTGAGAGATGTTCAGTCATGATTGCAGTGCATGCAAAATTCATTTGACGCCAAGCAATGGTCAATCTGCACCATCTGCAGCAGTCGGCAGCATGCTTGACTTCTTAGGACATGGTTTAGGAGATGCCATTATTGTACTCAATACTCCCTTCTAGGCAGGCTATCACTTGTTTGCACTCCCTGTAAGGATGCGTCTCACGAGCTATAAGGAAGCCCTAGCGGAGAAGGGAACGCGCACCGGCAGGCCGCTGGAGTTGTCCATGGCGGATGAGTTTAGGGCCTGCCAATTCAAAGCTGCCATTATCGACGCAGCGTCCGCGTGCGGCAGCGGGCGCCCACCTGGCACACACAAATTCAAATTTGAAATTCAAATAAGGGAGTCCAGAAGCTCACATTTCTGGGAGCTGTCCGAGCCTTGATGGGTCTCGTGGTATCTTCTTTAGCCAAGGGCACCGCAAGTACCCTTGGGGGGAATTCCCCATGTGATCATCACTTCATCAATTCTGTGTAATAAGTAGATGTTTCCATTCAAGCCTCTGATACGCAGAAAAATGAAAAGAGTGGCAGTCAAGCTGTTTGTACATGCACCATAGCCTGACAATCTGTATCAGCACTTGTTGCAGAAAGAGGCTGTCCTTGAATTTATCCGGGATAGGGTAACCATCTGATGGCATTAATTTGACTGCAGGCAGGAATTCAAACAAAGTTTTTTCTGGAGCAGGACGGAGTGCAGGGGCGAGAAAAGGAGTTCAGGGGTGGTCGCACCATCGCCAAAGGGGCGTTGCGTCAGGAATTGGAAAGGGTTTCGTTCCTGGTCGCCCGTGGCCTGCCCATGCCCTGCCCGCTCAGGCTCTTCGGGCAGCCCGCCCCTGCCCGCCTGCCCTTGCCCCTGTTCAGTCAACACCCAGTCAGCCAGGGTGACAGCCGTTCCCACATTCAATTCACAGCACATACCACTGTTGTTTTCGTTCACTTTGATTGTTGCATGATAGGGAACACCGCTTTCCTCCTCACCTTTGATTATCCTCCCCACCTTCAAATCGGGAAATATAAACAAAATATAGGAGAGCCAAAATAGAAGCCAATCTGCCCCTGCCATTGTCTAGTCAACATCCAGTGAGCCTGGGTGATTCCAAATGATGCTCCTCAACTAACCTGAAATATATAAAATTGATACATTTTTTTTTCTGAGCGGCTGCCACACATTTGGCTGGATCACTCGCGACGCCGTCCTTCCATAAATATCTGGCGCTGGCCTTGCCTGCATATCTGCCCTTTGCTTCTAGGCTTGGGGCATTGCAGTGCCCGGTTCCCTTTTGATGCTTCTTACCACTGCATAGAATTACTCAGCAGACCGACTGAGGGTGACTCACCGCTGAGGTGGTGGCCGGCCGGTAGCGCATGTACTGCCGGAAGAGGCTCATGGGATTGTAGGGGTCAACCGCGTGGCCGCCAGCTTCAGGGTCGTGCTTCTGTTTCGGCGCGCCATCATGCCGATTCCACTCGCCTGCATTCATTTTTAAAAACTGTTTTGATTCCAGAGAATTTAATTTTTGGGATTTCAAGCCCACACGCACAATGCACGGACAGACAAGTCTTCAGGCTAAGCAGACCATTAATAGCTCTAGGCACAAGAATTTCACTCACCTGGAAGGTGTTGACAGGACATTCAGTACCGAACATTCCTGTACACCCATGTAAAATGGGGCAATTGACCATTGCCCTCTCTTATGGCAAAAATACCACGTGACAAATTAAAGCCGGGGGTTTGGATAGCCTAGAATACAGCCGGGGGCTTGTCGAGTCTGCTTCCTTTGGGCCGAACACACTCAACAAGGCACACTCCACGACGCATGGGGTCTCATTGCGCTGTGCATGATATGCTCATTCAGGATATTATGTAACAGAGGCGCGCACCCTGCAGGGAGACTGCCCCATTCTCAGCCTCATCGTGGTGATGCATCCTGCCCAGATCCTGCAAGCAAAGCAGGACAGGCGATGAATAATACGCCAGGACTTTCTTTTCTCCCCGTTTGGCCTTGTTCAGATCTGCTGCGATGCTCTTAACCTCTTAAGACGTCTTTTTCTCTCCATTTGGCCTTGTTCAGATTGGCTGCGATGCTCTCAACCACTTAACTCTTCTTTTTCTTTCCATTTGGCCTTGTACAGATCTGCTGCGATGCTCTCAACCTGTTAAGTACTTTCGAGAAATGAAGAGGCTGATCACCTCCTTTCAGAGCTTCTTGCCATTGCATTGCTCCTTGATCTCACTTCACAGGCATAAGCGCTTTGCTTTGACATAAAAAAATGTAATCAGGACGCATGTTTTTCCTGCCAAGAGGCGAGTGCTTCTGCAGACAAGTTGCAGTCACAGGCTGCCAAGTTTCCCTTGTTGGACTCGCCAGATCCAAGCAAGGCCCAATTCGCCCATGGGCACGATGCTCGATTTTTGTGTCGCCCTTGCACCTTTCTGGCCGGGCCGAAAGATCTGGAACAATAAATTGGAGAACCTGAACCATAATTAACCATAAGCAGGAGGGAACGCGCACCGACATGGCAGCGTCCAGCGTGGCGTCCGGGCCCATGCCGTTGCCAGCATCCACCTCAGCGCCCTGCGAAAACTGCATGACCCCAGAATATTTAGGGTCAGGGGTGTCAAAAAAGAACTCTTGCATGTCTTTGTGAGAGGACATGCCAGATACCGGCTCACAGCGCAAACTGGCAAGCTGCAGCCTCATGCAGCAGCGATATCACGCTCAAACATATGTACATGGTGTCACTATGATACCATTGCAAGCTAAGCTGGAGAATCTCCAGTCCCCACATGCCTGTCATGCACTGGTGAGCAAATCCCTCCCACGTGCTCATGGCGACATTGAGATTCAACCCTTGTCTTTCTCGTCTTCCCTACAAAGTTGAAGCCTCGCATGTCGCAAGATGTATGGAAAATGATAATACCCCACCTGCACGATCTGCTCCAGGGTCTCAAAGTGGCGGTTGCCGAGGGTGAATATCATCCACCCCGGGTGCTGCTCGTCCCACCAGCAGCGTGTGGCGGCCTCTGCAACCTCGTTCACCTGGTCACAGCAATCGCACGGTCAGCTTTTATTGCATGCTTACTAATGCTGGGTACTCATTTGTAATATCAATCAATTACTTGCTTGCTCATCCTCTATACTTGTTCCGAATAAGAACTAGAAAGGGCCCTTCATTGCATCTCCTGCATTCCTCCATATGTACCAATGGCTTTTTCTCCTTTGCTGTCCTATCTAGATGGGCCCTCAAAGCGCTCTGCTGTGGTCAGCATGGAGCCACCAAGTTGTGCTGATTTTGTGTCGTGCATAATGTAGTCCTCATAACCATCAAACACGCTCTATTTTATCAGGTACATGCTGTATCAGGGATTCACAGGGCCGAAGAAGTGAGGATATTCACAGGGATCAACCCCAAGAGGCAAAGCAACGCAAGCCGTGCCTGCTTGCGCTGCTGTGGCATCTAGTGCTCGCAGGGGGATGACCTTCATGGAATCTACTGATACAAGGGTTTTTAGGGTTATACCACAAAGATTAGGGTTTTAGGGGCAATAAATTGCGTAAACCTGCTTGTGCTGCTGGGGGCAGCTGGTGCTCACAGGGGATGTATTCTCAAGGACTCGACTGGATTAGGGGTGTTCAAGGGGTTAATATTACAGAAGATAAGGGATTTCAGCGTCAATAATTCACGCGCCTGCTTGCGTTGCTGCGGCAGCTGTTGCTCGCAGGGGATGACTTTCATCGAGTCGCCGTCGCCCTCAGCCCGGTTTTGAATCAGCGCCACCGGGCAGTCAGGCCGCACCTGACCAATCACCACATCATCAAGATTTCATTCATTCTAAAATCTAAAATTAAAACTGAAACTTTGAGCAAAACGTCAACCCTGGCATTCCTTGTGACACTTGATGTTGCTGGTAGACGCCAATATCCAGTCAAGCTCGTCACTTGCATCCCCGCCGTGATAAAATGGTGTTTTGGCCTCCGCAAAGAGCTCATCAGGGCCCACAGGCATGGTTAGAATCAAATCAGAAAGTCTTTGAAAGGACAGAATCCATTCCTACAACTGTAACTTCGTGAGAATTCCTGGACCCCAGTTCGGGTAATCTGGAGTGACCACAGTTCATTCAGAAGCGCACCTCCCCGAGCGAGCAGGAGTAGAGCAGCCCGACAGCCATATTCTTCTGGTACCATGCGCGCATGCGGTTATCCACCTGTACGCGCATGCATACAGACAATTTGTATAAAAGTGAATGTATATATAATAAAATAACAAAATAATATATCTAAAAATAAAAATAAAATAAAATAGGGGCTACAATAAAAAAATGCCACGGCCCCCTGGACGCGGGGATGAGTGTGTTCAGTGATCTGCCGTGCCAGCTAAAAAGGCCGCCGGACATTACGCTCCGACCCAAGCCCGGCAACTCATGTGGCAATATGCAGATGCTGGTATGCGCAGAGCTGGATTGTGATGCTTGTGCTCTACCATTATTGTGGCATCACCGCGGTCTTTATGTGTGTATACTGTCCTGATTTCGGATCTTGAATGTGCACGGTGGGGCCCTTGCCTGCACGTGCACGACAGTATTGCCCTAGTCGCAGTCAGCAAGCTGCTTATCACCGTCCCTCAAATTCTGACCCCTGATTCCCCTCAACCCCACCGTCTTTGGGGTTCAGGGTGAACTCTGAAGAAAAAAAAGAAAAAAAAAAGATAAGGGATTCTGTGACAGAAATAAGCTGCACCTGCACGGCGGTCTTGGCGTGGTCGCATGCGGCGTCCCACTTCTCCTTGGACAGTTTGAGGAGCTGCTTGATGCGCTGCTGCAAGTGCCCATCAGCCTCGCTCAAACGCGCCAGCGCCTGGAACTCCCGAACCTTTGTAATCCTGCGAACGCCCACATTGAACCCTCATTAGTGCATGAGAAGTCAGCCCTCTTAACACAAGCAGATGCACGTGTCCAGCGTTTCCATTCTCAGAAGATTTGATATCAAGCATGTCCCCCACAATTGTGAAATGCCTTAGGGCGCCAGAGCCTTTGCAAACCTGCGCATGCGCATGCAAGGGCAGAGCCAATAACTCATGTTCAGCGGCAGCTGGGCCTTATTGGCAGAGCAAAAGTATCAACCCCCGGACCCCCAAAAAGGAGAAAAAGGAATCCCTTGGATCCCTAATTTACGGGGGGCCGCGCACAGGCGGGATGGGCAGCTGAAGCTGGACATCAACAACAGTACTATGATACCAACCCCAGAACCCTAAGGCGAGTAAACAAAGACCCCTCAAAACCCTCACCGGTACAGCTCCGGCGGGATGGGCAGCTGAAGCTGGGCCTCGTCGGCGCTGGTCTTGAGCTCGTTGAGTTTCTTAACCGTCTCCTTGCCGATGTGGTTCAGCTTTGAGATGGGGTCGTCCAGCGACGGGATCTCCTGCTTCTTCAGGTTCTTCGTTCGCTTAGTCACCACCTGCGCGCCCGGCACGCGGCGTCAGCCCATGCAATGCATTAAGATAAGGACACTGATAGCACACAGAGAGTTGCCACATTTTGGCTGGTGCAATGCAACATTAACACTGACCCTTCCATCTGTGGTGACAGGATGACACAGTGCTTTGTTCTACTCTGCATACGCGGACAAGTATGGCATTTCAAAATATGTGGAAAGAAGAGACGTATACAATACCTGTGCGAAAATCTGTGCTGATGCATACTTGGCACCAACAGCAGGCCAAAAAGAGGGAAAGTGGCGGAAAAGGCTTCCCTCTTTTTGAGGGAAACCTTGTATGCTTTGGATCTGGCTCTCAATTTAATTGATGCCGAGAAACCTTGAAAGGTTTCCTGGCATCTGAGACATGGCATAACACGCACCACGAACTCCTCGGAGACGACCGGCCGGATCGGCAAGCGCACTCCCGAGGCCGACAGCGCTCGGCAGACCAGGCGGAACGGCGGCCGCTTTGTGCCGGCGAGCACCGACTCGCTGCTCTCTGTCACCTTCATGTCCCTGCGCAGACCAGGACTGACTTTTATTGTGATGCACGCAGGGGTACGAAGTTAATTATGCATAATGCATGCGCCTAGACATGGTGGAGAAGGTGCCAAGATAGGCCAAGTTGGAAGGCTGTCATAGAAACGCTGCTGCGACGCACCTAAGCCTAATTGGCTTGGATAGGCGTGTAATAATAATAATGATAACATTGCGCTTTGACTGCAACAACTGGCTCTGCTATCAAAGGCCAGGTGAAGGACAGCAATGGATGTATGGACCTCAAAGGTCAGCAAAGGATGAAGCTCCTCTCTTTACAACAACACATACGCCATGTTGGCTATCTCGCCATGTTGGCAATGAGGACCTTCTCTAATCATTGTTTTCAAATCTGATATATACAGCCACAATGAAGCAGCTTTCTCTCCAACTATGGCGCTCGCAATGCTTTCAAGTCTTGCATTCTCTCCCTTTCCCTGATGATGCAGTGGAAGGAGATTACTAACCCGATGGAGACAGAGGGAACGCCATATGGCTCCATACCCTAGGCCGGAACTCTTCCAAGAATAGGCAACAGGAGGGTGACTAACCTGAGGGACACGGAGGGAACGCCGTGGGGGAACTTGAGGACGACCTGCGGGTTCTCCGCATCATTGTTGGCGTTCCCTGCCACCAGCAGCGGCTCGTTGCGCTGGTTGCGCATCACCTGGGCAGAATTACTCATCAGCAGCCTGATCAGGTATGGCGGGGAATGGCCTGCCCAAATACTATGTTTGTGATGCACATTGCATGCGGCAATTGGAGACCGGAGTCTCCGCCAAGAGCCTCCGAACCGCCCCTCAAAAAGCCCCTGTTCTGCCCCGAAAATTCAGATCGGGACTGCAATTTCTAGTTTGAAATTGGCCCCAGGAGGCACAGCAGAGCACCGAAGAGGGTGCTGGGGCATTGCTTGACATCCGTTGACAGAGCAGCGGCGCTGGAAGAGGCACACGAGGTATTGGTAGCAGGGAAGTGGTGGCAAACACGGTGAAGGGGTGTTGATGCTGTTTTACTGATGCTGGTCTGGTATGCAGCCACATGGCGGGCGATAAAGAAATTCAAACAGGTGCACACGGGGTGGAATTCAACAGCATATTTGCTGGATGCAGGGCCTCTGACAGCAGCGGGGTCAAGTGCAGGCTTTGCCTAGGGAATTGCAGTGGCAGCCATCATTAAAGTCCAAGATAGGAAACACTGAGAAAGCCGCCAAAGCACCCTTATCTGCAATCACATCTGCTTTCGGGTGGCAAGCTGACACATTATAGGTTCAGAGTTTTGCCCCGAGGTGAGCAGGGGTGCTCACCTCGCACTCGTCGAGGATCTCCAGCCGCTGCTCTCCGGCCTCTCTACAGCGCGACGTGTACTTGTTGCCGTCCAATATGCACACCTGCGTACGAAAGAATGTTTTTGCGTTAGTAATACATTGCCCACGGTTGATTGGGTCTTTCTTGGAGCTGGCGAGTCCATCAAGGGGTAGGCTTTTGGCAGCCTTCACTGCAGCTTGACTGCAGACGCACCTTGCTTCTGGCAGGAAAAGCGTGTAATAATAATAATAATAATACATTGACCTGTTGCCAGTAACCAAAGAACCTTTTGGTGGGGCACCCTAGCACAGCAGGCATAGCAGGCATGCAAAAAAGACAAGGCCGGGCTTTGGCAAGGGGTCACCAGTCCGATGCAGCACATCCTAACACATCCATGTCTGCAGGGCGCGCCTTGCCTCTTGGCAGGAAAAGCATGTTATAGTAATAATAACAATAACACATCCAAGATGAAAGTTGGGGGCTCAGGTCATTCCACCATGCAGCAGGTTACAGCAGGTGGCACCATCAGACTCCTCACAAAAAGGATGTTCTCGGTCATTGCGGACTGCCTGTCATTGCGGCCGTCATAGTCCCTTGCCCAACATTTTGAATCCAGCATGTTTTGATCAAGAACCAGGGGTCATCACCTCGATGCGGATGCCCTGCACCTCGTCAGACATCCTTTCCCCAGTGTCTGAAATGATGACTTCAATCAGAATGCTGCCCTTACTAAATTCCCTCAAGCCCTGATCAAAGCCTGCCTACCCCTAAAATATAAGAAGCAGGGGTTGTCACCTCGATGCGCATGCCCTGAACCTCGTCGGACATCCGCTCCCCGGTGTCCGCGTCGATGACTTCGACCAGAATGCTGCCCTCGCATTTGGCGAGAAGCTTGTCTCCGACCCAGTACTTGTGCGCGAAGTTGCCCGTGCAGCGTTTGGCCGGGTTGTGCTTGCAGAGCACGCAGGATGCCAGATTGCACCCGTGGTTCCTGCACACAGAAATGAAACGCTCTCAAGGGTCTTCAATGCATGCAGCTGTCGCAACCCCGATTTCATGCTGGTGTGGCATTGCAGGGTAGCGGGCCCATGCTTTGCACAGCAGAAAGGAGCAGTGGTTCTTGTGCTCTGCGTGCAGAATTGGGACGCTCTCACAGGTTAAGATGTGTTGTGCTCCACATTTTCAAGTTGCAGTGGCATTTTGGAGGCACAGTGTCACGAGAGCCCATGCCTGTGGATGGAAGGGCCAGGGCTAAAACTGTGCCTCTGCGCTCATCCTCTGAAAGTAGGCAAGGGGAACAGGCCATTTCCTTTTCACATGCACACAAATGATGCTGTGTTCCAGGTGGTATGGAGGGCTCTTTTGCACACGGCATACTTTTAAGCATGCAGTACACTGACAGAAATGACACTGCGCCCTCGCTATTAGGTCATTGCTATGTCTAATAGCGCCAGCATGCCGGGCGCCTCAGCCCATGCACTTGCTGAAGTCTTCTGCAAAGAAGTGCATGTCAAGAACAGTGCAAACTTGTAGCAAGGATTGAAGTTTGAATTCAAATCTGACCTGCAGTCGTGCACGAAGACGAGCTCCAGGTTGCGGTGCCCATTCTGCGGCTGCGCCAGATCTGGCGTGGCCGGGTATGGCGAGGGGTTAGTCACGCCACCCGGCTGCTGACGTGGCGACGGCTGCCCGCCAGCTCCCTCCTGCTGCGCGGCAGCTGCCTGGGAAGCTGCCTGGGTCACTAGGACCTCCTCCAATGCTTGCCTGACCGCCTGTGATTTCAGCAGAGACAACTACTTGTCAGAAGATTGGACATGACAGTTGACATCCAAGAAGGTACATGCACGGGAGTGCAACCAGCCAGTTGTGATGTCAAGATCCCAGCAAGTCCCTCGGCAAGGGAGGGACTATCCGGAGGCAGGACAGAGCCAAGCGCTGCTGACAGATCTTCAATAGCAAGACAGATATTCACAATTTCAACAACATATGCTGAATTTTACAGCTTCACAGCCCTCATTGCAGATGAATTGAGCAGCAGAAGCATTGAGGACACCAGCAAGGACGGGTGCTTGCTGAGTCATTCATGGGGGTCCAGGGCAGCAATGCTGCAACCCCGCCTATTGAGCAGATTGGCGTCCCAGAGCAGTGACTGATCACAAGGTCCAAGATTGGTAAAAGCCGCGCACCGCTTGTATCACTGCTGGCGGCAGCGCTGTGTCAGGCGCCAAGATTTCGGCTGTTCTGAAGCACACACGCTCCACCTCTCCCTCAGACAGCATCCTGAGGCTTTCCTGTGATGCGCTGGCTGACGTGCCGCCCTTTCCTCACTATTGCTTGCGCAAGCTTTTTGGTTGATGGTGCAGGGAGTCTTTAAAGATGCAGTGGCCCTTTAAATGTGTCCTACTCCCGCCTGCCCTGCACAGCAGGACATCAAGAGGTGTGAACATCGAATCGATGGCAGCCCTGTCTTTCGAATTTACAAGCTAAGACAATGACATTGCATGAGAACCACAACCCGGTAAATTGACTAGACGGTCACCGGCGCAGGTGACAATATTGTATGCACCGCTCGCACAACTCAAATTGGGTGGGCAGATGTGTGTGGGCTCAACAATTGCACAGTCAAAACGCCAAGCGCAAGAATATCTCCCACACAAGCAAACCCTTTTACACATCAGAACAAATATCACCCATCAAATCAATGCAGGTCAATCATGCTTTAGGAGACTGCCTCCCCATTTGGCAGCAGATCCGTGCCAAGAGTGCATACCTGCTTCGGAGCCACCGGCGGTGCACCTTGATGTCTTCTCCAGCTGCAATCGATTATATACATCTTTGGTGTCACAAGAAGCTCCACATCAGCGCTGCAGGGTTTTCCTGATAAGTTTCTCACTGTTGATTGGAGTAAAGCAGCTGCGGTCTACACGTGAATTGAAGCTCCAAACTCTAAAGCATGATGATACCGTCTGCCGGATAGCTCCATCGCCACGCTGCTGCTTGTCGTACAGGCGAAAGGCGCGCAACCCTTCTGACACGCGATGCTTCAGCGATGCTTACCAACAACCTCTGTTGTGGTCATACTCCTCCTTCCGATTTGCTACAAATATTTCTTTTGGACACAGCGATCAAAGCGGGCGCGTGACAACACCCAATTACGCAGATAGGTGGACGATGCTTGCGGATGTGCTCTTCCCTTCCGAGCAGCTGTTTCCACCGGGGGAACCAAGCTTGCCTGACGGCCGCGGGCCGAACGCGTCACGCTCTGGGCCCCCCAGCATATCAGCTTGTTTCTCCACGGTACACTTCGCCAGCATTGGACGCTTGTGCAGCTCGAATCTGGGGCATGCAGTTCTATATATGATGTCTGCGTCACAGCCGAGATCTCGCAAGAGATTGTGTGACCGGCACCAGACAAGGGAGATGTCTAGCGGTTCTATCTAGGCCTTGATGTCAGGGTCGGGTTCTCTGCCCAGGCCTTGGTCACCTGACGGGACTCCTCCCAACGGGAGGAGTCCCATCGGCACAGCTGGTACTGCAGCCTCGGGCTCAGGGGGCACGGCGGCGGCGCTGCTGTCTGCCAGAGGCAGAGCGGCCAGTGCTGAGAGCTGGGTGCGATTGCACTGCAAGCCAGACACACCGTCGTGGGTGAGTGGCCCAAGGAGTAGAAAGAATACGATTGTGTTATGAAGAAAGGGTTGTACGATGGACCCTTGGGGGCAGGAGCCCTGCCCCCAACTGCTCTTCTCTCTAATCACCCTTCTTCCTGGGACTACCTTGCCCATATATGTCGGGCCTACGTCAGAGCATGTGCTTTCCGTTGTTGTTTTCTCGTAAAATTACTGCTCCAGCTGGTTGCAGTCTTCTCGATTGACGGATTGCCGAACAGGACTTCACAGCAGCCTTGCAAGATTGGTTGAGAAGAGGAGCTTCCTAACAATTTGCCGTTGATTTACCCCTCGCAGGCATGCCTCGTGTTACTGCCAGTCTTCCTCCTTGGCATAGCCTGCCTGTCAGCAGCGCCATTGGCTGGGTCGAGGAGTGGATGGGGCTACTTCTACAAGGAGGGCATGGACTCAATCTATCTGCGCGACCTCACACTGAGCAACTGGACGCATTACATTCATATCGGCTATAATGAGGTGAGGAACATCCCGTCATGAGCCCATGCTGTCAGTGGCAGTTACAGGGGCTGCCAATCTGATTGCCCCTTGGTGTATGCAAAGAACAGCTTGTGGGCACATTTCCCGTCTCGCTGTTCTGGTATCTAAATTGGTTGTACGTGGGGGCAATCAAAGTGATCAACGCTCAAGTGCTGTGCGCGAGCAGATAGCCAGTTTACTTGTCTCGGTAGCTGGGACCTTCATAAACCAGTAGCCTTACCACTCTCTTGCAATTTCCTTGAGGGGTCCAAGCAGGATTGCAGTCCCAACTGTTGGCGCTTTGGCAGTAGATGCTGTAATCTGGTGATAATATCTGCCATGATGGTGGAATTGTCTTTGCAGTATTGTGCAGCCTTGAATGGGCACAGACTCGGGCACTTACTTGTGCTGACGTGTGCATTTCTCATTCGTTGCAGCAAACCAACGCAATCCGGGAGTACTCTTACCAGCATCACTGGGAGTTCAACGGAAAAGCAGTGCAGCAATATGCAAAGCTTTGGGTGCGTCCGCAGCAATATCTGTGGACCTTTTGAAAGTGTGCAAGCAGTCCAAGAATCCTCGATTCCTGTCAGTGAAGATAGCAGCACTTGCTGCTAGAGCTGTGCCAAGGGTACATGCTCTTGCAGTGCGGCGCTTCAGCCATCAAGTCATCAGTCCATACAGGCCTGAATCCTGCAAGCAAGGGCTGATCACCCTCTTTGATCAGCGCCGCAGTCACATTAACATCTCATGCTCTCGTTTGAACCTGCAATATCGCACCAAGTCAGTTGAGGTATGGCAGTGGCATATGCTGTGCTGTCAGATGTGCTCCTCTGATTACCAGTGCTTGTTCAGGATATACGCAGGAGTGGTGCTGACTGTGGCTGTGCGCATGTACTGCTTCAGGATAACTTCGAGTATGGGAACACTACTCAGCTGGTCGGCGGCTACACAGCCGGCTACCTGTTACTCTCCTGCCTGACAGCGCTCGCTTATCTAGGCCTGTGGCTGCGCTGCATCGTCTTGATCAGGCGGCAGGAGCGGGGGGACCCGGAGCGGGGGGATCCGGTGCCGCCAGCGACGGGGGGACCCGGCCGGACCGGGACTGGGGGGACCGCGGGGCGGGAATATAAACGCGAAAGCCTGATCCGGCCGCTGGGGCCGTGGCTCTGGCCTGTTGCCCTCGTGCACACGTGAGTAGCCCACCTTATTTCCTTTCTGCCTCCCACAAAAAGAGCCATTGGAACACCGCGAAGAGCTTCAGTTGTCCTCTTGGTGTCTTTGGATCTTGTGCATGTGACCTGGTTTATTTCTGGGCTCTGTTAGGGGCGCTGTCCTGCTGGGCTTATTTATCAAATTAGCCTGTGTCTCTGGGCCGCACATCAGCCTGCCCTGCTTGTCAGAACCTTCTCTCTTTCCTGCGCCACATTTCACATGGTCCCGCAGTGCTCGCTCCACAATGAGTGATTCCTTGCAACTGAGCCTGCTGTGATGGTTTGTGACATAGAGATGGGCAGTGAAGAACTGCCTGCAATACCAACGAGCCTCAGGTGGCTCTCAACAGGTCTTTGAAGTGTTATATCAATAATGTGATGATCTGTTTTGCGCAGTGTGCTTCTGGCGGTATTGGTGATAGCCTTCTTCCTGCTGATGGACGCAACGACCGCATACCAGACGACATATGTGGCGCCGGGAGAGGTGAGTCATCGTTTTGAATTCTGAGTTGCGTGCATCAGAGAAAGGGGTATGCAGACATCAAGGCATAGCGCGCACTAGAAGATATGAGAAAGGACTTGCAAGTGCACGTCAAGGACCAACACAATGATCCCCAGGCCCAGGAGCACTAAATATCCACATCACATACATGCATGCAAGCGTGGCTGGATGCATTGGTACTGCGCCAGCATCGTTCACTTACAGATCCATGGAGAAACCCTTGACTGACCGTGTTCATATGGGATTCTCCTGCGCCGAGAGGGCTTGGTGTCTCGTTTGGCATCTCTTCTGACATATTCTTGCAGTCTCATTTTGCCGTTCGGATCTCAAAGCCATCCTGATGCTGCATTGTGTGGCGCAAAACAGGCCTTTCTATTTTTGATGTTTCCGGCATCAAGTATTTGTGGATTAATTATGGTGTTTTCTAATTATGGCACAGACCAGGCGCCTTCCTGTCCTTGACTGCACTTCTTGCTTCACTGGGGTGATTTGAATTTTGATTTAGAAGTTTGGTTTTGAATTCCAGGTGTGCCACGTGGCGCCAGCGTGGGCATGGTGGTGTGCCATGTCAGCAGTCTTCGCGTGGCTAACTGTCTCCTTCATAGCGGGGATAGGTGCGCGCCATCATTCATTCTTGCAATCATTCTGTACACCCGTACCTCTTACAACCGCAGCAGATTTGGGGTTCAAGGGTCGGCATGACATGCCCGGATGCAATGTACACATGTACTATGGCGCACTGTTCTACAACAAGCTCCTGAAAAGCAGACCTGCCAAAAGTGCTGCCAGGGGGTGCACAGGCATCCAGGCAGTTCATGCCACATGTTTTTGAAGTCAGCTGCAAGCAGGGCATTCCTTTTCTAGCGAGGGGCCGATGGTGCCACAAGTATGAGTTGTGGGGAGGTGTAAGGCTGCTTTCCCACAAGGCGTTCGGTCAGTGACACCCATTTGATTACCAGATCCCTCAAGTATGGTGCGCCCCTTGAATGCTACAAGAGTGAGAGGGGTACTTCACTCCAATGAGTTGAAAGTCGCCCCGACCGGCGGGGGCGGCATTATACTGGGCACTTTGCTTGTGATTGCTTGGATCTGGCGAGTCCATCAATGGATAGGACATGTTGCAGCCTGTAACAGCAGCCCGTCTGCAAACGGACCCTACCCCTCACAGGAACAGTTTGGAGCAGAATATAGAGGAAGAATTGAAATTGAAACGTCAATTGTTTCTTGCCGTGTCTGCAGAGGCGTTCCAGCAGGGCAGAGAGGACCCGTCAGAAGGCGTTGTCCTGCGCAGCCCGCAACCGCCGCGGCCGCCGCGCCAATGCCCTAGCCGTACGACCCCCGGGTCGTTAGCGTAGGGTTCGGGGATTTGGCCATACAACCCTGACCGGGACTGGCCGTAGCCACCCCCGTGTTGTCAGTGTAGGGTTAAGTTTTGCCCATAAACCCTAGCTGAACAAGGGGAATCAGCGCGCCTGCCGAGGCCGCCGCGCCAGTTCTCTAGTCGTACGACCATGCGTCGTCGGTGTAGGGTTAGGGGGTTTGCCCATAAACCCTATTTGAATAGGGGGGTAAAAGCATTTTCTGCGGAACATTGCTGGCGTGCTGAGTGAAGCTAGTACGGCACAGTGGCTGTGCAAAAGCTGATGGCTCTCTATTGGAGCTCCAATTTCAGAAACACCGATTCAAATTCGGAGTTGAAGTGGATCCAGAGAGGGCGGGCAGAGCAGTGTGGCGGCGGGGGGGATGCATGAGGCAATGGAACCTGGAGATTACTAATGCTACGCATTAAGCAGCATTATGCCGCATGCAATTGTTCTGCAGAAGCTGCACCAAAAGTTACTGTGGTGGTGCATCTTTTCGGATCGGCTTGATCCTGGCACACTCTGGTTGTGGCCACACAGTATTGCATGTTGGTTTCTCGTTTGAACTTGTTCGCCTTGGTTTTCTTGCGCAACGTGCACTTGAGTGGCTGATGCAGACTGCAAAGCCCTCTTTTGTGACGGTGGTTGTGGTTTTCTTGTTGTCTCAGCCTAGATTTTTTTCTCAAACCGCATCTTTTCAGCGCCATGACAGGGCAGTAGCACATCTTTTATATGTGTGTTCTTCTCTCAGCCTGCACTTATTTGTACTTGTGAAACTCCTCGAATCATGTGGGCAGTGCTGGTTTAGCATGTTCCTCATCAGACAAGACTGCAGATGAAACCAGGTGCTCAGCTCTGCTGAGGGTTGGTTTGCGATCACCTGTATGCACAGCCTTAGCTGGTGCAAGGGCGATGAACTGCAAAGTGGATGTGATGTTTTGAAGGGGGTTTTTTTTGCTGCTCGCCTAGCGCGGCGGGAAATCCACAAATGCAGAGATGCAAGTCGGGCTTTCTCTGCAGGGCAGGCTTGCATCTGATACTGAGGAAGCGGTTGTGTGGTAATACTGAATTTTCTTCGGTGTGTCTCTGTATAGATAATGTGTTTGCAACGCGCTGACATCATATGACATCGACCCCCTACTTGTCTGCCATCGGGTGGAGGTGCTTTGTGTGCCAGTTGGCATCAGAAGGGGTGATCGAATTTGTGTCGGTGCACCGGTAGACAGCTTTCTAAATTGAGTATTGATAATGAATTCATGTGAGTATTCGTTATATCAGCTTGATTTGAAATGATTACTTGTGACTTCTCTGACCGTGTTCGCTTCAAGAAGTTCTCGGCATCATCTCTGGCATCATGGCAGTGCCTGGCAATCCTTGCACACTCAAAATGCTTCGCACTCAGGGCACCCAAAAGGCTACATGCATGGAATAATATCATGTGGCTCCATGATGGCATGGTGTGTACTGCTGTGGCATGGCAACCGCGCATGCAGGGCATATGTTACAGACTAGATCTAGATTACAGATATCTCTCCCCCTTGAGAGGTACCTCCAGTGAATGCACAGCTGTCAGAGCAGTACACCTGTCACCAGTTCAGTCCTGTCAGATGCCCAGTCAGCAGTGATCCCAAAAGGTCAACCTTGGACACAGAGTAACAGGGGATTACGAGAGCCAGTGTGTATAGTCCAGAGCGGTCCAGCCAGAAGACCACAACCATTCAGCCATGACTGTCAAGTGCAAATGCTCTGTAATAGCATGCATGGCAGCTGCAGGTATGCATAGTCGATCGAAAGTTGATGTGCCAACCCTTTTTTTGCCCTTGTCAACTGTCACTTCTGAGTGGGCATTTGCGTGGATTTTTTGCAAGCAGGTGCTTGATCATCCATCGCGATCGGTAGGCTGCTAGGCATGCATAATCGCACAAGTACGCCCAATTACACGGACACCTGAAGTACTGAACCTGTGGATTACAAAACGTCGCGTTGTAACAATGTATGCGGATGCACTTCAGCTAGAAAGGTCTACACATAATCAACGTTTCCATACTCATACATTTGGGCACCTGCACAATCTGGTCTGCTACTTGGCTCCGGATTAAGTGCCTTGCGCACTTGCAAAGCTTCTAACAGATCTAAAACCAAGCCGAAAACTTGTCAGCTGGACAAAAGTGTCAATGATTGCCTTGATCAAGCTGCCGCCGAGGCAGAATGGGGCAGATGGCAGCCTGAGAGGCAATTATGACTCACTCACGACTCACTCACGACTCACGATTAAGTCAAACTGCTCAAAAATGGTCAACCTTCATGATCCAGTTGCCGGCGTCAGCGTCGTAGTGTACGAAAACACCGCCCAGCTTGCGTGCATGATTCGACAGCTTGGCTGTGAACTTGGCCACGCATTTCTCGTCCTTCTGCTTCACGAGCATGCGCCTGCGCACAGCAAAGCTCACTTGAGAAGGGCAGTCGATATGATAGCAAGGTTCATCTTTGACATGCTTCGCGCGCAGAAGAATCGACAGAGGTACCAAATGGCGATATGCAATGAAAGCATCTTGCGAGTCCGCCTGCCCTGACTTACAGAAAGTCCAATGCACAATGTAGAAACGACAGCCATCCACAAGAAATTGTCAGTCTTGGTGGCAAAGGGACAGAAATGCAGCTGCTGCATCCGATGCTGGCATCCAAAACGCGCTCTTCACTTTGCCCAAATTAGACTGATTTTGTAGAGCCAGATGCACATTTGTTCAGACTAGTAGCAGCTGAAAGCTACCTGAAGGTGAGCAGCGCGGGCCTATTTAGGCCCTCGCCGGCCGGCGGCCGGGGGGACCCGCCGGGCAGGCCATAAACCTGTATGCGCCCCTTGTCCATGTCTACGACAGCGTCCAAGTCCACCCCGCGCAAATCCACTGCGTCGATGAAGGCGACCTCTCCCACGTCCTTTCTTCCCACCACAAAACGCTCTACGGCCTGCGCATAGTTCTATTGTAGTAATCTTTCTGCTGAGCCAACCCTGTTTCTGACATGCAACAGCTTAGGCTGATTAGGACTGATCAGGAAATGGCCGTGTCAAAGTTCCGCTCAATGTGAAAATGAGGCTCACTACACAATCGCCTCTGAGTGGCGCCGTCAGCGGCATGGTGTGACAAGGCCTCAACAATGATCTTGGGTTGCCCGGACACCACTTCTGAACGTCTCTGGAAAATCCCAGATACTCATGACCTGGCTAGTGGATAAGTAGAGTTCAATCTCTGGCCTTGAACGTCACAAATAAAAGCGCAGTATTCTCTGACACATTTAATCAGTGTGCTTGTGGCGCGCCTTGAGCTCGTCATCACGCATGCGCCGAAGACGTTTCATGTCCGGCACGGTGAAGTAGTCATCCTTAGTCAGTCGCGGCGCACCGGGGTTCACCGGCGGCGGCCGCCTAAGCCGCCGCTGGTCAGATCCCCGCACATCGTCTGCGAATAAGGAGAAAAATATTTAATTGAAACATCCCCTCTTTCACTTCTCGGCAAGGAATACTCACCATCTGAAGTCTCAGGGTAGTGTACTGATGAGATTAGTGAAGAGACCACCCTATTTATTCATCGTGTTCAAGAGCCTGGCAAGAGTGCATCGGCCCCGGAGCAGCAAGCTGATTTAAGGCCAAGAAAGTATGTCATGAACACATCAATGTGATGTCGATTTGATGTGTGTCAACATCAATGATCACATCAATTTATATTGGTGCTAAATAAATATCACCTTATTATTATTTTATTCAACAACAGGAACCCCCTTTTGAAGGCATGCCGACCAAATGAAATGAGTGCCAGGGTTTTGCGTTAGCATTAAGAAGAAGCTTTGACACACCGTCTAGGTCAGGAACCATGACTATGAGGCCGCCGGCGTCGTGTGCGGCCTGTATTGGCCGTTCAAATTCTGCAGCGCTGTCCGTCATTTCCCGCCCGTGTCTTCCCTTGCCACTCCTTTTAAGCACTGGTGCCCCTTCTTGCAGCCCCTTTGCTGATGTCACCTCCGACCCTGTGACATCTGCACGCACCAGCGCACAGGCAGTGAGACAAGGACTGTGTTTTTTGTCAGTCAACCTTTGCTCGGCCCAGTCTTTACGCCCATAGACTGGACACAAGAACGCCGATTTTAGGATTCAAGCATGCCAGCAAGGTGCTGTCACTCTCATCAGCAGGACAAATCATGGTAGAAATTACTCCGTCTTGAAGGTTATAGATCCGCTAAAGGCAAAAGTCGGTTACTTGTAGAGGGACATGAAGACTCAGGTGCGCACCTGCAGCGGGCGCAGATGGGAGCATGTCTAATATGAGATCCGTAATAGACTCCGTAGTGGGGTAGTCGAAGATCAGGGTGGTGGGCAGGTCGAGGCCCGTAACGGAAGCCAGCTCCTTACGGAGCTCCACGGCGCCCAGGGAGTCGAGTCCCGCTGACATCAGCGACGCCTCAGCGCTGACATCAGCGCCCAGCACCGTCTTGACTGCTGCCAACACCTGTGCAACGCAACTTTCAGCTTATCGCCCTATTGATTCCCAGAGGATGTGAGAGTCATGGAATTTAAACTCCAAATTGCTCTCGTGATGATAATGGCAGCCAAGTAAATCTGTAAATACTGTTACATGACATGCAATTCAAGAGCAGAAAACGAGCAGCTTGGTTTGATCAAGCTAGCCTCAAAGCAGAACCGTTGCAGGACCTTTCACACAGCAATATGCACAGGTTACCTGAGCCGTGATGTCATCCCTCTGCGGCGGCCGCCACGCCTTGATCTGCCGGGGCGGCTCCGCACTTTTAACATTGGCAACCCTTGCCATCGGTTCGTTGCCCCTCGCCTTGCCGCGGCCTGATTTGGCAATAGGTGGCCGCGCCTGTTCTGGCACCGGTAGCATGGTGACTAATGCCGCCGCCAGCTCATCCGTGGAAGGGTAGTCAAAAACGAGAGTCGCCGGGAGGTCCAGGGTGGTTACGCGAGAAAGCTCTTTCCTCAACTCCACAGCGCCTGTGCAAAGTGAATTGTAAACTGATCAGCCATACTGCGGCTCATTAGAGCAGCCATGCATTTAAATCATTCTACTGCTGCCAAACAAATTGTAGCATGCTCTGTGCAGGTCTCTCAAGCATAGCTCTTTTCAAGTAGACCCGACATTAGCTTCAATGAAGTTCCTTATACTTTGCAACCTGAATATTCCGGGCTTTCTAACGCTAAATGTGGTTGCTGCGTCAATGTCAAAGGCCTCCAAGTAGTTTGATATTTGGCAGTGCTAATGCCTTGAATGGTCTTGGAAGGCAACGGGTGCTATCAAATGCTTTCGGCCATATCGCAGTGCTGATTTCTAAACCCAATCGGCAGGTGATACTCAGGCGCGCACCTAGCGAGTCAAGCCCGGCGCTCATGAGAGGCTCCTCTGGCCCAACAGTCCGGCCCAGAATGGCTATGACGGCTTGTGAGATTGCCCCGCGGACCCAGTCGGCACGCTCTGCCGGCTGCATGCCCGCCCACTCAGGGAGGTTATCGTCGCGGCCCTCGTTTTCTTCCCCTGCATTATTGAAAGATTCAGGGCTGTCAGCATCCACTCAGCAAGGACAAACAGGGTTACTAACAGGGTTTGTCATGAAACATGCTGTCTCAACGGTACTTGCACAAGACAGCCTTTTGCCGGAATTTGTGCTCATGCCCGAAGACAAACGCAGCCAGCAGGCATATATTTCGGCTTTCTTGTTCAATCCTTTTCAATTCAGTTCAACTCTGCAAAAGTGAACCGTGCTGCTGGTGGGCTTGCGCAGCATCAACATGCCAAGACCGCACAGAAAGTAACAGAACCTCCACCTTCATTGCAAAGGTCCTGCTAAATAGCAGAATGAACGACTGCAACCTTAGAATAAGTGATATTTCTTACCTTGGACAGCTTGTTCCGCTGACTTCACCGCTGCAAGGGTCTTAGAGGCATCACTGTGTGCCACAGCGTTCAAAGCCTTTTGGGCTTCAGGCACCGGCAGCTGCAGCTTCTCGGCAAATTCTGCGTAGAATGGCATTGATGCGCGCTCTCCCGCAAGCAGCCGCTCCCACTTGAAGACCGCACCCGCCATCTGTGAAGTGGCGTTCCCTGCCGTTGTACCCCAGCATAATTTCAGGGTGCGAGGGTGCAGAAGTAAAAAAGAAGGCTGTAGGTTGCCATATATTTATGGTTTAGGGTTAAACCTAACCCCAAACCCTAAATTACAGGTTCCACAAATGGGTGGCAGTGGCAAGGAGGAGCCAGGAGGGCCACCGAGCTTTATAAATTTTGTTAATCTGGGCCTGTTTAGTTTGAATCCCCAGGGTGAGAGCACTGCAGCGGTGCTACTCGTTGCCGGCAATACACCATACAAGACCCTTTTGCTATTTTCGAAATGAACGAGTTTATAACCTACATTTGCCACATGCTTTGGCCAGGTCTGGATAGAATACTATTTGGGCACGTGTGCTGTGGGCAAATTGCCTTTCTTCCAACAGGCTGCCACATCAATGCCGAGTTTTCCAATCAAGCTTATTTTATCGAGTCTGCTATACAAGCATGCGGTACAAATACTGAGCACCGTGCCCACGGTTGATTGGGTCTTGCTTGGATCTGGCGAGTCCAACAAGGGGTAGGAATTTGGCAGCAGCTTTACATGCAGCTTGTCTGCAGACGCACCTTGCCTTCGGCAGGAAAAGCGTGTAATAATAATAATAATAATACAAGCATGGCAGGCAACGTCAGGTAAAGAGCAGATCACCTGACAGCGCCTGCTGCAGAGCAGCGAGGCCTTCCGCAGGTCGGATGGCGCCGAGGCCGACTCTTTCCAATCGGCTGAGGATCGTGTTATCGTGCGCTGCCATTCCGGCCCCGCCCCATGCGCCCCATTGCAGGCTTACCGAGTTGATGCCCTGCAGGGTTTATAGCAGAGGGGTAAGATCCCTGCACTGGTCCGGTAATCAAAAGGAAACATGTGTTAGCTTGCCCAAATATGCCGTTGCCTCGTACTCCACAACTTTCATACAGTTGGTCACTTAAGGTTCCCTTATTGCATGCATGTAGGGACTCTGAACACATTAGAGTCGAGTTGACATTCTTTGACAGAATAACGTTGATATATGACGAAGTGTCAAGGATAAATTTCCATGAGATACCAAAGGTTCAAAGTGACTAGAGCCCACCTGGCTGCTTTGCAATGAGGACCACTCGTCTAGGACGGCGTTGGCAGCCGCGTAATTCCCCTGCCCGGCAGATCCTAACAGCCCGGCGATGGATGAAAACGCTATGTTTGTTGTCAAGGGAAACAATCCGCTTGATCTTCCACCCAGCTGAGCGGCTCCGGCTGCCTTGACTGCAAATGATTGCCGCATGCTTTCCGCGCTCTGATTCGCCAGCACAGCGTCCTGCCACGTCAGCATTGCCCTTGTCAGACGTCTTGCGTGCTCCTTTGTGGCTTCTTTAATCAGAACAGATCTTTTCTGAATGTTGCCTCTGCCGTGATGTCTTTCAGCAGCTCTAGTATTGAGACCAGAGCCCATCTGCAAGGAACAGTGCCCATGGCCGTACACCAATGGGACATACTACTTTTGGAAAAATTTCTCATTTCTTTTGAACTCACTTGGGTTCTGCCAATATTCTGATTATCTGAGTTGCATAGAAGCCCTCAAATCGGAAGTCAGCATTACGGAGCAAGAGTGTAATAATAATAATCTGTACAGCCCTGCAGGGTTAGTCTGCAAACCGCTCGAAACTTTGGGACGGATTTTGAGTGTAACAGCACCTTCAGAACGCCGCCTGCATGGATGATGCAGTCGATGGCAGGGCAACCGGATAAAGTATTCCCTGACACCATGGCCTTCGCGTCGCTGGCAAGCGCCACGTCACACTTAGTCATCGTGACCAAGGCCTGCACACATTCAACAGGATATTATTTAAACACACCTAAGCCAACTGTGGGTTGGATAGGCGTGTAATAATAATTATTTTCATTACTTAGTCACCAACCATTTGTTATTCATTTCAAAAATTGATTGGTGTGTTTCTGATCTCGTATGCCATGGGAGTTTCATGGAAATCCATTGCGGCCGCCTATTGCGGCCACAGTTGACAGCAATAGCCAAGCACATATTGCTCATGCGACTGAAATGTCAAGTGCAAAATCAACTGGCTTGCCTCAGCTGCTTCAAGTAACCTTTTTTTGCTTACAATTTACTGGATTACCTATGCGCGCATTAACAGCATTGTCTGTGAGCTTGAAATGTCAAGGGGATGCACCTGGTTCTGGCACTCAGCTAAGATGCTGAGGGTGTGCGGGTCAGCCACCCTCCCGGATCTACCCAGCAATGTCAGATTAGGCGCGTGAGAATTCGAATTATGCGCTGACAGCCACGCTGCCACAAGAGAGCCCAGCGCTCCCAACCCACCGGACACAATAACATTGCCTGCCCCACAGCAAGGAGACAGGTCAGTCATTCAGATAGTAACCTATAGTAAGCCACAGGAGGCTGATCAACACACTTCTGGTTATTCAGAACCAAACATGTGTCTGCATATGCGAGCATGATCTGAGCATTCAGTGAGAAATATGAGCGCATGGCATTTTAGTGTCACTCAAGCATTGCAATGAATGCACGTCACACGATGCAGATGGATTATGGTTCGGTGACTTCAAGTCAGGCTCTGGGCATCCCATTCCCTTAGCAGTCTAGCAACATCGGTACTGCAATTTTTCATCATGCTGTTGCTGATCACATGACCCGGAAATGAGCTTATAGGTAGTGTCTGTAGTGTGCTCTTGCACAGACCATGCTCCATAAAAATACTAGGGGACTATTAAAGTTTGAATATTTCAATGGCTCTTGAAAGCAGATATTACTCACATGGAGGCGAGCCAAAAGTGGCGGCTGGAGGGGTGGATGAAACTGGCAGCAGCCTGGGTACAGACCACAGCCTGCTCTTAAGCTCCGGTCCGTGGATGTCCGAAAACGAAGCTGCCACCTGATGATGCACAACTTCAATCTTATTGTACCATAGTGGACATTGCAAAGAACGCATATTCAGAACGGCACGCAAACTGAATAGAAAGGTCCTTTTCGCTACCGACTAGACACTATTCCGTCCTCACAGAACTCCGGTGTCGAGACCTGTCCTTATGCAGACTTTTTGCAAATGCCTCACAAAGAGATGTCTCCTACTCTGGCAAACTGCATGGTTTTGTGCAATTGCTTGATCACTGGGTGATGACTGATTCTGAGCGAGTACCTGATCAGGCGTTGAGGTTCCCCCGTCCCCGCTGTGCCCCCCCATCTGCCACTCCCGGCCGCCCATCTCAGCCGCCGCTACCTGTGCAAAATAACATAATGCACTGTTCAAATTCAGATTTAAAATTCAAATGTCCTGGCATGCAGATGTCGGCAAAGCCAGCCACAAGGGGCTTGTTCGCAATCGATCATATAAATCAGACATGGGCTGACCGCATAGATCAAGTGCAAGCCTATCTGCTTTGAGGCCATCTCTTCACCTCAAGGCCATCTTTATGCACATTTCCACAATGCACGTTTTCATTGGCGTGGAAATTAGTACTTGGTGAAAGAAAACGGCAGCACCTTCAGCAGCGCCCATGCAGGGGCAGCAGAGAGGCCTGCAGAGGAGGGCGCTCCACAGTTTTCACTGCTCTGGTCCCCGCTCCTTCCACCTCTTGTAGCCAGAGTTATCCTGCCTCCGCCCTTAGCGCCTGCCAGCAAGGACTGCACAGTGCAGCAACACACTCTTGAACGCCATGCGAACACTTAATAGTTAATCAAGAACATAATACACGCTTTTCCTACCAGAGGCAAGGTGCGTCTGCAGACAAGCTGCAGGTAAAGGCTGCCACAGATCCTACCCCTTGATGCCAGATCCAATCCCGCGTGGGCGGGATGCTCAGTATTTATTCGGCTTGCCAGGCAAGCCCCCTAAAGACCTCTTTTAACTATGTTGTAATTTAATGCAATCTATTATAGAACTTGCAATCCTTCAGCCATTGCCAAGGCTGGAAAAAGTAACTGAACCGCCGACTTGATCAGCTCAGCATGTTTAATGGGAAGCTGTAAGTGGATTTTGAAGCTTGCCTGTAAGTGGCGCAGATGGTGCTCTGCATGCTGGCCAGCGCGCTGCAGCGCCTCAATTGGCGACTCAGTCTTTTGTCTTTGCCACAAATGTCTCATGCTGGATTTGCTGTTCTCCTTGCCGTTAGTCAGCAGCCAAGTGGCGACAGGCTGGCTGTGCTGCCTGCTGTTGCGTAAAAAATATATCAATTTTCTGTCAAAACGCTTTTTCCGCCCCTAAATTTACCCTGCAATCTTATTTTGTACAAAAAATGGAGAAATGGACCCACTATTATCTTCCAAAACCTAAGATCAAGCAGGTTTGTCACAACCCTGAACCCTAAGCCTTGGATAGAAAGAGTAGGGGCATTTTCTGCTCGGGACATTGCCATTTATTGAGTTTCCGATATAGATAGTTGTCGACCCTTCATCCACCCTCTTAACTAAGTTCCCCAACGTATTTGGATAGAGACAAAGGCTTGCCTTTCATAATCTCCCAAATCCTAAAACCTGATCAGGTCAGACTCAAAGTCCAAAAAAAAAATGGGTGTGGGCATTGCCTGTTTTGGCGCGCTGATGTGGCGGGGTAGTCAGCGCATGTCATGGCCTGCCACTGCACCTGATAGCTGATGTTTGCCGCTGCCAGAGCCGGCTTTGCCTTTTTCGCTGCTGGCATCACCTTGGCTAGCAGATTCAAGATCTGCACAGAAAGCACAATACAATGTTGGATGCTGGCAATTCTGAGCTGGCCAGAACGGAAAACTCCTTCAAAACAGCCACCACCACCATTCCAGGCAGAGCTAGGTGTTAAAAGCTGAAAACAACACTGCAGTTCAGGCCTCGGCCCCGGCGGACGGGGGCGGTGTAAATACTGAGCACCGTGCCCACGGTTGATTGGGTCTTGCTTGGATCTGGCGAGTCCAACAAGTGGAAGGATTGTGGCAGCCTTTGCATGCAGCTTGTCTGCAAGACGCACCTTGAATTTTGGCAGGAAAAGCGTGTAATAATAATAATAATAATAACAATAATAATATTAATAATAATAAGAATCTAGTTATTATTAGTTAAAGAAAACATTCAGGCCTCTGTGAATGCATGCGCAATGCGCAAAGCACCTTCATCTGTGCACAGGCTCCAGCAAGGCAGAAACGATCTGGTTTTTGAAATTCTGCATGCACATTGTATTTGACAGATACGCACAATATTGGTGTTGTACACATTGCAGTTGTGGCAGAGAAGAAGCCCGGCCTGGAACCGAATCACTTCGAGTGATCATATCCAACCAAAGCCATCAAAAAAAGATTGACCACTTGGTGCCAAACGGCATTCTCCCTACACCTCAGCATCGCATGACAAGTACCCACTGGCAAATGGGAATGGCAGGTTAAAAGTAAGTAAAAAGAGACACCAAGCAATTAGGGTAGACGCGCCTGCATGAGAGGCCGTCCGTTCTGCGAAACCCAGTGCATGTGGTTGAGCGTGGAGTTTTCGGCGTTCCCTCCGTCCGGTTGCGCCACGCAAAAACCCGACGACGTTCCCTCCGCATGGACAGATCCTGTTCTGGCGCCCACGGCTACCGGCACCCTGCAGCAGAACGTGTTAAGGTAATCTTAGATGTAATGTCGAAGCTCATGCCCAGATTTGAAGAGATACCGGTTCTTGCTCTCCTGTGCTATACTGTCTTATGCAATAGTACCCTCGGATAGATCAGATCATCTCTTCGCATCCAGTCCAGAGGTCCAGAGCTTTGTGCATGACCCCTTTGTTCCTAAAGCATGTACTGCTCATTCCCGGAAAACCTCATTCCTACAGGCTTGCTACTACAGCGTCTAACCCCCGAAATCTAGGTGTCACCACAAACCTGTCTGCAGTCTCAGCAACAACTGCCAAGCAATTTTCTGCAGGGCAGCTTATCGGGCATGTCGCAATACCCCACCTGACACACTGAATGGGCTCTCCGGCAGGAGGCACCGCCGCGAGATGGATGCATGCGTCCCCCAGTGCTGGGTGGACCCCGTAGCCGGCGGCATCCTGTTTAGGCAATGCCTGAGCCGCCCAGTTGGCTGCCGCCTGGCGTTTACTCATCGGCCCTGTCGACACAGATTGCAGAACTTTCAGTTCAGAAATATGCAAGTGAGGGATGCACTTGAGGGAGAATAACACTGTTCGCTGAGTCTGAGACGTGGGGCTATGGCAAGGAGAGATGCAAAATGTTGTCATAACAGCCAGGATAGTGCGCTTACCAGGTAGTTGTGCCGACCGCAGAGGAAGAAGAATTCCAGTGAGATGTGTTATTTGAGTCACAGCAGCGGCTGCATGCGCTGATTCAGCAGGCAGCATCTGAGTCAGCACTCCGCTGAGGTGGACCTGGTCGCTGGCCAGCTGCACAGTGCCTTGCCTGCAAGAAGTGCATCATGTACTTTAGCAAATGGCTTACCATGCGCCCATGCACTTGTTTCTTAGCGAGCTGCACATGAAGTAGAATATAAATTGCAGCGCATACAGGTCTTGCAAGTTAAGTTTGGGTCCCTGAAAACTGCCAACCGGCAGCCCTGGTCTTCCAGGTTCTGGAAGGGCAATAGAGGCATGGTGGCAGTGCAAAAAAACACTGTACGCGAGAGCAAACCAGACTTCAATGCTGAAATCTTGCCGCACCGTGGATGCACTGTGCATGTCAGCTTTTGGGTAGCGCTGCCGACCCCCAAGCGGCAGGGGGCGGTAATGGAAGCTCCGGCCAAAACTGGCATTGCGCCTGAACTGGCAGCGGCCAGTGCAGCTGCGGCGGCAGCTGCAAACTCAAAGAGGCCTGCGCCTGGTAACAGCGCTCGCCCCATGACCTGCAAAGAGAAACCCCTCAGAATTTGACTCCGACATATTGATTTGCCCACAGTACGTCTGGCATAATTGTTCAAACCGGCTCCTTTCTAGAGGGCAGAGAATGAGTACAATGCTGCACCACTGCCTGTATCTCAACAAAAGATCAATTGTTGGGACAAGAACGTGCTGTCTTCTTTGCATGCATGTGTGCACCTTCAGCACATTCATAGGGTGTCTAATCGCAAAACTTGTCATAGATTGACATACAATTCTGCTTTTTTAGGGCTGACCCTGAACCCTTATGAGGGCAGGGAGATACAGGGTGTTTATACCTGGTGGTCATGGAGGTACGCCAGATTTGGCCCAGACAGGTCGCACGCGAAAACGCAGGTCCCCCCAGCGGCTTCAAGGGCGAAGCTGCGGAGAAGCCGGTGTGCGGCCGGGGCCGGCCAATGCCGCGAGCGTTGCCAGATCGGGCCGCACGGTGACTCAGCCGGTGACTCAGCGGCTGCTAAGGCTAACGTTGGCACGCTAAAGACGGCGTGCGCATTGACGCCGCTCATGCCGAAGGACGACGTTCCCGCCGCAACTGGAGATGAGTCATCCCCAGCCTGTGTGCAAATAGAAATGCTCTTCAGACACATGTGCTAGGCGACAAAAGGTATACGTCCTGTCTGTAAAGCAGGGTTGCATTGATATATTGCTGATGGGTGCAAATTGGACTGAGACATTCTTCACTGCATGCTGCAGGTAGCACATGGCTCCGTGCGGGTACAGGGCAGTGGCAATGCCTTGAAATCACAGGATTGCATCAAAGTACACGGCATAAAGTTCGCATGATCCACTGCAGTGCACTGTAGAATGAAGGACGCTGCAAACCATGAGCGAAGACGCAGGTGCTAGCTGGCGGGGGGCGTGCGCGTGCAGGCTCTTGAGGGAACGCCAGTCAGACAGGGCGGCTGTCACGTACAGATTTACGGACCGCAGGTTCACGATCGGCGCGGCCGCGGATCGGCGCAGCGCCGTAACCGCCAGCAGCGCACCCGTAATTCCAGCTGTGCCCTCCGTATGCCCGTAGCAGGCCTGCTCACACACATGGCACCCACGTCTGCTTTTGAAGCTGTTCTGTTCAAATGCACATTTGTTCAACAAGGGGAATGCAAGGTGCACTTTCACATCTGATGGCCCCTTGAGGGGCAAGCAGGTTCGAAAGATCTCTCTCCTGAAGCTGCATGGCTCTGTGATCAAATGACAACTCGCGCTAGAAATAGACACTTGCCTCCCATTTGCAGGTACTGTTTTGTCAACAACAAACCATGCCGGGATTCCATCCTCTTACTTGCAGCATGCTCAACACAATGTGCACGCTTACTAAGCATTATCAACAACATCTCCAGGTGTACCTTGTTGGATCCTATTACAAGACCACGGCTCCGGGAGGATTGGCCGAGCGCGCTGCCGAGCGCGCCGACCTCGATGGGGTCGCCCAGGGGCGTTCCTGTCCCATGCACCGCCACATACCGGACAGCTTCCGCACCTAGACTGGCACTTGCCAGACACGTACTCACCAGTGCCTGTACCAGAGAAAGCACCTCTTTTTTTTCTTATAAAAAAAGGCTGTGATCGCACAAGAGACTGCCAGGATCCCATAGAGCCTACATTGAGGCTCTGTGACAGGGGCCGAGGGAGGTTGTTCCTGGATGATGTTGTAAAATGGCAGTAATACTTCAGCTATGAATTTTTGGCTGCTTTTGGCCAGGGGCAGAATGATCACACGGCAGACAATGTGAATTCTGCACTTTCAGAATTGTCATTCAGCGAGCTGCAACCTGCAAGGTGAAGTAGTGCTGTAGTAGAAGGAGATCCATATCAAAATATTCAGTTCATTTTTTGCAGCTTGCTACTCATGACATCCACGCTGTGCTTCACCGCCTTCTGAGCCTTGTTTGGAAGCTTCTGGGAGCGGCGGCCGTGTCATGTATGCTCTGTTTGGGGTCCAGCAAGGTCTGAATGCTGATGAAGTTAAAAGGTAAGCAACAAGTACCTGCTGTGATGGGCCGTTGGGGGCAGTGAGGCTGCTAGATCGGCCGTCCTGATTGATTGCAGATGCGCGCATCATCGCCATTGTGTTGCCCTTTGCAGCGCTTGCACCGCTCCTGCAGCCGCATGTGCCATTGTGAGCAAGAATCTTAGAGGTCACAGCCTGAGTCAACAGCCAGAATTTTATAGACCCCGTGCCAAAACTGTTGAGGCATATTTTAGGGTTTAAAGTTTAAGGTTTAGCCTGTACATAGCCTATAACCCCAAACCCTAAAAAATTCATGGCTGCTTTGCAGCCAGCCAAATGCATGTGCAATGCACACAGTAGCACACTTATCTGAACTTTAAGGGCTCTTGGAGTGTGAAAATTATTCCCCTTCACGTGAGGGAAACTCAAGGGGTTTGAAGCAGCGGACCTTAAATAGGCAACAGTGAAACCCTCGCCGCGTCCGTACCCGTCTCCGGAGGCGTCAAATGTCTTGCAGCGACCCACGGGGGACAGAGCCTGTGGGCATCATGCATGGTTAATCTTCTGAATTTTTGCTTATGCAAGATGCTTGATCTGGTGTTACTTACCCAATCAAAGTCTCCTGAAAATCTTGCAACATCACATTGAGCATCAATCTCTAGTCTTGCTGCATTTTTAGGGTTTTGGGGTAGGGTTTGGGGTATGCAAATGGTGCGGGGTTCTGGCAGGGCAATTTCAGCCAGACATGCCTAAGATTACCGCGTGCTGTTCCTGCTAACAAGCAAGGCTCATATGCAGCCAGATTGTGAGAGCTGGCAGGCGAACATTTTCAAGGAAGTTGTAACTTAGAGAGATTTCAGGGTTCATGTTTGGCCCCGACTATCAACTTTGACTTGGTCCTCAACCCTCAACATCACTTGCTATCATCTTGCCATCATAAATCTTCATCTCAGGGTTCATGCTTGGCCCCGACTATCATCTTTGACTTGGCTTTAAACCCTAAATCATCACAGAGTATCAACTGACCATCAAGAAATAATCAGAGAGATGCGCGCCTGCAGCAAGCAGATGCGCGCAGTTGTCTGCGGCGTCAGCATCACGTTGACGCCCCCGGCCGCCGCGGCCGTTGTTTCACCGCCCAGCAACCCCTGCAGTCAAGGTTTTCGAATTATAATCTACCATACATCATATGCCCCGGCTGGCGGGGGGTACAAATACTGAGCACTGTGTCCACGGTTGATTGGGTCTTGCTTGGATCTGGCGAGTCTATCAAGGGGCAGGATTTTGGCGGCCTTTACTGCAGCTTGTATGCAGACGCACCTTGCTTCTGGCAGGAAACGCGTGTAATAATAAGTATACATCATAGACCCTTGCTGTGGCACTCTGCAGGGGGCTTCATGGGACTGCATTCGTGCCCTGTCGGTTTCGGCCACTTCCGTTCAGCAGCCGCGGCAGAATGTTCAGGCCGTCACCAGACCCATAAGCAATTGAGAGATGCAAATATATGAAAGACACAAGAGGGTTGCATGCTACCATGAGACTGCATGAGCTCTCTTCTCGATGTGTCAAAAGAAAAGCTGATCCAGATTTCAAAACTCTGGATCTTTTCTCCTATCGCCCGGAATTTATTCCCCACCTGGTGAGCCATGTGCAGGGCCACGAGCGAGGAGGAGCATGCAGTGTCAGTGGAGACACAGGGGCCGCTGAGGCCGAAGGTGTAAGAGATCCGTCCCACTAAGAAGCTGAGGCCATGGCCCGTGATTGCCGCTGAGTTCGAGTCCGCAACCCCCTGCAAACCCAACAGTCAACCATTGTGAATTAGGGGACAAAGCCTACTATGTCACTGCAGAAAGTCCAACGGATTTTGCAGAGGGAGTCTCTGAAGAGAAGTTCTTATTGCTCAGGACCAATGGAGGCAAGGATAGTCAGCAGGCCGTGTGGTGTTGTCCTCTTCAATTGCTTAAAACAGTGATGTAATACCTATGTTTAAGTTGAGCTGGGTTGGGGAACAAGTTTTGGAACTTACGCTTGGGCCCAGTATGGCATCCAGGTATTCAGTGTACATGCACCCAAAGTAGACGCCAGTGGCCGCAGCCTCTGATTCCAAATCACCGCTTGCCGCATGCATGCATTCCTGCCCCACCAGGCAAATGGATCAGTTGGAAGGTCAAATACACCTTCAACAGGGTTGTATGAGGAGCTGTAGCTCATGAAAAAATGCCAGCTGATGAACGAACACAGGAGGACTGCTAAATCGACACTGGCGGTTTTAAAACAAGCACTACTCCCTGCCATTTTCTTTTCTCCCGGCTGTACAAGAAGCTAGCAAAGTAGTAAGGCAGTGAGCACTCCTGCTGCCCTGCTAGCGTGTCCAGTTCCTCAGCAGCGCAATGCTGTGTGGTTCATTGCAGTGCATTCATGCAAATAAGATTAGAGACTCGCGGTCTGCTGCGCTGGTGAATTGTGATCTGTAAAAGAACGAGTGAATATAAGGGTAGGTAATGCATGCACACCTGCGTCTGTTCAAGGGCGAGCCTGGTCTGCGGGTCCATGGCGGTAGCTTCCCCGGAAGCCAGCCGGAAGGCGCCCGCGTCGAACTGCGCCACGTTATCCACAAAACACCCGAAGCGCACGTACCTAGAAGCATGCAGTACTCATCAGTCATCATAAAAGAATTTGTCACATGCCTTGCATGCTTGCAAAACATGTGCTTTTCTACGCGGCTTTGCAGGTGACAGGTTTGAGCTGGTATCTCTTGGCATAGCACGAAGCAACAACGACATTCACCAGTGCACAATAACGTGCTCTGATTGCTACGGGGCTTCAGTGGAGCATCATAAATGAGCAGTTGATGAAAATAGAGCATGCGTGGTGTGCTCACATTTTCTTCGCTATTCACGTCACTTCTTAGAGCTCTCCTCTGCGTGCTACCGAGCTGAATTTTTTGCATTTCCTGAAAACACGGGATGCAAGTTTGCTCACATTTTCTTGGCGGCGGCTTCAGGAGAGTACACGTCATCGATGTCCCATCTGCTGACGGGGACGGGGACCGGCAGGTTCGCCCCCGCAGACAGGGTGTGCCAGAACTGCTCCGCGCCTGATCTGGCGCTGTCCAGGGGTTGCAAAGCCGATGGCAGGGGGTATCGCGCCGCGACGGCGCAGACTGTTGAGAAGGTGGTGGAAGCAGATGTTGCCAATGTGAGTCTATTATCCTGCAGATTGACAACAAGGAGGAATTTAACTAAGTTCACGCACCCAAGGTGCCCCACAATGTTTGGAAAGGAAACGACACGTGACGAAACACTGCAAGGCAACCCAGGTCCAAATAGAACATATTCTGGACGATTCAGTCCCCTTCCCACAAGAGAATTTGCACATAGTCCGCCAACTAGCCGAGCCGCTATGATGGCACCACATGCCAGAGAACCCTCAACTTTCAGAATGAGGGTGAAAGTTAAACCCTAACTGCATACCTGAGGTGGTTGGACAGGGTCGGCAGGGGTGAGCGCGCCGCGCACATAGCCGGCCAGCGCGGAAGCCGTGGGGAAGTCGAACGCCACCGTGGCGGGCAGTGCGACGCCAAATCTGGCCGCGATCGCATTTCGAAGCTCCACTGCCCCCAACGAATCCAGACCCGCCTGTGCCCATGATGAAAAGTTTTTGACGTCCCCAATTTCTGCCATTTGAACATGGCAGGCTCATTGCTTTATTTAAAAAATTCTGCAAGCTGTGAATGGAGACCTTGTGAGCCGTACACCCAACACACGACTTCATTCAAAAAGTGCGCCCAACAAGCTGCAGGCTGTAAGGAGAGTGGTGTGCCTTGTCTGTATCCCCTACTTAGCAAGCATGCGGCTATGAATGTGCAAGGACTGTTAAAGTTGCAGGAGAAAAGTTCACCTGCATGAGCGGCTGGTCTGGTGCAACATCCGCTCCGAGTACAGAAGCGACAACTGACTGGACACTGACGAGGACGTCCTGCGCTGGAGGCACGCTGCGGGAGACGGGGACCGCCGCCTGTCTTGGCACCATACTGTCCACCACAAAGCGAGCCATTGCCTGCCAAAGCCACAATCACATAATCTCATCAAGCTCGCTGTCAGATTCCGTTGGCATCAGTTTGTCAATTTTGGGGGAAACAGGAGAGCTACTTGACCTTTTGGGCACTCTCTTGGACCGTAAAAGCATAGAATCGGTATGGAAATGATTTGCCTGCCTGGACACGTCCCGGTCAACCCAAGTGAGAACGAAATGGCAATCTTTATTTGGAGAAAGGGACAAATAGCTGGAAACATAGGGTGCACAGATTTCATAAAACACGGGATGTCCTTTGTACCTGGATTGTGGGGTAGTCGAAGGCGACCGTAGCAGGAAGGGTGACGCCAAATCTGGACGCCACTCCATTCCGGAGCTCTACGGCGCCAAGCAAGTCGAGCCCCGCTGACATCAGCGGCTGATCTGGCGCCAAATCAGCGCCCGTCGCCTCGCGCGCCAGGGTTTTGAGGACCTCAAGAACCTGTGCCACATCGAGTCATTCCCCTTCAGTTAGTGCTTCAGACTGGAGAGCTATGTTGTTTTTTACAATTGCCACTAGAACCATGCGTCACACACGCATTTTGTCTTCCACCGCTGGCAGTGCACTAGCTGAAACCGCCAATTCATAAGCATGACTGGCCTAACTATATGGCTACTCTGAACACCACATGAAAGCCATGAACTTGCCATTCCTTGAACAAACCAGCACATGTTAGTATGATTCTCAAGCCAAGAGCATCTTCGCACCTTGGGAAGTACTTCCTCCGCTGCTGCCACCGCTGTAGCCTCTGGCCGGCCGCCCCATTTTGAATTTGGATTTGAAATATTGAGCTCATTTGCTGCACTGCTCTCTGGCGCCATGTCAGCAAAGAAGGGCATGCGGGCCTGATCAGGCTTCAGCAGCCGGCTCCAGTCAAATCCGCTCACCGCGATCACAGCATCCACACCGGCGCGATTGCCGAGCATCGCACCTGCAAAACAACAGTTGGGCACAGTTTCCTAGTGTCTTTTGTTGACTAGATTATGATGCATGCGCCCTCTTGAAAACTCCGCACCCAAAATTATCTTGAGGGTTACTTGAAAGAAGTCCAGGCTGCAATAAGGGCGGGTGGTCATTGAGAAACAAGCTACCCTTGAGGCTTCTGCTTGGTCACTATGATTAATATTAATATTAATATTATTATTATTATTATTATTATTATTATTATTATTATTATTATTATTATTATTATTATTATTATTATTATTATTATTATTATTATTATTATTATTATTATTATTATTATTGTTATTGTTATTGTTATTGTTATTGTTATTGTTATTGTTATTATTATTATTATTATTATTATTATTACAGGTCGGCAAATCCAAAGCCAGAGGCCATAGGGCATACACAAAGGGCGTCTGCAGCCACATCTGCGGGGCCTTCATTAGCCTGCAGCCTCTTGGTCATACTGCAGCCGAATAGTGTATGCATGAGAGGGCTACTAATGACAGATCAAACAAAGAAGTACTGCTGTTTGAGTAAGACTAGTGGTGCTTAGAGAGGTTACCTAGGGCATTCAGTCCGAGGGAGGGGGTGACTAATCGCAGCCCGGAGCGCGTCAGCCGCTGCGCCAGATCTGGCGCGCCTGAAGCCATGCCGGAGCCTGCCCAGGCCCCCCACTGGATGCTGCAAGAGGGGAGACCCTGCGATTGCAATCCCAATCTCTTTCAGGCCTCTGGAAACCCCTCTTTATGTGGATTTGAGAGCTATCTTGTCACATGAATGGCAGTGACAAATGGCAAGCCTTGGCCGAGATTTACTGTCATTCTTGACATGTGTTATTGAGCGATCACATATATTCGTTCACATGCACAAAACTGTCAGGAATCTTGTGTGCAAGCGAGCATGCCAGCCTCTCAAAGTAATCTACTGGTATATCTCTTCTAGAGTATCTTTAATAGATCGCAATTGCTTATAGTTGCAGATACTATTATCATGAAAAGATACATTACTAGGAAATTGACAAATCACCATGACAATTTGCATGATGTCAGGCAGTGCGTCTAGCGCAGCATTGGCAGCCAAGTGATTCAGCTTACCTCAATAAACGCTTGTCACTTATCTACGCAATCAAGCAATGCTCATTTGAATAGAAATGCAAGCAAGGAGAATTCACCTGTTTATGCTGGTGTGAGGCGAGCACGTCTAGCGCGGCGTTGGCGGCCGAGTAGTTGGCCTGCCCGGCGTTGCCCAAGAGGGCAGCTATCGACGAGAAGTAGGCAACGCCGCGCGACGGCGCCGCGGCCAGGGCTGCAGCGGCGTTCCTTGCCCCGTCCAGTTTAGGCGCCAGCACCTTTCGCAGCAGCGAGGCCGTCTGCTTCTTGACAAGGCCGTCTGATACCACGCCACCTGCAGTGGGTTTATGGTTTAGGGTTTAGGGCTAAGGCTTAGGGTTAAACCCTAAATATAGAGGTATTTGGCAGCTGAGAGAGGCTTGTCCAGACTCAAAGAAGTCATGAAAGAAGTCTCAAAAATACCCACAAAGCACAAAGCTACAACCGCATAACAGCCACCAGAAAAACAACAGAAAATGTTCTTGGAATGGCATGCCACTTGAGCTTCCAGCCCACAGTACGACCTCCTCTTGCTGTTATCTTTTTTTTTTTTTTTTATTGATATGATTTGGCAGTGGCAATGATTAAATGTCTCCTATATGATTACCCTGCATAAGAAGATAGAAGGAAAGAAGTATTCTTATCTTTCACCTGCATGGATGAACACTGGAGACGGCCGCCCCTGGCCAGAGGGCTGCACAAAAGCCGCTGCGCAGTCTTCTGCTGCCGACAGATCGCACATTGCAAACTTCACCACAGAGCCACTCGATTTCAGCGCCTCAAGTGCCGCATTTCCTGTTTTAGAGGCGCTTCGGCCAAGAAGCAGAATGTGCTGTGCGCCCGAGGCGGCTGCCCAGCTGCCCACCAGGCTGCCCAGAGCGCCCAGACCCCCCGAGATGACCACTGATGACTTATGAAGGCCGCCTGCATATGTCCGAATTGCAATTCGTTGTTACTGTGCCCGGCTGGGGTTTAAATTTCATGTCTTCAAGGAGGGCTCTTCTAACATAGCTATACACTCTGTGAATGTGCTGAATGCTCTCATTTAGGTCACTACACAAACACATGTTAATTTGAATTTCAGTGCTTGCAACTGGCACAAATTCTGTGCCAGGCTCTGCCATAATGCGTTTCAGGAGTTGGCATTCTGCAAGGTCTGACCTTCGGCAAAGTTGTTGGCCGAATCACTGTCAAAGGGAGTTGCATGCGCCAAGAGCGGCACATGCGCCGCTCCGGCTTCTTGGCAGCTGCCGTTGTAGTCACCGGAGAGACCAGCGCCCTCTGAGGCATTCTGAGCATGTACCTGCGTAACATTTGGTTCTCAGAAAATATACAGCTGAGGGTAAAATTCGCACAACCTGGAGATCCCAAGCTGTGTCACATTTGCAGAGCTGCAGCAAACCCGTGCAAGCATCAATGAATCCCTGCGATTCACAGGCATGAGAATACTTGAGTGATTCAAGAGATGCACGGAGGCGTACACTTGCCGGGGGGATTTTAACAAGGTAAAAGGGAAAGGAACGCTATATTATACGGGGTACGCAAATGATGTTGAGAGAAGCGCACTTGCAGAGGTGTGGTCATTTCCATACTGACGGCGATGCCGGGCGCGAGTTCGGCGGCGACAGATTTCAGGAAGCCGTGCGCAGCTGCGCTGACAAGGCCCGCCTGATCTGGCGTTGGCGTGTGGCCTGCCGACCGCGCCGCTGTGAAGACGGCGTTCCCTCCTGCACAGAGGACTTTGTCAATGAGAACATTCCCCTGACCCTAGATTTTAAATATCCCTGAGGATATTGCTGCCTGACTGTGTTTGTGGACTGCAGGCCGAGGCATGCTGCACCCAGCATGGATGCCAGATTTTTCCTGTTATGCGGGAAACGGACAGTTTACGGATGCGTTGAAGTGAGCAAGAAAATGAAAGCTTTGAATTCACAGGAACTGATACGTTTGCAGCAAAGTATCATGAAGCCACCCGCACCTTGTAAGAAGCCATCCCCTTGCATAAAACACAGCATGCTCTGCAGAGCTCGCTGTACCGCGGCTGACGCAGCGCCTGAATTACTTCCCGGGCATCTGAGAAGCAGCTGCCCTGCACGCAGCTGCCACGCAGCTTCCTTGCTGCGCCGCTGCACCCGTGTCGAGTGTTCCCTGCTCTGCAACGGGCTGTGCGCCTGCCACAGTGTGACATACCTGCTGCGCTCCAAAACAGGCTCCTCCACCTTTGCGTCTACATATTGCACATAGCACCGTTCGAGCGCTGCACTGAGTAAAAACCAGACTATTTAGGCTCTGGGTACATGATATAGGGTTTTGGGTCAGATTACAATTGTCATGATGATCACCGAAAGCCCTCAAGGCGGCCATGAACGAAATCTGTCAATGGCATGAGCAAGAGGTCAATTATTTGCACCTAACGCACAAGCATCACTGCACAGCTGTCATAACATGTTTTGCATGAAAGAATTGATCTCTCAAAGAAGTCTTGCATGAGCGCACCTGCAGTGTTTCTTGCGACGGGCTTTGAGGAAATGAGCTTGGCGTGAAGTTCCGACAAGATTGTGTTCCCAGTTCGGTATGTGTTGAGGCGGCTGCTGTCTGAAAGCTGGCCACCGGCGTCCACGCATGCAAAGGAAACGCCGGACTTTGCTGTTTTGCCAGCAAATGCTCCTAGTGCACCTGCAGAGAATCGCAAAGTCGTCAGTATTATTATAATAGTATTACACGCTTTTCCTGCCAAGAGGCAAGGTGCGTCTGCAGACAAGCTGGCATGTAAAGGCTGCCAAATTCCTACCCCTTGTTGGACTCGCCAGATCCAAGCAAGACCCAATCAACCGTGAGCATGATGCTCAGTATTTATGTGTGTCGTCAATTTGGCTCAAACTCTCATTGAGAATCCTGCAATGAACTTCATGAGATCTTGACACCGTGGGTAAAGTGCTTCCAAAATGGCGGCTGTAACTCAACAGTTCCATATTGCTCACAAAGTATGTTGTATGCAGCGTCAGCGTGAATAGGTAAGTGGTGCTAAGAAAATAACGATTCCCGCAGATTGTGACTCCTGGAAAGCTGTTTGCAGACGTGCTGCCTCTTTCAAGGCATCACTTTACAGCGACAAGTCACACAAACCACGGCCTATGCTTCCAAAGCACAATCTCTGAACCCTCAGCCAGCTTCTCATCAAGTTTGAATGTGCATTTTTAGACTTCAGTATTAACTCACCGGGCACGCGGGTGCGCCCGTCCGGGCTGCCCACAAACACGCCCAGGTGCATGCAGCTGTCCACGACTGCGGGGTGACTAACGTAGCCAATTCTGGCGTGCTCGCTGTCCAGATCCACGCGGCCAACGGCGTTGCCTCTCGCCAGATGTTCAAGCATGGGTTTGGGAAATTTGATTGTGCTCGCCAGGGCAGACACGGGCAGCTGGGGTGTTCCCTTCCCACCCTGCACACTCATAATATTTCAATTTATTCGATGTAGTTCCTGTAATGCAATGCTGTCTCCGCCAAGCGTCCAGATTTTTTTTACACAAATCAAGAGATGCAAAAGCAGTTTTCCTTGCAAATCAGTCATTTCGCCGAGCTTTGAGGAAAAAGTACTGCAAAGGTTTCAAAATGATGCGATAGGCAATGCGAGAAGGAGCCACCTCGGATGGAAGGGTTGGTGTTTTCTGCAGCGCTCCTCTGAGATGAGTTGTCCACGCATTGGCATAAGCGCTGCTCTGAGACTGCAGCTGCACCGCTCCTGAAGAGATGTCCAGAATAGCGCGGGTTGGAAGCAGCTCGCCAGACCCCTAGCCACAATCACGAACACAGCTCAAATTAAAGGCTTCATTGCAGCACCCAAAGTATTGCCGACACGTGCATAACACGTGCATTCAAGCCAGAAGGGGGGGGCACATTCAAACATGCTTAAATGCGAATGGTGATCCCGACATTGTGTTGCACCAATTCAGCCTGGGAACATTGCTAGACGCTGAGTTTTCTGCGCTGCAATTCCCCTTACACTACACCAAGGAATTATGGATTAGGGTAAGGGTGCCAACCAGGGTTTTGGGCAGCAGCAGGGGCGCGTCTATGACGGCGTGCGTCAGCGCCAAATCTGGCAACGCGTCAGTCACGGCAGCCCCGGCCGCGCGCGCCGCTTCAAATATCGCCGCGCCGGGAAACAGCACGCGCCCGCTCACCTGCACGCAGATTATTATTTAGCCCTTATCCACAAACTGTACTTTCATCTACATGACGTCATAAATATCAGAACTTCAGAGTTTGAGACCCAAGAAAGAACATGTCGCATGTTTCTTGGGACTTTCTAAGCTGTTGCATGCACGAAACCGAAGTCATCTGAGATGCGCGCATGTCAAAGTATGATGACAACCTAAAATAACAATCTT